TTTTTATTGTACACATTTTATTATATTTATTTATTTTAGGCATATTTTTTAGGATTTCCAGTGTTTCCTCTGTAGGAGCCCTCTGCATCGGGAGTGGAGGTCAGCTGTGGCTGCTGGGTCTGTCATGTGGGCTCCTGGCGGAGGGATGGTGCTTGGGCCTCAGGTGCCTGGGCTTCATCTCTCCCCTGGACCCTGTGGTGGTTCCTGGTGGTGGTGGACGTCTCTCTGCTCCCGGTGCAGACGGCTCCTCTGATGGTGCTTTCTCAACTGGTTCGCCTGTATTCAGCCTCACATTTTATTGTGTCCGGTTATGTATTTTAGCGTGTGAGTGTGTGTGTGTGTGTGTGTGTGTGCATGTTTGTGTGTATGTGAGTGTGTGTGTTTGGGTTGTTTGACTTGTGGGGTTGGGGGTGCGGGGGTTGGGTTGGTGGGTGGGTGGTTGGGTGGTTGGAAATGCGGGACTGTTTTTAATCACTGTAAAGCACTTTGTGTTGCATTTTGTATGAAAAGTGCTTTATAAATAAAGTTTGATTTGATTTGATTTGGGTCCTAACCCCCTACCCCTGCAGCCTGACATCTCCATGTTGTCCATCCTTTCTTCCCTCTGTTTCTTTTGCAAATTGCTGATGTGCAGAGTGCAAATAAAATACACAGCAATGTTATAAAAATCAAACAATTAAAATCTATGTCTCTTGTGCCTCATCATCTGGATTTCATATTACCTTTGAGCTATTGATCACTTAACCTTTCTTTCCCAGCTGTCTGACTAGAATCCAAAGTCAGGAAACAAAACACATTGGAAACTGGACTGTGAAGTGTGAGATTAGAATGACAGATTAGAGAAGGGGGCACTCCTCAGGTTTGGATTATATCATATTTTCTAACAAGCGCAAACACAGATGTAACTTTATTTTAATGTGTCTGTTTGTAATTTGTAATTTTCTCAAGAGATTTTGATCACAGTATTGCACCACTTGTTTGTCAGCAGTGGTTATAAAAAAAGGTCCTTGTCACCTGAACAGTTGGTCACGAGGATCAGATGTGGTTTCTTGATGACCTGTGACTAGTGGCAGCAGGTAGATATAAGGTATAATGAACTATCCATAGAACATTATTGTCATGTACTTTTAATCTGTTTGTTTGTTGAATATTGTCATGTACTTATAATGTGTCTGTTTGTTGAATGTTTGAAGCTGCCATCACAATGCTGAGGTTTAACCGGCAGTCGTCTGGATTGGTCTTTTTATTATCTCTTATGCTTCCATGTTTGCTGATCAGAGGGGTCTATGCAACTCAGTGCTTTTTGTGGGACATGCCAACTAACAAGGAGATATCTAAAGATGGGGATGTTACTATTGGAGGATTATTTAGCCTCAATAATGTACCTCAGTCTGTTGAACAAGACTTTACCAAACTGCCACAGTATGCACCTTGCCAAGGGTATATATTACATGCTCTAAAACATTGAGTAATGATCTTTAATTCAAACTACTATGGTATTTATTGTCTTTGATAAGTCTGCTCCTAGACATAGAAGCATTACAGTCTGTGTATGCTATGGAGTTTGCAGTGGAGGAGATTAACCGTAACAAAAGCCTGTTGCCAGGAGTGATGCTTGGTTACCGCATACTGGATAACTGTGGTGGCCTCCCCTCGTCACCACTTCAGTCATCTATGTCAATAGTTGGAGGACAAGCAAATACTTGCAAATTAGTTAATTCCACAAATGAAAATGGAGGTATGAATGAAAAATAAGCATTCAAACAATGATTTATGTATAGTAATTCTTATTTTGTGTAAGGTGGACTGCATGTGATTATTGGGCCTGCTTCATCCACTGCTGCAATATATTTGTCTAATGCACTAAGACCTTTCTCTGTACCACTGGTAAGTTTATTTATCTCAGTGAGAATCGATAAACAAAAATCCACTCACTGCTTTATGTCCATGTCTCTTGTTTTTAGATAAGCTATATAGCTGTCTGCCCATGTTTAAGTGACAAAGAAAAGTTTCCACATTTTTTCAGAACTATACCAAGTGATGTATACCAAACTCGGGCTGTAGCCCAGCTTGCCATACATTTTAAATGGTCCTGGGTTGGGGCAATAATAGCGGCTAATGATTATGGAAGGTTGGCAATAAAGGTGCAACTTGATGTTTCTGCATATTAAAATGTCATAAATGTCACAAAACAAGGCCTAATTGTAGTTGTTGAATCCAGGTTTTTCAGGAGGAGATTGAAGGAAAAGGAGTGTGTGTGGATTTCGTGATACCTGTAGATAGACCATCTATTATAAAAGATGCCAAAACGGCAGTGGATGCAATTCAAGCCTCCAGTGCAAGAGTGATCTTTATTGCTTCATGGTACACTGATATCATTTACATCTTTGCTGAGCTCCTTAAACGGAATGTAAGTGTATTCTTTGTCTTATGTGAATTTACTATTTGTTTGCCAGGAATTTATTTGCATATTTCGTTATGTCAGATTACTGACAGACATTTTCTGTCTGTTGCGGGCTGGAGCACGAGTGAACAGATGCTCCAGAATAAGGCCTTTTCAAAGTTAGGTCATGGAGTTCTTGGTGTGGCCATTCGCAGTGCGAAAATACCTGGATTTGAAAATTATGTCCGAAGTTTACACCCATCCCAAAGACCACAAGATGAGTTCTTAAGAGAATACTGGGAAACAGAGTTTGGCTGTACTCCTCTGTCTTCATCCTCCTCTCCTCTTCCTCCCTGTAATGGGACAGAGTCCCTGTATGGGGTGCAGAATCTCTTCACCGATATGTCCCAGTTAAGGGTCACATATAATGTTTATCTGGGAGTTTATGCAGCAGCTCATGGCATCCACAGCCTTCTATCCTGCCCCAACACTGAGGCCTCTGCTGCCACGTCCAACTGCTCCTCTCCTCAGAGTGTCACATCTGAACAGGTAAAGAATAGTTTGTCTTTATCAGTAGATGTCTGTGTATTTTTACTGAATGATATTATACTTCCAGCTTGTGCAACACCTGAACAAAGTAACCATCTCCACACCGCACGGAGAGACGTTTGTTTTCCAAGATGGTGATTTTCCTCCCAAGTTTGATCTTGTCAACTGGCAAAGAACTTCTGAAGGCACACTAAAAAATGTTCTGGTCGGTTTTGTGGATGAATACGGCATCCACCTAAATGAGTCTGCAATTCAGTGGGGCACCGAATCTACTCAGGTAATTTACCCCCTAAAAATAAAGGGAAACAAGTTACCAAGTCAAAATACATTTCTGTAATTTTAGGTTCCCGTGTCTGTATGCACAATGAGCTGTGAGCCTGGAACTCGAAAGGCCATACGTAAAGGTGAACCAGTCTGCTGTTTTGACTGTATTCCCTGTGGGGATGGGGAAGTAAGCAACAAAACAGGTGTCATATTATAACCAGTGTTCACATATTGATAGTATCACTGACCCAGTCCATTCATGACCATGATGATGACCATTCCTTCTGTGTTGTCTCAGACTCTCTTCAGTGTGACCGTTGTCCACCTGAGTTTTGGTCCAATCCTGCCCGAACGTCCTGTATCCCTCGACAGCTGGACTTCCTCTCCTTTAATGAAACTCTGGGCATCACTCTAACCACAGTGGCTGTGTCTGGAGCTGTAGTGACCACTGCAGTCTTTGTGGTGTTCCTTTACTACCGACAAACACCTATGGTACAAAACCATATTTGTCTAGAGTTTGTACTAAAAAAGAGAAATAATATTTTTTTAAATATTATAAATGATTATTTCAGGTTCGAGCCAACAACAAAGAGCTGAGCTTCCTACTTTTGGTGTCTCTGAAACTGTGCTTCTTGTGCTCTCTGGTGTTCATTGGTCGACCATCGGTTTGGTCGTGTCGTTTCCAGCAGGCCGCCTTCGGCATCAGCTTTGTGTTCTGTGTGTCCTGCCTTCTGGTTAAAACCATGGTTGTATTGGCAGCATTCCGCTCAGCACGACCAGGTTCAGAGACTTTGATGAAGTGGTTTGGTCCTCACCAGCAGAGAGGGAGTGTAGGCTTCTTCACCACTATACAGGTGTGATACTGCTATTATTTGTGCATTATTGAATATTACTGAACCCCTAACTTTATTTTAAATTTTTCCAGATCCTCATCTGTATTGTGTGGCTGAGTGTCAGTCCTCCAGAGCCTCATGTGGACCTGGGTGTGCAGGGGTCAAAGGTCACTCTGGAGTGTGCCATGGCGTCTGTGCTGGGCTTCTCTCTGATCCTGGGATACATTGGGCTGCTGGCCTGCACATGCCTCCTCTTGGCTTTTCTTGCTCGAAAACTCCCAGACAACTTCAATGAAGCCAAACTCATCACTTTCAGCATGTTGATCTTCTGTGCTGTTTGGGTGGCCTTTGTTCCTGCCTATGTCAGCTCTCCTGGAAAATATGTGGTTGCTGTAGAGATTTTTGCAATTTTGGCCTCGAGCTATGGTTTACTCTTTTGCATTTTTGCCCCAAAATGTTTCATCATTCTCATTAGACCAGAGAAAAACACCAAAAAGCATCTGTTGGGAAAGTAATTTTCAGATTGTAGAATGCCTTATTTAATGTTTATGGCCAATTTCCCATTTCACAACAGTATGTTTTAGAATAAATACTTTACTTCTGAATGTACACTACTTTAAATTCCATCTAAATATGACAATAAAGAAATAAATTATATGTTTTCCTTTATGTATACCTTTCTTGGTGCTCATTTTCTATAATGCTTTCAAAGTTTAAAAAACATGATTTAACTTGAACATAACAGATGCACACATTGCAGTAACACTCCCACTGCAGTATTTTTTCATCATCCTCATGATCACATTTGGGTTCTGCGTCATTATAAATACCAGGGACAGAAACTGAACATTCAGAAGAGGTGGGGGCTGTGTCACAAACTCATTTTCTATCTCAGATAATGCTTTACATTTTAAGAACTGCATATTGGGGTTTCTGAAGTGACTTGTAATATTACAGAAAAGTTTTGATCAATGTGTTCCTTGTCTTTCTCTTGGCTATGGTCACTGTGGTTGTGGGCTGCTCCAGTCCTTTTGCTTCTGGGGCTGGTGCAGTCACTCTCATGCACCCGCTGGAAGTCTGTGTCTAACCAGGGTGTGTACCAGGATGGAGATGTGGTCATTGGAGGGCTTTACAGTCTGCACTACCTGCCTCCAGATATTGACAGTGATTTTACTCACCCACCACTATTTAAAATGTGTTCTGGGTAATGTACTTATTATTTGTATGTTGCACTAAAATAGTATTTTTGTCCTTTTATTTTTCTAAATATACATGTTTTTGTGTTATTCGGTGCTGAAACGCAAAATTATTTTACATTTTAAAACATTTTTTGAAAGTAGAATTATTTATCTGTTAATTCAAAATTAATGTGACAGTATAGAGGATCTCCCAATGCAGTACATCTATGCCATGATCTTTGCGGTGGATGAGATCAATGACAATGAAAACTTACTGCCAGGGGTGAGTCTTGGCTACCGTATACTCGACAGCTGTGCCCTGCACCCATGGGCAATGGAAGCTGCACTGTCTCTGGTTGGAGGAGACAGCACATTCTGTACTTTTACACCAGAGAATTCCACCGGCTTTGTTGAAGAGATCCAAAAACCGAGCAGTAATATTCCAGAGATTATTACATTTGTGCAATTGAAGTAGCTAAAGACCTATAAAAGCATTCTTTTGTTCACAGGGATTAAAACAGTTCCATTAATTATAGGTGGTGCGTCTTCAAAAACAGCCATTATACTAACAGGTGTCCTTGGCCCACTTTCTGTACCTCTAGTAAGCTACATATATTGACATTTACCTTCACATTATTTAGCAATTGTTCACTGAAAATAATAATGACAATGGCCCATTTGTATGAATCATTTAGATGAGCTACCAGTCAAGTTGCCCATGCCTTAGTGACAAAAGGCAGTATCCAAATTTCTTCAGAACAATCCCAAGTGACATCTATCAAGCTCGGGCCTTGGCACAACTGGCCATACAATTCCAGTGGAGATGGATTGGAGCAGTGGTGGCAGAAAATGATTATGGACTTGTGGCAGTAAAGGTATATATTACAAATTGTAATGTGTTATATATTTATATTGATTTTCTTTTTATTTTCAGGTTTTCCAAGAGGAGATTGAAAAATCCGGGTTCTGCATGGCTTTTGTCAGAACTCTGAGAAGAGAAAACATAGTATCAGATGCCAGAGAAGCGGCTCTCACCATTCAGGCCTCAACTGCTAAAGTTATACTCGTTGTTTCCTGGTACACAGACATCAGAGAGCTATTTGTCCAACTGGACAAAATCAATGTAAGAATGAAAAGGTGCTTCATCTACAATGTGTTTGTGTCTAATTTGTTCACTGATATTAGGTGACGGACAGACAGTATCTGGCCAGTGAGGCCTGGAGCACGAGTGGGGACCTCCTCCAACATCCTGCCTCTTCAAGAGTGGCTCAAGGTGTTTTTGGTGTGGCCATTCGAAGTTCTAATATAGAGGGGTTTGAAAATTACATAAAAAGTTTACACCCTTCACAACGTCCAGATAATGAGTTCTTAAGAGAATACTGGGAAAAGGTGTTTGGCTGTACTCTGTCTTCTCCCTCCTCTCCTCTTCCTCCCTGTAATGGGACAGAGTCCCTGTATGGGGTGCGGAGTCCCTTCACCGATATGTCCCAATTAAGGGTCACATATAATGTTTATCTGGCAGTTTATGCAGCAGCTCATGCCATTCACAGCCTTTTATCCTGCCCCAACATTGAGGCCTCTGCTGCCACGTCCAACTGCTCCTCTCCTCAGAGTGTCACACCTGCACAGGTAACTGAAAACATATGGTAGTGATAAAGCAGTCAGATTAATACTGTTATTATTATGACTCATTTGTTTTTGGCCTCCAGCTTCTTGAGCATCTGCGGACAGTCAATTTCACCACACCTCAGGGTGAGAAGTTTTATTTTCAAGGAGGTGATATTCCAGCGAAATATGATCTGATCAACTGGCAGAAGACTCCTGAAGGGTCACTCAGACTGGTTCTAATCGGACGAGTGGATGGCTTTGACATTGTTCTCAATGAAACAGCGATTCAGTGGAGCACAGGATCAAGTCAGGTAAATCTGTTTACATTGAAATGCAGATATAGTTTGGTTTAAACAACACCAGCTTACTTTATTCCTAAGGTCCCTGTGTCTGTATGCACAATGAGCTGTGAGCCTGGAACTCGAAAAGCCATACGTAAAGGTGAACCTGTCTGCTGTTTTGACTGTATTCCCTGTGGGGATGGGGAAGTAAGCAACAAAACAGGTGTCATATTATAACCAGTGTTCACATATTGATAGTATCACTGACCCAGTCCATTCATGACCATGATGATGACCATTCCTTCTGTGTTGTCTCAGACTCTCTACAGTGTGATCGTTGTCCACCTGAGTTTTGGTCCAATCTTGCCCGAACGTCCTGTATCCCTCGACAGCTGGACTTCCTCTCCTTTAATGAAACTCTGGGCATCACTCTAACCACAGTGGCTGTGTCTGGAGCTGTAGTGACCACTGCAGTCTTTGTGGTGTTCCTTTACTACCGACAAACACCTATGGTACTAAAATACAGTATATATGTCTCATATTTGAGGTCCAAAAAAGATAGATGATCTGTTTTCATTTCAGGTTCGAGCCAACAACTCGGAGCTGAGCTTCCTACTTCTGGTGTCTCTGAAACTGTGCTTCTTGTGCTCTCTGGTGTTCATTGGTCGGCCATCGGTCTGGTCGTGTCGCTTCCAGCAGGCCGCCTTCGGCATCAGCTTTGTGCTGTCTGTCTCGTGTCTCCAGGTCAAAACTATGGTGGTTCTAGCAGCTTTCCGCTCGGCTCGCCCAGGTTCAGAGTCTCTAATGAAATGGTTTGGTCCTAATCAACAGAGAGGGAGTGTTGGTATTTTCACAAGTATACAGGTAACAGGATTAGCATAATATCTACACAATAAGTTCCATATAATAAAGGTTTCTTTCTTCTCTCCTCCAGGTCCTTATCTGCATTATTTGGCTTTCGCTCAATCCTCCCATCCCTCAGCCTGACTGGGAAATGACTGGAGTGAAGGTCACTCTGGAGTGTGCCATGGCGTCTGTGCTGGGCTTCTCTCTGGTCCTGGGATACATTGGGCTGCTGGCCTGCACATGCCTCCTCTTAGCTTTTCTGGCTCGAAAACTCCCAGACAACTTCAATGAAGCCAAACTCATCACTTTCAGCATGTTGATCTTCTGTGCTGTTTGGGTGGCCTTTGTCCCTGCCTATGTCAGCTCTCCTGGAAAATACTCTGTAGCGGTAGAAATTTTTGCTATTTTGGCCTCCAGTTATGGTTTATTGTTTTGTATCTTTGCTCCAAAATGTTTCATTATACTGTTGAGGCCTGAAAAAACACTAAGAAACACCTCATGGCTAGGTAGTGAAGTAAATTTGGAAGTATAATTATATTGATAAATGTATTTACTTTGTGTACTGTATATTCTTATCTTTAATAATTGTGGAGTATGTTTTCTTTATTCCAATAAAAATATGTATATATAAATCTTGATTTTCTCACTCACTTTTTTATGCACTAATGCACCAACATTGCTACAGTAGTAGGAGCATAGACTTTATATATGAATGGACATATCAAACATGCTAGCTGCCATGTTCCAAATAGATACCATTGACTTACATTGGAGTATTGTGGCCCCTCTCTCTGAAACTTCTGCAGTGAGTCTTGTCATTTTGGTCTTAAAATGTTCCTATTAACCTACTCTACGTGATCCTGGTGTTTTCATTTCGCTATTTTGTCCATTTAAAAAATCCTATGAATCTGGCTCAAAATTAGCTCCGTAACAGCTAGCATCACGAGCTTCATTTGAGTGGAGCCGAACACTATGAGTGACGTCACACTTGTTTAGTCCACATTTTCATACAGTCTATGGAGTCAAATGAAGACATACAGTTTCATACCTGGTCTGTGCTCCACTACTGACTTCTTTGCACTGACCTTTTTGACCTTAACATCACAATTTTGAAACCAATGCTGTCACTGTTGTAAAACATTTTGCTAAACAAATGGTTCTATCCTGCCTTATGACAGACCAAAAACTGTATAAAAGAAGTGGACTAAGTGAGTGTGATGTCACCCACAGTGTTCAGCGCCGCTCAAATGAGGCTCACAATGGTCATAGTTACAGGAATGAATCTGGAGCCAGGTTCTATGTTATGAATAGGATTTTTTTGATGGACAAAATAACGAAAAAAAAAAAAAATCAGGATCATGTAGAGCGAGTTAATACAAACATTTTAAGACCAAAATGACGAGGCTCACTGCAGAAGAGGGATGACAAGATCCCAGTGTAAAAGGAGAACGAGCCAGAAGAGCTTCCTGGTGCACATCTTATTTGGCATGCGGCAGCTAGCGTGTTAGCTATGTCCACTCATGTATACTGTACAGTCTATGTGACAGACGCATTGTGTCTCAGAGCAGTTTGAGGAGAACAATCCTCAGGACAAAAGACTCCTCTGTTTCCTGCAGTCTGGGCATCCCAGCCAGTGTCCAGGGAGAGCCAGGTGAACTCTGGAGACAACAGGAAAGCCTCCTTTAAACTTCACTCTTACTCCACTCTGTTGTTTTGGTTAGTGATGAACTGGGCCATTACCTTTAAGTATTTCCTCTGTAAAATCTTAAAAAATTAATAAATTTGATCATTATGACAATTAAAATAGTCAGTTGTCTTAAATAAAATGTGTATTCTCTGGCGCTGAGTTCTTGAAGTCTTGCAAAGTTCAGTTTCACACACCTTTAACCTCTAAAAGTAATACGATTTCTACATGCAGTCTTTTCTCAATCTTTTGGCCTAGCTTCTATAGGTAATAAAACATGCAACACTGTAGAGGAGGCCATAACTTTGGAAAAACAAACAGTCCATAGAGCCTGTACTCAATTTTATTTCCAGAGATTTATAAACAGCTCAAGGTCAAAGGTCAAAATACTGCAGCAGTGTTTTGTGTGCCTCTAATTATTAAGCGTTTATTGTCCAATAATCAGGCAGTGCACTGTTAGCATGCTAGTTGTCGTTTGCTTTTTCATAGTGGTAAACTCCGCTCAAGCCTCTGTAAGTTGTGACATGCACTTTAAACTAGTTATTAGGATGGAAAGTGAGGAATACCTTTGGACCACTGCAAACATGCAAAAAACAAATGTTTTTAAGACCACAAAAATCAAGGAACAGTGCCCTTAAGGTAGTTACAAGTTACCCCATATATAGATGTCATTATTAATAATACTACATTACATCATCCAGTCTGACACCATATCATTGTCTATACAATTACAATCAGCTCACCAATTTCTGTATACAAAGTAGCTGTGTTGCTTTGTGAGTCATCTAATTTACATATTCATTACAGCACATTATGATTATAAATTCCTGGAATGGATGACATTTCCTTCACTGGGGTTGGGGTTATAAGTGCCACCATATAGCACAGTTTGTCAGTTGTGTTAAGCTTACTTTTATTTTTTGAGTTGTTTGTTATCATTATTTATCATGTTTGATTGTATTGTGTGTATTTTCTGGTTGTTGGGGCTATGGGGGATACAGTGGGGGTATGGGATGGGATTGCAGGAGGAGGAAAGAGTGCGTTGCTCGAAGTGGAGCACAGACACTAACCTGCCTCTGTCTCTAGATGGAGATGTGGTCATTGGTGGATCTTTTAGTGTCCATTACCAAATCCCAGTTATTGATTATAACTATATACAAGTACCACATTACAAACCTTGCACTAAGTAAATAATTACTGTTTGACTACATTTTATTTACACAGTTTGCTGATGTATTTAACATGTTTTTCCATTTTTTGCTTTAGGTTAGACAAAATTTCATTTCAGTATGTGTATGCAATGATCTACGCTGTGGAGGAAATTAACCGCAGTAAAAGGCTCCTGCCAGGTGTAAAAGTGGGCTATCAAATTTTGGACGATTGTGGAAGACCCCCTTGGGCTCTTCAAGCTGTTTTGTCTTTAGTTGGGGGAGATGTGAAGAGCTGCACATCTGTGGACAAATCTGCTACTTCCAGTTTTAACAAACAAGGTATATTGTTGAAATCCATTATGTGTGAAGTAATGCACAAAACATTATACCAAATATAGTAACCAATAACATAACGGTGAGCACTAATGTAATTCTTTAAGTACTGGCATTCCTTACTATTACTTACAACTGTGGTAATTAGTTAATATTTCTAAATTAAAACCTTAAACCATGCAACAATGTGCAAGTATTACATTGTTTGTCATTGTTTACCAGCCTTATTAACCTTATATACCTTATCATTATAACGATTGCTATGCAATAATTGACTATTAAACTTGACTTTTCGCATTGGAAGGTCTTATTCCAATTATAATTGGAGGTCCATCATCATCAACGAGTATAGCTCTGTCAACAGTCTTGGGGCCATTGTCAGTGCCAATGGTAGGTGAAATAATATTTATTATTCAGCTAAACAATTTGTTCATATATATGTGAAAATGTTTTCTAATGATTTCTTTCAGATCAGCTACTTTGCAACTTGTCCCTGCCTCAGTGACAAGCAGCAGTATCCTAACTTCTTCAGGACAATCCCGAGTGACATCTATCAAGCCCGGGCCCTGGCACAACTGGCTATACACTTCCAGTGGACATGGATTGGAGCAGTGGTGTCCAATACGGATTATGGAATTGGTGCAGTAAAGGTATCTCACGCTAGATAATAATAATATTACGTATCTGAAAAATTAGCCGAACTGCATTTTAGATATTTCAGGAAGAAACTGTGGGGTCTGTGTGTTTGGCTTTTGTGAAAACTCTCAGAAGAGAAAACATAATCTCTGATGCTAGAGAAGCTGCTCTTACTATCAAGGCCTCAGCTGCTAAAGTCATTATGATCTTTACTTACTACACAGACGTCAGAGAGCTATTTGTGCAACTAAACAGAATAAATGTAAGAATGAAAATGCAAAATTAACATATTGGGATATTATGTACATGTTTGATGTTTATCATATTGTGTGCCTTCACCAGGTGACGGACAGACAGTATCTGGCCAGTGAGGCCTGGAGCACGAGTAGTGATCTACTCCGACATCCTGCCACTTCAAGAGTAGCTCAAGGTGTTTTTGGTGTGGCCATTCGAAGTTCTAATATCAAGGGATTTGAAAATTATGTAAAAAGTTTACACCCTTCACAATCCAAAAAATAAGCTCTTAAGAGAATACTGGGAAACAGAGTTTGGCTGTACTCCTCTGTCTTCTCTCTCCTCTCCTCTTCCTCCCTGTAATGGGACAGAGTCCCTGTATGGGGTGCGGAGTCCCTTCACCGATATGTCCCAATTAAGGGTCACATATAATGTTTATCTGGCAGTTTATGCAGCAGCTCATGCCATTCACAGCCTTTTATCCTGCCCCAACATTGAGGCCTCTGCTGCCACGTCAAACTGCTCCTCTCCTCAGAGTGTCACACCTGCACAGGTAACTGAAAACATATGGTAGTGATAAAGCAGTCAGATTAATACTGTTATTATTATGACTCATTTGTTTTTGGCCTCCAGCTTCTTGAGCATCTGCGGACAGTCAATTTCACCACACCTCAGGGTGAGAAGTTTTATTTTCAAGGAGGTGATATTCCAGCGAAATATGATGTGATCAACTGGCAGAAGACTCCTGAAGGGTCACTCAGACTGGTTCTAATCGGACAAGTGGATGGCTTTGACATTGTTCTGAATGAAACAGCAATTCAGTGGAGCACAGGAACAAATGAGGTTGTCAAACAACAGTTAAAAAATATATTTATGATTTTATATATTTATTATATTATATATTATTTTTTATTATATTTTGTAACTCATATAGGTCCCTACTTCAGTCTGCAGTATGAGCTGCCCTCCAGGGACAAGGAAGGCTGTGAGAAAAGGAGAGCCACCCTGCTGCTTTGACTGTATCCCCTGTGCAAGTGGTGAAATGAGTAACGAAACAAGTACATCATATTTTACAAATCCTTCTCCTCCTTTTGAGTCACCCACTCACCTGGTTATGCTTTTTTCATGGGAAGATTCTATGAAATGTCACAGGTGTCCACCTAAATACTGGTCAAACGCATATAAAACCTCCTGCATCCCTCGACAGCTGGACTTCCTCTCCTTTAATGAAACTCTGGGCATCACTCTAACCACAGTGGCTGTGTCTGGAGCTGTAGTGACCACTGCAGTCTTTGTGGTGTTCCTTTACTACCGACAAACACCTATGGTACTAAAATACAGTATATATGTCTCATATTTGAGTTCCAAAAAAGATAGATGATCTGTTTTCATTTCAGGTTCGAGCCAACAACTCGGAGCTGAGCTTCCTACTTCTGGTGTCTCTGAAACTGTGCTTCTTGTGCTCTCTGGTGTTCATTGGTCGGCCATCGGTCTGGTCGTGTCGCTTCCAGCAGGCCGCCTTCGGCATCAGTTTTGTGCTCTCTGTCTCGTGTCTCCAAGTCAAAACTATGGTGGTTCTAGCAGCTTTCCGCTCGGCTCGACCTGGTGCTGAGATGTTTGTTAAATGGTTTGGTCCAAGAAAACAGAGGGGGAGTGTGTGCCTGCTCACCTGTATACAGGTCAAATAGTTTTATCTTGTTTGGTCTTGAAGCTTGAAACTTGAGTGGAAAAATTATTGTCTTCTAATCTTTAGATCCTCATCTGTATTGTGTGGCTGAGTGTCAGTCCTCCAGAGCCTCATGTGGACCTGGGTGTGCAGGGGTCAAAGGTCACTCTGGAGTGTGCCATGGCGTCTGTGCTGGGCTTCTCTCTGATCCTGGGATACATTGGGCTGCTGGCCTGCACATGCCTCCTCTTGGCTTTTCTGGCTCGTAAACTCCCAGACAACTTCAATGAGGCCAAACTCATCACTTTCAGCATGTTGATCTTCTGCGCTGTTTGGGTGGCTTTTGTTCCTGCCTATGTCAGTTCTCCTGGAAAATACTCTGTAGCTGTAGAAATATTTGCTATTTTAGCCTCTAGTTATGGCCTATTGCTTTGCATTTTTGCACCAAAATGTTTCATAATACTTTTGAGACCTGAGAAGAACACTAAGAAATATGTAATGAGGAGATAACTTTTGCTTCAAGAAATAAATAAATGAGTTTTGGTTTTGAGCTTTTGTTTGGTCCTAAAGGACATTTTTCTGCAAGTCTTGATTAAATAAATATGTACAGTAAATACATTTACTGACTATTTATTCTCTGTGTCTAAAAGTGCATTTTAACATTGTCTACATCTGGAGCATTCATAAAATACAGAGCAAACATGTAGCTTTGCATTATTAATTTATTTTATAATAAACATAGACACATTATATACACTCTAAACTTAAATATTTCAACACTCAAATATATATATATATATATATATATATATACACACACACACACACACACACACATATATATATATATATATATATATAATATATATATATATATATTATATATATATATATATATATATAATATATATATATGTATAGTAAAACAATAAGGAACTGCACTATGCTCAAATGAACAAATTCTATCTCCACTTTCTTAACCTCGGCCCATAACTGCCTTCTTTGTGTTCCTCTCTGGTCTAAAAAGAATTATGTAACATTTGGGTCCAAACAGCGCCACCAAGAGGCCAAAACTAGAGGCCAGGATGGCAAACACCTCCACTGCATCGGCATATTTACCTGGAGAGTTGACATAAGCAGGGACAAAGGCCACCCACACAGCACAGAAGATCAGCATGCTGAACGTGATGAACTTGGCCTCATTGAAATTATCAGGGAGATTCCTGGCCAGAAATGCTAACATAAAACTCAACAAAGCCAATAAACCAATGTAACCCAGAAGAACAGCAAACCCCACAGAGGATCCTATGACACATTCATAAATGATTTTATCATTATAATAATCAGTGTTTTTATGTGGAGCAGGTGATGCAGTTACCAACCAGATGATGCAAATGACAGCTTGAATGCAAGTCAGCGTAAAAACAGTCCCTCTCTGCTGTAATATACCGAACCATTTGAGAATAGCGCCACCTCCTGGTTTGGAGGCCTTGAACACAGCCAGCACCACCATGGTTTTCACCAGAATACAAGAGACACACAGAACAAAGCTGATCCCAAATGCTGCATGTCGCAGCTGGCATGTCCACAGTCTGGGACGTCCGATGAACAGCAGTGAGCACAAGAAACACAGTTTGAGAGATAATAAGACTTGAAAACTAAGTTCTGAGTTGTTGGCCCTTACTATAGCTGTGTTTCGATTATGAACAAAAACCAGAAAAACTATAGCACAAATGAAAGTTCCTAAGACTGCAGTGGTGGTCAGGCAGATCCCCAGAGGCTCATGGTAGGACAGAAACTCAATTTTCTTAGGTACACACTGGTCATGAGCAGGACTGGACCAAAAGTCTTCTAGACATGGGATGCATTCTGTGGAGTCTATAAGGGAATATTCCATATACTTTGAAGTATTTTATTTATTTATCTTTTAAATTATTGTTTAGAAATGGTTTAAATCCAATTCATACCTGTTATGTTGCTTATCTTCCCCTCAGAACATGTTATGCAGTCAAAACAGCACTCAGGTTCTCCTTTCCTTCTTGCCCTGCGAGTTCCCAGAGGACACTTTTCGCTGCACACTGACATGGGAGGCTACAGGCATCCATATCATTAAAGTCATTATCCAGTTCACAAAACAATGTTCACTGCATGTAAAAAACTGACCGTCATAGGTTCAAAATTCCAGAATATTTTTTCATTGTTGAGATGGAGTTGTTCTCCTCTCTGAGCTGACTTTTTAACCACACCAACATTTTTTACTTGTATGTGTCCACTTGGAAGCCACAGCCAGTTCATTACATCATATAAATGTATTGCATCACCATTCTCATCAAAAGACACCTCATCACCGAACAACGTGGTGAAGTTCACATTTTGCAAATAATGTACAAACTGTGAATTATGAAAAGAAACATTTTCAACACCTGAACTTTGACTCATGTAATCAGGTTTAAACAAGTTCATTGATAAATAAATAATAAAACTAATTAAACTGTATGTTTAGACCTGCCATGGCTCCAGCGTGTGCAGAGTGGTACAGCTGTTCCCAGGGAAAGGCCCTCTCCCTGGTTCACAGCGCAACAAGTCGTCCAGAGCATGAGCTAAAGCATACACAGCCTTATACACATTATACTCTGGTCTGAGGTTGGACACATCTAGGAACTCAGTGTCTATGTTCTGGAGATCTTCATGTCCAGTGCACAAAGCTCCTCCAGCTTCTGTCCACTCTGCAGGAGCTGGGGCAAACCTACACTTGAATGTGTTCTCCCAAAACTGGTGAACCTGCATAGTAGGAAGATTATAGAATTATGTTTAACCAACAATACAAAGGAAAAGTGACAACTTACAATGTCATCATCATCAGCACTTTCGTTTGACTGTGTGGGCAGTATTTGTAGTAGGAACTCCCTTAACCCTGGTATTTCCCCTCTCCGGATGGCAATGCCCAGTGTTCCTCGCAAATATGGGATGAGGTGTGGAGTGTGTAACACAGTCGCTGTTGTCCATGCTTCACTGGCAATCCACTGAAGACCTGTCAAATTCTGCCTCACTACCTTAAGAGTTGATTTTATTGGTAAAAACCTCAGTTGACCATGACAGTAATACTTTTATTTTATACACAGTAATCATTACATTTACCTCTTCCATAAGTGGAATCATGTTGCTCTCATGTGCAAATGCAATGACTACTCGAGCTGTAGATTTCTTTATCACATGCACAATTCTCTCAACTTCATACTGTTTGTTGTCCCAGGGCAAAATTTCCAGGTATGCAAGACATGGCTCACCTGGCAGCGAGAGGTCAGACTGGAAGGACTGGGCAGCATGTAGTCCATAGTCATCATCACTGACCAGTAGACCTACCCAGGACCAACCGAAGTGCTTTAAAATCTGAATAATTGCCTGCACCTAAAATACATTCCTTGTTATTAAAAGCTAATATGCTATATATATATATATATGTATATATATATATATATATATATATATATATATATATATATATATATATATATATATATATATATATATATATATATATATATATATATATATATATATATATATATATATGTGTAGGATGTTTTGATTTTTTTGTTTTGTTTTTTTTACCTGGAAAACATCACTTGGAATGGTCCTAAAGAAAGCAGGATATTTTTTACGATTACTTAAACAGGAACATGTGGCAAAGTAACTCACCTAGGAAACATCAATTCAAATTTGACAGATAATAACTTGAAAACAACATGCACTATACATATATTTATAAATGTTCAATTTTAAATATATAAATAAATAAATACTTACCAGGGGCACTCTATACAATCCTAAAACATTTGATATAGCAATAGATCGTGTAGAAGAGGAATCACCAACAATACCAAGGATTGGAGGTGCACCCACACATGAATCATTTAATACAAAATGTTTTTTCTGCCCGGCAGCTAAAGACAGGGCTGCACGAAATCCGATACCCAGTTCAACACAGTTATCATACAAACTGTATCCAAGAGTCACATTTGGGAGCAGATCAGTGTTTCTATTGATTTCCTCTACTGCAAAAGCCATAGTTAGGGCCTGTCTGAAACCTAGGACATCAAAACTAACAGACAGCAGTAATGAGTAATAGGAGCAGAGAGAAATCAATATTGTAGACTCATCAAGAACAACAAGTTAAGTGCAAGCCCATTACATTGCAAACAGAAAAAAAATATATATATTGTGAAATAATATTGAGAGTGGATTTGAACTCACCCATAGCAAACTGGCTGCTGTGGTTGTGATGTGAATGTTAGGTCAGGAAAATCTGAGAAAAAGTGGATTTCAAATAGCCCACCCAGAATCACATCTCCATCTTTTTGCATTGTGTTGAGGTGAAACAGTCCTTGTAATTGGCAAGTGGAAAGAGAGCCCAAAACAAAAGGCATAGAAAACAATGAGCTGAATATCAAATGTATGAGCCACATAGCTTGGCATGGCTGGACTAATACCATCCATGTGTGGTTGTCAGATAAAGTGTATTTATACAATTATGTCATTAAACTTTTTGTGTCTGTCACCAGGGGTGCATCTTAGAAAGGGGCAGGGCCTAAAGTAAAAACTAAAAAGAATTCTCAAAATGCAGAGGACCGCTAGATGATTTAGTTATTTTTTGTTATGTTGTTGTTATCTGACAGTAAATTGAATGGAAAAACTGACTGATTGCTTTTTGCTAAGAGGCTATGGTCTATACAGTGATTTGTATCAGTCCTTAGTGATAAAGAAGAAGCTGAACTCATGCTCATGAGCTCTGGATCATGACAAAATTAGCTGTATGTTGCAAGGTAGCCTTACACTCTTTCAGCAGTAGGGCGAGGAGCTCAGTTACTTGTTATTTGTTCTGGATGTCTGCACAACATGAAGAGGTTTTACATAAAATACTGGGCAAATTCTGAAGACATCTTGACTTTGGGGGCAGGATGTTTGAAAAAATATGGAGATTATTGCTTGGTTGCTCTTTTAGAGACCCAACCCTATAGTTAAAAAAAAAGGGGGGTTTGTGTGTTTTATTGTAAAAATAACCATGAGAAGGGGTATTACATTAGGATATTAATTGTTAACATAACATATTTAGATCACCCACAGACTGTATAATAGAAGTGGACTAAGGGAGTGTGCAAAGGAACCACTTTATGCCCATGCTCACTTCACTATTTGGAATGTTGGAATGTTCGATTTTATTGTTTTAAAAAGGTTATATTGGCAGTAAAATGTTGCATTACATTAGTTTTTGACTTTCAAGTCGCCCCGCCTCTTGCTCCCCATGCTAAATCACTCCCCCTTTATCAAGTTTGTGATGCTATAGTGCATTATCTTGTATCCTGTTTTGTAAATTTATGAGAGAGAGAGAGAAACTCAAAACATGCATGGATGACATTTAAAACCACTTGAGGCATGTTTTCAATGAGTGAACAACATTATAACGTGGTAGAAAGCTGTGAAAAGTTAAATTTGGATCCCCCCCCCCTCCTCTCTCTCTCTCTCTCTCTCTCTCTATATATATATATATATATATATATGTATATATGTATATATATATATATAAAATAAATATATATATAAAAGAGCCCGACCGATACATATGGGCACCTGGAGGCATATCGGGCCGATATTTCACTTGGGCATGTGATATGTCGTTAAAAATCTTCTCTGTACATTATGTTCATTTAATCCTATTTACAGACAGATAAATGTCCAAATATGTGGTTCCACATCAGTATTTATCTACGGAGTCTTTTGTCTGTGTCTGAGTCCGTACTGTCCCTGAACACACCCCCAGAGTAGCGTCACTCACGTATGTTTGTTTACACGTGCAGACACAGATCCAAACATTGAGATTATATTCTTTTTACGGACAATCAGTTTGAGTCTGAATTCAAAGGACATTTATTAGTGCAGATTTGTGATGTGAGGAGGAGCCTGTGTGAACGGTGAGTGTTGGAAATATGTCGACTTTGAAGCTAGTTTTGGTCATTTGTTAGCTGCTGTTAGCTGTAACTCCCGCACATAAACAGGCTGTTTTCTATTGGTCTATTGTAAAGTAACTATATTGGCCGTAGATTTGCTACTGGACCTGCACTGATATGTAAGTGAGCTGTGAATAGAGGTGTGAATTATGACATTTGCGCATATAATTAATTACCGCGGCGCTTACGGCTAGAGGCTAACAGCGGTAGTTTCTTTACTAGTGATGGGTCGGTCGCGAACGAAATAGCGAACGACGGGAGCATGGGAGCCGTGTTTTCTCTTTCTCTCACTTTTTTCTCTTCACGCCGCGTGCAGACTCGTGGTAGTTTGACAGCGGCAGCGGCTGAAAACAAAACTTTGAGAAATTTGCGTGTACATAGGATAAAAAACAACAAACAAAAACGAGCACATTTGGCTGTAGTTTAGCATAAAATAAATAAGTCCCGGTTTAGTCCTTTTTCAGTCCTGCTTTAGACGTGCTTTAGACCTACTTGCAACAAAACAATCTGAAGAGCCGCTTGGGAGCCAAAAGAACCAGCAGCTTTTAGTGATCCGAGCCAAAAGAGCCGGTTCTCTAAAAAGAACTGGAATACCCATCACTAGTGTCTAGAATGTGAATTCTGTAAATATGATGTAAAGAGTCAGAATAGCAATAAATGTTGCCTAAATAAACCCAATTTAAAATCCACCAGAGCCAAACTCAGCTATCGGCAGCTCCAACTCCCATTATATCGGTTTCATATCGGCCACAGCAAAATCCATATCGGTCGGGCTCTAATATATTGTTACTTTCTTCCCCTGCCCAGTAATCTCCTAACTGTAGTACAGAGGCTGAACAGGCATTTGACTCGTTAGCAACACGAAATTTATTTTAGAAAAAACATGAGCGGTAAAAATACAGTGGCCGTGCTGTCTGGCGGCCGCAACAGAAGAGGGCGCCTCGCGCCAAGACACAGAAAAAAACAGTCCAGAGCTACCCATAACACCTTGCTCTTAAAGGGACCAGCCAGGCTGGTAACACTACCCCCACTCTGGATGATAGTAAAAGAAAATCCTAATATCACTCCAGCACAACATTGGCATGCAGTAACACAAATTAGACATACACTTTTTTTTTCCAATTAATGTTCAGTGCATAGAAATCTCCCAAAGTCAAAAAAACAAAACAATGCAACATGTAGTCTACATAAACAGTCACCGTCTCCTACTCACAAGAACCCTTTTAACACAACAGGCTAACCAACGGGGCAAATGTACAACAATGGCAGTTTTAACAGGCAGAATACATAAGCAGAACATTTTTTTTTTTTTTTTTTCTCTGAGAAGGGCAGTGATCCGCCTACACCCTAACTCAGGCAACAATGGTCATGTCTAGTGACTTATCCAGTCACCAAACTTGTTGGGTGCTCTCCGGGTCCTGCGCAGTCTCAATGGCGGTGTAGAGATGGCAGGATGACACCCCCTTCCACCCGAGGTAGGTAGCTGAGTGCTGTCATCCCATGATGGCCGTGCAGAGCTAGCTGGAGGAGGAGAGGAGTCAGTGAGTTGTAGAACAGGTGATGGAGCCTCAGTGTCCCCTCCGGAAACCACGGCCAGGCCCTCAGCATCTGAAGAATCGTCCCACAACTGGAGAGGGCCAAATTCAAGATCAGAATCTTCATCAAGAGTCGGCGGTACCACCTCACGAGGCACCGATGAGTCAGACCTCTGGAAAACCCAGCTATTATCAAGCAGGGTTCTGGAGTGGAAGGGCTTGAGTTTGTCGTGGTGTACCACTTTCACTTTTGACCGTGGCCCCTTCTGGATTTGGTTCACCAAGTCGTCCAGATGACCCACAATAAAATACGGGCCCTCATAAGCGGGAAGGAACTTCTGTACCTTGTTCCTTACTGGCTTTGTACCTTTAATCAAGTGCCACACCGCAGTACCAACAGGGTACTGAGTCTGACAAATGTTTTTGTCATATTGTCTCTTTGCTCGCTCAGAGGCTTTCCCCAAAGCTTCTCGTGCAAGCCGGTTAGAGAGCTCCAGCTGCTCTCTGAGCTTTAGGACATATTCCGGTAGCGAACTGGCACCAGTGTCATTCGGGGGAAGCCCGGCCACTAAGTCCACTGGTTCAGTGATTTCTCTGCCAAACAACATCATGTTAGGGGTCAGTCCGGTAGAGTTGTGCCTGGTGGAGCGATAGGCCATAACCGCAAAGGGGAGAATTAAATCCCAGTCCCAATGGCACCTTTCTGCGGTAGCGGATAGTGTTTTCTGCAGAGTAGCATTAAAGCGTTCCACCTGCCCATCTGACTGCGGGTGGAACGGAGTGGTACGTGTTTTTTCGATACCTAATAGTTCATACATGCTTTGGAATACAGCGGACTCAAAATTCGTGCCCTGATCACTGTGTAAGGTGTGGGGGGCCCCATATCTGCACACCCACTCCGACACAATCTTCTCTGCAACTGTGACTGCTTGCTCATTAGGAACGGGATAGGCTTCCACCCACTTGCTAAAATAGTCCTGCACCACCACTATGTAGCGGTTATGTCTATCTGTCTCGTTCAAAGGTCCCATGAGGTCAACTGCTATTCTCTCCATGGGAGCTCCAACCCGCACTGTGCCCATGGCTGCCTGTGGTGTCTTCTTTGGCTGTGCTCTGGCAGCACAGCTGGAGCATGTGCGGCACCATAGGGTTACATCGTCCTTCATGTTGTACCAGTAATACCTGGTCTTTACACGTGCCAGTGTCCTTTCCCCCCCAAAATGGCCCCCAACTGGACCATCGTGCATTTGCTCCATCACTGCTGTGCGTAACTTGTAGGGCAGGAGGACCTGTGGGAAGAACGTTGTACCTTCAACACAGAAAAACTTCCTCATTAACACTCCATCTTTTAAATAAAGTCTTTTCCACTGTGACCAGTAGGCCTTAGTGGCTGGGCTGCAGGCGGCTATGGTGGAAAAGGATGGGCGGTTCCCCTCACTGTCTACCCACTGCCAAACTGGTGGAATGTCCGGGTCAGTCTTTTGAGCAGTGCTCAATTGCTCTAATGTCCAGCCCTGAAACAGACTAGGTTGTAGCGAGTCACCCACTCTGTGAATACGGGGACGTGTGTCAACTCTGTTATGAGTATGTCCTACCCCCAGTATAGGAAACTCAGGCTTACACAATGGCGACCTTTTCGTATATGTCATCCCGGAGATTATGCAGAGCTTTGCCTGGTTTCCGGACTCTCTGCCGCAGCTCGATCCCGATGGCAGCTGCGTGCTCAGAGTGAGGCCCATAAGCGGCATTAACCTCCTTTAATATGCGTTCGTAGCTCCAGCCTGCAGACTTCGGGTTTTTGTGAATAATAGCACCAGCTGCGCCTGTTAAACTGAACCTGAGTTGAATAGCCTTTGTTTCGTGTGACCAGTAATTTGCTCGGGCACATGTTTCAAAGTGGAAGATGAAATCTTTCCATGAGCCTGATCCATCAAAAAGTCCTGGCCGCAGAGTCGGAATTCTCTCTTTGGCCCCATAACACTCCTCTTCACTGCTGTCGGTGGAGTCGCCCAGCACCCAGCGTGATGAGTGGCGGTGCAGTACTGACTTTGACCGCCTAGGACCGGGCCAGTCCTCATGGGTGGCTGCCTTGTGGTTGGAAGTGGTGCACGGGTACAATCTAGAGCTGTCGGATTATCTGGGCTCTGCTGGAAAGGGTGCGGTGTCTTATGCGCTTGCTTGGCTAGTGGCACAGGGTGTCAAACATTGCATGTATGGCAAGGAGGTCTGAAAAATTTAATCGTTATCTGCATCAAAGATGGGTACAAACGGTGTTGACGTCACCCTCCCTTGGTGGTGTACAATCCTATCTCGACTCTCGGGCGAGAACACTGGCGCAATAAAGGGGTTTGTGTGTGCCGATGGCGGCGTAAGCTGCCATGCTTGTTATGTCACCCCACTGCGGTGCTCATTCTGTGCGGCTGTCGTTAGCTCCATGCTAGTCAAAACGGGTTGGTCTTGTTACCATTCACATCTCCTCTAGCTTGACTCAAAGTGGCCCTAGCAGCCTCGGTCATCTCTAGCCAAAAAGGATTTGTGCTCACATTATGTTCTGCTATACTTAACAGTCTCTTATTGTTCACATTGTCATTACCACGGTAAACCGGCACCGCCATTATCTTTTGGGTCTTTCGGGTGCTGCTGTTTTTCCTCGTCGTGGTCCCTGAAGTTTCTCCAATCTTTACAAAAGCTGAATCCCGGACGAGCCCCCAGTGTTACTTTCTTCCCCTGCTGAATAATCTCCTAACCGTAGTACAGAGGCTGAACAGGCATTTGACTCGTTAGCAACACGAAATTTATTTTAGAAAAAACATGAGCGGTAAAAATACAGTGGCCGTGCTGTCTGGCGGCCGCAACAGAAGAGGGCGCCTCGCGCCAAGACACAGATCAAAACAGTCCAGAGCTACCCGTAACACCTTACTCTTAAAGGGACCAGCCAGGCTGGTAACAATATATAATATATATATAATATAATAATACAAATTCTGTGTTAACTATAACGTTGCTTGGTGGATTTGCTTAGACTTTGATTCAAAATGCCTTTCTTTGTGTTTCTCTCTGGTCTAAAGAGAATTATGTAACATTTGGGTCCAAACAGCGCCACCAAGAGGCCAAAACTAGAGGCCAGGATGGCAAACACCTCCACTGCATCGGCATATTTACCTGGAGAGTTGACATAAGCAGGGACAAAGGCCACCCACACAGCACAGAAGATCAGCATGCTGAACGTGATGAACTTGGCCTCATTGAAATTATCAGGGAGATTCCTGGCCAGAAATGCTAACATAAAACTCAACAAAGCTAAAAAGCATATGTAGCCAAGTAAAACAATAAACCAAGCTGTTGAACCGACCACACATTCATAAATGATTTTGTCATTATAATAGTCAGTGTTTTTGTGAGGAGCAGGTGATGCAGTCATCAACCAAATGATGCAGATGACAGCTTGAATGCACGTCAGAGTAAAAACAGTCCCTCTCTGTTGTAATATACCAAACCATTTGAGAATAGCGCCACCTCCTGGTTTGGAGGCCTTGAACACAGCCAGCACCACCATGGTTTTCACCAGAATACAAGAGACACACAGAACAAAGCTGATCCCAAATGCTGCATGTCGCAGCTGGCATGTCCACAGTCTGGGACGTCCGATGAACAGTAGTGAGCACAAGAAACACAGTTTGAGAGACACCAGGAGCAGGAAGCTCATTTCTGAATTATTGGCTTTGACCAGTGGTGTGCTGCGGTGATATGTGAAGATGCCAAACACAACAGCACAAATAAATGCTCCCAGCAGTGAGGCTGTGGTCAGGCAGATCCCCAGAGGCTCATGGTAGGACAGGAACTCTGTTTTCTTAGGAACACACTGGTCACGAGCAGGACTGGACCAGAAGTCCTCTGGACACACATGGCACTCCATGGAGTCTATCAAAGAAACATGAAGATGTAATCATGAATTCATCCCTTGTGTGAAAACTCATGATTCACTGATGTACGATGGAGCCCCTGTGGTCCCCTAAAATAAAAATAAAAACTTAATATGTTGTTTGCAAGATAATTTAACTATGACATGCAAACAAGAATCTATCTGTGTGAGCAAGGTAAAATTTTATGTAAACAAGGTACTATCTCGGCGAACAAGATAATTATCCTGTGGGAACACAATAGACTATTATCAGGCTGATACGTAGTACTTCCGCATTCAGTGATCTTTGTGCACGCCTACTTCCGGTGAATTGTCACTCTGGTGATTGAACTTATGATGGACGAACCGAAGTTGTTTACATAGACTACATCCCTTATAATTTTACCGAAAATATCCTTTTCCGACTTACATCATATCATTGATCAACATTCAATCACAGCCCGCTCCAAAGTGGACAACGAATACAGTTTATTTATTTTTTTTATTTCACCTACGACTATGAAGGTGAGTGGCTACTAGCTAACATAATTTTACAGTTGCCGTTCCGACATACCATCACTCTGATATTGACGCGTTATTGTCAGAGTAGCGGCATTTCCATTTTTTATCAAATGTCCCTGCACTCAGACATTTCTTTTTCGGTTGGTCGGAGTGGCGTAATCCTATTGTTGAAGGCGCACCACTGTGCGTAAAGGTCCTGGTACTGCAAGTGCAGCCGAGCAGCGTGGCTACAAGGGACAGATGCGTAAGAATTTTGAACTTTTATGAATGAAGAGGTTACGGGGCGTTACCTGACACTGCAGGTGGAAACGCGCGGTGACGCGCATTTGGCTCAAGGCGCAATGATACGGCCAAGCAGAGAAACTACGAAAAACTAAATTGTGTGACAGTTTGGACATTTTTGTAAATGGACAGGAGCAGGAGATATTCATTACCTGTTGCCAAAGACTAAGGGGCACGAGAATGCGCTGTGAAGCTCAGCGTGTGGCGAGAGAGAAGCGGTGCCTGGCTCGCAGTCGGATAGAGGCACTAAAGAGATCAATGATTTAGGAATCTGGATATTTTCATGAATAAGGGCTAAAAGATTAGAATTATACCTGGTCATAGAGGACAGAGCGCCTTACACAGGGACCCAGAAATGTGTCGGTCCCTTATAAATTCATAAAAGTTTATAAAGAGGCGGCTGCAGCGCTCATTCTCCTCGTGCGCGCACTTAAAGTCGCGGACTTTTATGCACTCGTTAACCTGGCACCTCCACCGCGCTCTCACCTGCAGGAGGTCAGGAGTATATGGCCCCCTCTCGTGCCAACAGAGCAGCGTGCGTAAAGCTCTGCGCGCTCTAATGGCACAGAGCTTTACGCCAAACACCCTCCAATATGGGATGGCGGTTCTCTCTCTCTTTCTCTCTCTCGTTCAAGATTAGTCCTGGTTTAGTCCTGGTTCATCGGTGTCGTAATGGGGGCATGTTGGGGTGGAGGGTTGTTGAAATGACGGTATGACAGAGTGGGGGTCTGTCGGAGTGACGGTATGTAGGGATGGGGTTGCCTATGCTTTAGAACAGGTAGGTTATCTTATGCTAATGTCACTGTATGGATATAAGGCGTTTACCCAACATACCCAACAAAAGCAAGAGTATTAATTTTTAAATGAGGCTAAGTAAATTCACCCATGTCATTTGCATTCTGAGAGGAAGAATGTTTGCCTCTCAATTTCAGCCAGCTAACGTCGGCATACGTCTCTTTTGCTAGCACATAAAGGAGAAAAAAGTCAGTTTCAACCAGGCTTTCAGTGGACTTCAATGGACTTCACAATGCTATGAGAAAATAAAAAAGACAGAGCGAGAACACCTGTTTGAAGCAGACTTTTTTGCTCCTTTTTGTGTCTATGTTACATTTGTCCTGCTCCCGCTGTGGGCTTTAACTGGTCCCAATAACTTCTTTTGCCCATTATAAAGCTATTACAAAGTATTTACAAAGAATATGCATTGATCGTGTTGATTAATTTATAATTTGAAAAGAGCAGTGATATCTAGCTGTTGTTTGAGCTATTGTTGTTGTTGCGCCGGAAGTGGAAGTGCACAAACTAGACAAACCCCGCCCACAAAACCTGGAAGCGTGATAATGGCCTATTTTTTTTCCTTCACTTTTTTAGGGGACACTATACTATGGGCTTTGCGTGTTTCAGAATGCTTTTCTCATAAGTTGTAAAATTTTTGCCATTGTTAAGGTTCTCTGACCTGAGGAGTTGCTGAAGGTGCCCTCAGAACAGACGATACAGTCAAAGCAGCACATAGGCTGACCTCTCTGTCTGGCCATGCGGGTTCCTGAAGGACAGCTCTCGCTGCACAATGACTGAGGAGGCTTTGTACAAATGTTGACTTAATCATGGATAAAACATTGAATGACTTTGAGAAATCAAATTTTACCTGTTTGTTTTCAAAGTTCCAAAATATTTTATTTTCATGAATTCTGTAAGCTTCCTCAGCAGATGACTTTTTTACCTCGCCAATATTCTGAATATAGATTTCACCATTGGGCAACCATTTCCAGTTCATGATGTCATAGATTGGCAAGACATTACCATTTTCATCAAAAGAGACTTGATCACCAAAAGAAGTGGAAAAGTTGACTTTTTGCAAATAATGGACCAGCTTCAAAGAGAGAGAGAGAGAGAGAGAAATCTAATACATTTGTAGTTATGCTAATGTTACTCAGTCATGATTGCCACACCTGCCATGGCTCCAGCGTGTGCAAAGTGGCACAGCTATTCCCAGGGAAAGGCCCTCTCCCTGGTTCACAGCGCAGCAGCTGATCCAAAGCATGAGCTAAAGCATACACAGCTTTATACACATTATACTCTGGTCTGAGGTTGGACACATCTAGGAACTCAGTGTCTATGTTCTGGAGATCTTCATGTCCAGTGCAAAAAGCTCCTCCAGCTTCTGTCCACTCTGCAGGAGCTGGGGCAAACCTACACTCAAATGTGTGCTCCCAAAACTGATTAACCTGAAAACAATTATTAAAATGAATATTTTGTATATTTTGTATTAAAACAAATATGGCTCACTGCTGGACAGAAATATTACATTTTACCATATTATGTCTATTTGAATATGCTTCAGGTTTAATGTTTGACAAAAAATCCTTTAGTCCTGGTATTTCTCCTCTGCGGATGGCAATGCCTATTGTTCCAGCAAGATATGGTATGAGACTAGGAGTTTGCAACACTGATGCTGTTGTCCATGTTTCACTGGCCATCCACTGTAGACCAACCACATTCTGCCTCACTACCTACAAACAATACATTATGTATTACACAGGGTGCATATATTTTTTGCTGTTTTATTTGTAATATTTTATGATATAAACTGTTTGAGCAGACCTCTTCCAAAAGGTTAATCATGTGGATCTCATGTGCAAATGCAATGACAACCCGAGCAGTTGATGTTTTTATTACATGCACAATTCTCTTCAGTTCCTCTGGATTACTGTCCCAGGGCAGAGTTTCAGTGTAAGCCAAACAGCCTCCTCCAACCTCTGGCAAGTCTGACTGAAAAGACTGGGCCACATGCAGCCCGTAGTCATCGTCACTGACCAGAAGGCCCACCCAAGTCCAGCCAAAATGTTTCAAAATCTGAATCATGCTATGCACCTAATAAACCATTACAATGCAATGAATATTATTTGTAATATGGATATATGTTAATAAAACAACAAATGTATCCAGACTTACTTGAAAAGCATCAGATGGGATTGTCCGAAAGAAAGATGGGAACTTTTGACGGTTACTGAGACAGGAGCATGTGGCAAAGTAACTCACCTGTGAATTAAAAGATACATAGTTAATGGGGGTATAATTTAGATTCATTCTTTTTTAATTCAATTATGTTTTAACTCAATATAAGGCAGTATTCACATTACAGGAGTTTACAAAACTTTCAAAATCAAATAAATCATGAACTTTAATTCTACTTATACAATATTAAGTGCACAATGTTAGTTTATTTCTGACAGGAGACAAAACCATTAACAACACTATAATATAAAAGCAAACTTACAATAGGCATTCTGTATAGGCCAAATACATCAGAGATTGCAATAGAAAATGTTGAGTAGTGATCACCGACGATTGCTATAACAGGGGGAGGTGCTGTGCAGTTTTCCTGAAGTACATACTGTTGCTTCTGGCCACCAGCTGCTGCCAGCGCACTGCTCAAACCAATCACCAGAGCCCCGCAGTTGTCAAACAGACTGTATCCCAAAGTGAGGTTAGGAAGCAGATCAGATCTTCTGTTGATTTCATCTACAGTAAAAGCCATGGTCGAAGCATGCCTAAAACCTAAAATGTCAAAACTAAAAAATAAATAAATAAAAAATCATTATCTGTCTAGTAGAGTGCGGCGATAAATAGATTAAATAGATTTTTTTTAGCAAACAGACATAAAACATGTGTGAAAATAACACACTATGAATCAATGGAATACACACACAAAAAAAAACTCCTTCTGTTTAAAATTGTAGACTTACCCGAGGCAGACAGGTGGCTGTGGTTCTGAGGTAAAGGATCTGTTAGGAAACATAGCGGTGTAGTGCACCTCAAACAGTCCACCAAGAACCACATCTCCTGCCTGGTGCAAACTATTGAGAATAAACTCTTTCCTCAGCTGACATGTAGAGAGAGATGTAACCATGTCCAAATACAGAAATGAGCACAAGATTAGGTGTAAAATAACACAAGACATTTCTATAGTTGGCTAATAGACTAATAGCATAGCATGCCCTGATGTCATTCAAATAACACTGTTGGTGTGTTGCTGCTTATCTATATACAGTATCAGGGTGTGTCATGCTTTATCCCATGGGCAAGGAAGCAAAGTCTTCTGCATAGCAATTATGTCAAGACTATTATTATTATTATTTGTTAGGACAAGAAAGAAAAAAAAAAGAAAAAAACTACAGGCAAAAAGTCCCAATAGGGTATATATAATCAGCACACATGGGCACACATGTAGTATTTAGTTATTTATTTACATGTAGTATTTTTGTATTTTATTTATGAATAAAATATATTCATCTGATATATGATATGATGATACATATATATATATATATATATATATATATATATATATATATATATATATATATATATTATGAGATAAGCAGAATTATCATAGTATTCTACATGGATGACATTTACGCTAAGAGTTCGACTCACTGATCCACACACAAGGATCTACAGTACAGACATTGGGATGTCATTCGGCTTGAGAAATGTAGCAGGATGGTGACAAAGAGAGGGAAGGTAGTCCACACAGAGGGGGTGTCACTCCCAGAGGGAACAATAGCAGACGTTGAGGACAGTTACAAGTACCTTGGTATCCCACAAGCAAGTGGCAACCTTGAAGAGGCAACAAGGAAAGCGGCTACGGCCAAATACCTGCAAAGAGTGAGGCAAGTCTGAGAAGCCAGCTCAATGGCAAGAACAAGGTGCAGGCAATCAACAGCTACGCCCTGCCAGTGATCAGATACCCTGCAGGGATTGTAAGCTGGCCAAAGGAGGAGATACAGACCACAGATGTTAAGACACGAAAGCTCCTGACCATGCATGGAGGGTTCCATCCCAAATCCAGCACCCTGAGACTGTACGCAGGCCGGAAGGAAGGGGGCCGAGGACTAGTGAGTGTGGGAACCACTGTCCAGGATGAAACATCCAAGCTCCTTGAGTACATCAAGGACAAGGCCCCGGCAATGAGGTGCAGAGAATGTCTCAGACAGTGGGGTCCAGAGGAAGAGGTGCTGGAGGGACCATCATGGCAGGACAACCCCTACATGGGGCGTACCACTGGAACATAACTGAGTGGCTGATATCAAGAAATCCTACCAATGGCTTGAGAGGGCTGGTCTGAAGGACAGCACAGAGGCACTGATCCTGCTGCTCAGGAGCAGGCCCTGGCACTCGAGCAAGAGGCCAGATCTACCACACCAGCAGACATTGTAGACTTGCAAAGAGGCTCCTGAGACAGTCCAGCACATAACTGCGGGGTGTAAGATGCTGGCAGGGAAAGCTACATGAGCGACATAACCAAGTGGCGGGCATAGTGTACAGAAACATCTGGCAGAGTACGGGCTGGAAACCCAGGATCAAGGTGGGAAACACCTCAAAGGTTGTGGAGAATGACAGCCAAGATCCTGACTTCCAGATACAGATGACAAATGGTGATGGCAACCAACCAGAATTGGTGATAAGAAACAGAGCAGAGCCGTGGTGGTGACATCGCAATACCAAGCGATGGTAATATCAGGAAAAAAGGAACACGAGAAGCTGAGAAATACCAGGGGCTCAAGGAAGAGCTGGAGAAGCCTGGAAAGTAAATCAGTGGTGCCTGTGGTGATCGGACACTGGGGCTGTAACCCCCAAACTGAAGAGTGGCACAACAGATACAAAAACAACAGACATTCAGTCCAGAAAAGTGCAGTACTGGAACAGCAAAGATACTGCGCAGAACAAGCAGAGGACCCGAGCTCAATGAGGGTGAGAGAGACCTACCACCGTGGAAGGTGAGAAACACATTTTTTTTTTTTTTTTTTATATTAGAGAAGAGCAGTATTTCATTATTCTACAAACATTTTTAATTAGTTATATGCTTTTGTATTGGACCGGTTCATTATTCCTTTCTTTGTGTTCCTCTCTGGTCTCAGTAATATTATGTAACATTTAGGTCCAAACAGCGCCACCAAGAGGCCAAAACTAGAGGCCAGGATGGCAAACACCTCCACTGCATCTGCGTATTTACCTGGAGAGTTGACATAAGCAGGGACAAAGGCCACCCACACAGCACAGAAGATCAGCATGCTGAACGTGATGAACTTGGCCTCATTGAAATTATCAGGGAGATTCCTGGCCAGAAATGCTAACATAAAACTCAACAAAGCCAATAAACCAATGTAACCCAGAAGAACAGCAAACCCCATAGTTGAGCCAACTACACATTCATAAATGATTTTGTCATTATGATATTTGATGTTTTTATGAGGTGCTGGTGAGGCAGATACAAGCCATGCAACGCAGATGACGGCTTGAACCGATGTAAGAGCAAATACAGTCCCCCTCTGCTGTAATGCACCAAACCACTTCAAGGTGGTCCCACCTCCTGGTTTGGAGGCCTTGAACACAGCCAGCACCACCATGGTTTTCACCAGAATACAAGAGACACACAGAACAAAGCTGATCCCAAATGCTGCATGTCGCAACTGGCATGTCCACAGTCTGGGACGTCCGATGAACAGCAGTGAGCACAAGAAACACAGTTTGAGAGACACCAGGAGCAGGAAGCTCATTTCTGAATTATTGGCTTTGACCAGTGGTGTGCTGCGGTGATATGTGAAGATGCCAAACACAATGGCACAAATAAATGCTCCCAGCAGTGAGGCTGTGGTCAGGCAGATCCCCAGAGGCTCATGGTAGGACAGGAACTCTGTTTTCTTAGGAACACACTGGTCACGAGCAGGACTGGACCAGAAGTCCTCTGGACACACATGGCACTCCATGGAGTCTATCAAAGAAACATGAAGATGTAATCATGAATTTATCACTTATGTCAACATGACCAACATGTTTTTTTTCTTCACCTTTTTAGGGAACACTGGGGGCTCTGTATGTTTCATTATGCTTTTCTCATAAATTGTAAAATATTTGGTTCTCTGACCTGAGAAGTTGCTGAAGGTGCCCTCAGAACAGGCGATACAATCAAAGCAGCACACAGGCTGACCTCTCTGTCTGGCCATGCGGGTTCCTGGAGGACAGCTCTCACTGCACAATGACTGAGGAGACTGAAACAATATATTTTAATCTCAGTGCATTTAAAAATGAACTCCAAATGTTTAAGAACACCAACCAACCTTTGCGAACTGCATATTCCACAAGATCTTATGCTCATAGAGTATAATCCTCTCTTCTTGGAGGGCTGATTTCTTGAATTCACCCACCTTTACAACTTTTGTTTGTCCATTTGGGAGCCATTGCCAGTTCATAATGTCATATATGGGCAAAGCATCCCCATTCTCATCAAATGATACCTCATCTCCAAATTGTGTTCTAAAGTGAACCCTTTCCAGATAATACAGGAGCTGCAGAACAGAAGTACATTTTATTAAAATTATTTTAAAATGGCAATTTGAACAAAAAAAAATTATAAATAAAAATTGTTGTAACGTGTAATTGTGTTTACTACACAGGAAAAGCATAACTTCTGATGGCACACACCTGCCATGGCTCCAGTGTGTGCAGAGTGGCACAACTGGTCCCAGGGAAAGGCCCTCTCCCTGGTTCACAGTGCAACAAGTCGTCCAGAGCATGAACCAGAGCATACACAGCTTTGTAAATATTATACTCTGGTCTGAGGTTGGATACATCCAGAAACTCAGTGTCTATGTTCTGGAGATCTTCATGTCCATTACACAAAGCTCCTCCAGCTTCAGTCCACCCTGCAGGAGCTGGGGGAAACCTACACTCAAATGTGTGCTCCCAAAACTGGTGTACCTTTAAGCAACCGATATGTATGTGGATTATTTGCTCACACATTTATAGAAATAATATAGACTTTACCATGTCCTTTTTTATATAATTTTCTTTTGGATTTATGCTTAGTAGAAAGCGTTGGAATCCTGGCATCTCGCCTCGCCGGATTGCAATGCCCAATGTTCCAGACAAATATGGCATGAATTCATGAGTTTGAAGTCCCTCAACGCATGTCCAAGCTTCACTGGAAATCCACTGCAAGCCTCTAACATGCTGCTTAACCACCTGTGCAATGCATTTAAGAACAAAGCACTATTTAACAGCAGCTACAGAAGAAAACATCTATAATTTATTTAGTCTAACCTCTGTCATGAGTTGAATCATATGCATCTGATGGGCAAAGACAATGACGACTTTGGCAGATGAGCTTTTGATCACATCAACTATTTTACTATAAATGTCCCGATCATAACCCCAGGGCAGGATCTCAGTGTAAGCCAGGCATCCTTCACCTGTCTGGGCAAAGTCTGTCTGGAAAGATCTGGCAACATGGAGGCCATAATCATCATCACTGACCAGAAGTCCTACCCATGTCCAGGAAAAATGTTTCAGTATCTGGATTACTGCATGGACCTAAATGAGAAATAATATATAAATATAAATAAATGGTGCAAAATTGACCCAATTTATTTTCCTATTCTAATATTGTACATTTGCATCAAATGTTGATGAATAAATTATGAGTTATGATTAATAGGAAAATAGTATATTTTCTGTAAAAGGTGTACACATTTTAATGCTTCCCTTTCAGTTCTATACTCATTACCTCTATGCAGTTGCAACTTAAATACCTGAAAGACATCGCTTGGAATTGTCCGGAAAAAGGAAGGAAACATTTGGCGGTCACTCAAACAAGAGCATGTGGCAAAATAACTTACCTAAAGTGAAAAAATGAATAAATGCACACAGACAATCTAGCAAACAGCACAATTTTACAATCAATACATTAGTTCCAATGACTTACGATTGGCAATTGAAATAACCCCAGAACATTTGATATTGCAATAGAAAATGTGGAGAAGGGATCACCCACAATACCAATGACAGGAGGAATCCCTGTGCAGTTTTTCTGTAGCACAAAGCTTTCTGTCTGGGCACTGGCCATTGACAGAGCTGCACTGAAGCCAATACCCAGTGTGGCACAGTTATCATACAGACTGTAGCCAAGGGTCAAGTTTGGAAGGAGCTCACTGCTGTTGTTTATCTCTTCAACAGCAAAAGCCATTGTCATAGCATGTCGAAAGCCTAAAGGGTCAAAGCTGAAAACAAACAGATTTAAAAGAAAAAAAAATTCTGACAATATGGATTTGTTTGTTGTAAAGAAATCAGGTGACAGTCTTACCCACTGCAGCCCGGCTCTTGTGGCTCTGAAGTAAATATCCACTCAGGAAATAGCGAGCTGTAGTGTACCTCAAAAAGCCCTCCTAAAATCACATCTCCAGCCTTGTGTAAGCTGTTAAGATCAAACCTCCTCCATAATTTACAAGAAGGGGAGAACTTAGTTGATTCAGATAAATATAGCACAAAGAATAATAGAATGCCTAGAATTTGTAATAACAAATACATTCTAAGAGGAGGCATCATTCTGATCCTCATCACCCCCCACACTGTAAGAGAGAATGTGCTTTTATAGACACATCTTCAAATATGTTCTGATGGTATTAAGTTTCCACCCACCAGGGCACTGGCAGCACCAAAAGGGATATGATGTACACTTTAAATGCAGTGCTCCATTATATTTTTAACTAAGTAACTTTAAATGAAAGAGTAAAATGTGACAACAGTGACTGAAAAATGTCTTATTTGAGAAGTAATCAAGTACTAGCTGTATTTTTAGAAAGTAAAAGAAAATTATTTACAACTAAATTATGCAGATGTTTAGTTCATTTATTTGACAAATAAAAAATGCATTTTGATTCAGCAAAAAATATAACCCAGTTCAGAGATTTAAATTTTTTTTTTTTATATATTTTGGGCCATTACTGCAGATTGCTTAAACAACATTTGAAAGAAACCACTAGCAGAGATGGTTTAGTTTTAATGCTGCTCTAGTATACTTATACTATTCATCCATCCATTCATCCACTTTCATCTGCTTAACCGAGGGTGGGTCATGGGGGCAACAGCACTGGAAAGGACTCTTAGTCTTCCCTCACCTCTGACTCAAGCTCTTCCAGGGGTACCCCGAGGTGTTTCCTCTGGGGTGTCCTGGGTTAAAACACCCTCTCAGGGTGGCACCCAAGAAGCATCTGGAACAGATGCCTGTGTAGCATCCCGGTTGAAATGACGGTCTCATAGACTGATGGTTCACAACTTTTATTTTTGGGCCTTGTTTGTGAACACACCGTAAGAGCTACAAAAAAGGGAAATAAAAAACAATTAGCTCTTACAGTGTACCTTTTACTCCTTTTAACCATTTATGACAACCTGACAATTACTGTTTACCAACAACAAATCTTATAAAACCTGAACCTTGCTATTAATCTATATTGAACAAAAACATACACATTAAAATTGTCAAACTGTGCGTAACATTGCTTAGGCGAAGCGCACTGGCGCCATCTAGTGGATTAAATTATAACAGAATTGTAACGGCTCAACGTATTCCTTACTAACCTTGTTCCCACATCAACCAGGTGCTAAGCTTGGATAGACCATATATTAACTTAAAATACAGTTTCAGTAACTTTTAGATTAAATAAACAAAATTTTCCGTTGTGCTCATAGTCAGTTAACCGCACAGACTGTTAGCCGGGAGGTAAACATCCGCTCTCACGTGGCCGCTTCCGGTTGTACAGCGGCCTTTCAAATAAAAGCATGGAACAAACGTATTACAATACTTACAAACAAAAGTAGCAGAAGTACAGAAAATACATGAGATCATTTACAGCCTGAGCCACCTCGGTTGACAGCTGTACCCCTCTCTTCAACAAGACATGTGGCCAAAGGTCAGATGATACCTCCAGTTGAGGGGTGTCCTGGTACCATGTGCACTGATGGACATCCTTGTGCTTGAACATGAGGTGTGCTATGGACAAACAGTGACAAACACAGAAGTTCATCAACTGAACATCAATTTCAAGGAGGCCGTTCTTCCCGATCACTCCTCTCCAGGTGTTGTTGTCATTGGCCACGTGAGAATTGAAGTCCCCCTGTAAAACAACAGAGTCCCTGGTTGGTCCAAGGGAGTCCAAGAAGAGCGGGTACTTTGTACACTGGTGTAGGTTGACACAACAGTGACAGGCCTGTCCCTGTTTCGAAGGCACAAGGACTCTCCTCTTGTTCACTGGGGTGAACTCCAACACATGGCTGCTGAGCTGTGGGGCAAGCCCACCCCAGCCAGCTCCCTCTCCCTGTGGGCAACATCAGAGAAATGGAGTGTCCAACCCCTCTCAAGAAGGTGTGTTGCTGAGCCCAAGCTGTGCATAGAGGTGAGGCCATCTACATCTAGCCTGTACCTTTCAACCTCCCACACCAGCTCAGACTCTTTCCTTCACTGCTTGGTGACATTCCATGTCCCTAGGGCCAGTTTCTGCACCAGACTTCAGATCCTCCACACAGGTGGGGGGTTCATGGGAGGATGGCCCCATGCTCCTTTGGACTCTGCTGGGCTAAGCCCCATGGAGGAAGGTCCAGCCATGAAACGCTCGCCACCCCAGCACTCATCCCAGGTGTGGCTCCAGACAGGGGCCCCAGTGACACCAGTTCATGAAGCAAACATTTTACTTTTGTTTTACAATGGAAGATAATAACATTCATGTTCACATCAAGTTGTATTAATAGAAAAAGAACAAAAAGTAATATGCACTATAGTAATATGCATCTATTTTTTACTTTTGCCCAAAAAGAAGTGTGAAGAAGAAAACCTATTTAATCCTATAAATATATACTATATATATATATATATATATATATATATATATATATATATATATATATATATATATACATACTATAAAGTATGCTGGTGTCATCTGAACTGTTTTGATCCCAAAACAGAACCTTGGGTTACGCCACAAGCAATATCATGATGTTTAGCTGGATATTGTCCAACTTGAACATATCACACTATTCCCAGCTATTTCTCTAATACTGTATTGTTTGAGATTTGTAGTGATTGATATTGATTGATTTTTGGTGATTGATATATTGATAGTTACTGATAGTATCAAAGGAAAAATACTGGCAGCACATTATTTATGATGTAATACATTTGGGATTTCCTCCAAAAAGTGGTTCTTTTTGGCCTAAAATTGTATTGACCATTGATGCTTGTGAAGAAACTTTTCTAGATGTGAGCTTTTCACCAATTTTTGCAACTGGGGCAGAAGGGAAATTGGTCTGCAATTTGAAAAACACAGTTTATTGTCACTTTATACACAGGTACGACTTTTGCAGTTTTCTTTTTATTTGGGAAGCGACCTGATTGAAAACATAAGTTGCAGTTATGGATTTAAGAACATACACAGTTTTATGTGATCATGTATTGATTCCTCGACCCATAACTGCCTTCTTTGTGTTCCTCTCTGGTCTCAGTAATATTATGTAACATTTAGGTCCAAACAGCGCCCCCAAGAGACCAAAACTAGAGGCCAGGATGGCAAACACCTCCACTGCATCTGCGTATTTACCTGGAGAGTTGACATAAGCAGGGACAAAGGCCACCCACACAGCACAGAAGATCAGCATGCTGAACGTGATGAACTTGGCCTCATTGAAATTATCAGGGAGATTCCTGGCCAGAAATGCTAACATAAAACTCAACAAAGCCAATAAACCAATGTAACCCAGAAGAACAGCAAACCCCATAGTTGAGCCAACTACACATTCATAAATGATTTTGTCATTATGATATTTGATGTTTTTATGAGGTGCTGGTGAGGCAGATACAAGCCATGCAACGCAGATGACGGCTTGAACCGATGTAAGAGCAAATACAGTCCCCCTCTGCTGTAATGCACCAAACCACTTCAAGGTGGTCCCACCTCCTGGTTTGGAGGCCTTGAACACAGCCAGCACCACCATGGTTTTCACCAGAATACAAGAGACACACAGAACAAAGCTGATCCCAAATGCTGCATGTCTCAGCTGGCATGTCCACAGTCTGGGACGTCCGATGAACAGCAGTGAGCACAAGAAACACAGTTTGAGAGACACCAGGAGCAGGAAGCTCATTTCTGAATTATTGGCTTTGACCAGTGGTGTGCTGCGGTGATATGTGAAGATGCCAAACACAACAGCACAAATAAATGCTCCCAGCAATGAGGCTGTGGTCAGGCAGATCCCCAGAGGCTCATGGTAGGACAGGAACTCTGTTTTCTTAGGAACACACTGGTCACGAGCAGGACTGGACCAGAAGTCCTCTGGACACACATGACACTCTATGGAGTCTAGGGGAATACATACTATTATTAATATTTTGCTTCCACTGAAATATTTTCTAGCTTCTGTTTAAGTGTGCGTTCTTTTTCTTCATATAAATAAAATAGACAAAAAGATCTCATAAAAATGCTGACACTGAAAACTAATAACACACATTTCATACCTGTGGTGTTGCTGATCTTTCCATCAGAGCATGGGATGCAATCAAAACAACAGACAGGTTTTCCTTTCTTTTGGGCCATGCGAGTGCCTGGAGGACAGCTCACACTGCACACAGACACTGTTGGCTATATAAAACATTTTTGTGTAAATGTTTAATGTAACGTTTGTGTAAATGTGCTCATTAAACATTTGATCACGAGTATTCCAGTTACCCCTTTGGACTGAAAGTTCCAGAAGATTTTGTCCTCATCAAGTGTCATTTCTTCTCCCTTGAAGTCATATTTTTTAAACACACCAACATTTTGAACTGTTATTTTTCCATCTGGGATCACCATCCAGTTCATAATGTCATATGCAGGTAAAGCATCTCCATTCTCATCAAAAGATACTTGATCCCCAAAGATGTGGTGAAATTTATTTTTTCCAAGTAATACATGAGCTGAAAAACACACTCACAAACACAAATTATCTAGCTTGATCAATTTTAAACTATATTTCTGTAGCAAAATCACATACTTGCCATGGCTCCAGTGTGTGCAGAGTGGCACAGCTGTTTCCAGAGAAAGGCCCTCTCCCTGGTTCACAGCGCAGCAGCTGATCTAGAGCATGAGCTAAAGCATACACAGCCTTATACACATTATACTCTGGTCTGAGGTTGGACACATCCAGGAACTCGGTGTCTATGTTCTGGAGATCTTCATGTCCAGTGCACAAAGCTCCTCCAGCTTTTGTCCACTCTGCAGGAGCTGGGGCAAATTTACATTCAAATGTGTGCTCCCAAAACTGGATCATCTACAAAACACATCAGCACGTTCATATGTATGTGTATATATATATATATATATATATATATATATATATATATATATATATATATATATATATATATATATATATATATATATATATATATAATGAGCATACCATGTTATTTCCAGTGGGATCATCAAAAAAATTTGGCTGCAGTTTTGACAAATATTCTCTTAGTCCTGGTATTTCACCTCTGCGGATAGCAATCCCCAGTGTCCCCCCCAAATATGGCATAAGTTGTGGTATTTGTAACACAGTAGCTGTTGTCCAGGCTTCACTGGCAATCCACTGCAAACCTGTCACATCCTGTACCACCACCTGGCCAGAAAATGTTTATCACAGTGAAAAATGTCTATAGGGCTTTATAAAATAAAACACAGGGAACAGTGAGGCTAGAATGTTACAAAAGCTATATTGTTTAGATAATAATAGTATGGAACTGTATTTTTATTGTAAATCTATGTAAACATTATGATAAAAATTAATATAGTTTAGCATACAAAAACTCTCAGATAGTTTATTGCCATTATCAAACCTCTTTCATGAGTTGGATCATGTGGATCTGGTGTGCAAACACAATAACCACACGTGCAGTGGATTTCTTCATAATATTCACAATCCGACTCAGCTCTGCTTGGTCTTCCCCCCACGGTAAGACTTCTGTGTAGGCTAGGCAGCCTCCATCAGCTTGAGCTAAGTCTGATGGAAATGATCTGGCCACATGTAGACCATAATCGTCATCACTGACCAGAAGTCCAGCCCATCGCCACCCAAAACGCTTTAAAATCTGAATCATTGCTCGAACCTGCACAAAACAGACCCCACTGAGAATGTTAATAGGACAATGTGGCCAAAATATCTTTTCATAATTTCTTAATTTATTAACCTGAAATGCATCACTGGGGATTGTTCTAAAAAATGATGGAAACTTTTGACGATTGCTTAAACAGGAACAGGTGGCAAAATAGCTGACCTGCAGACATCAAATATGAATTGTAATGAACATAATTACTAAATCAATTCAGATACCCAGTCAATACTCACTAGAGGCAACCTAAATAACCCTATGACATCTGATGTAGCAATAGAAAATGTAGAGAAGGAATCACCCACAATGCCAAGTACAGATTGTGTCCCGGTACAATCATCTCTGAGCAGAAACCTATCCTCCTGCCCACTGGCCATTGACAGAGCCGCACTGAATCCAATGACAAGTGTGGCACAGTTATCATACAGACTGTAGCCAAGAGTTACGTTGGGAAGCAATTCTGAATTTTGGTTGACTTCTTCAACTGCAAAAGCCATAGTCATTGCATGTCGGAACCCTGGAGGGTCAAAGCTTGAGAAAAGAACAACAACAAAGTAAAGTTAGTAATTGCTTTGAATACACCTCAAATGCAAAAAGAACAAAGCCTAAAGCAGTGATGTTCAGACAAACCTTATGTTTCATTGAAAAAAATACTGTTCAGAACTATATACAACATTGCTACAAGCACTACAAGAACATTTTAACTCACCCTTGGCACATGAATTGTTGTGGCTCAGAGGTAAATGTCAGCTCAGGGAAGACTGAAGTATAGTGGATCTCAAATAATCCGCCTAGAAGCACATCGCCAGACTTATGCACACCATTGAGGTGAAACTCCCTTCTTAACTCACATGATGGAGAACAGTGAGAAGTGACACAGAAGCAGGACAACATAATAGTCAGTTTAATATACAAACAATATGCCCTCATTACTCCTCCTCCAAGGGCTCGTAATGCCTTTAAGCATCATTTACGCTTATATTTATATTCTCCATTATGCCACCTCCAGCTGGATGTCTTTGTCACAGTTTGTGGGCAGGACATGTGGATACTGGCATCCAGGGAACTATTCATTTTCACTGTGTTTAGTTTCAATACAAGTTAGACATTATCTAAAAGAACCAACAAAAGCTTATATTTCAGGTAGCAAACAAATCTGTCATAAAACTGTGAACATCCACAGTGCTGGTAGGACGTACACTGCAATGTAACTGTAATTAGTAATAACACTGTAATTACCTAAATTTTGCTAGGATATATTAAAGCTACCATCTATACTGGTACACCCGCCAGTGTTGTATTCTTCCATATTACCATTAGATGCTAAGTACGGTAGCTCTAGTCTGATAGTGTGCCAGCTTGGCCTGATAAAAGATGACCAGAGACCACAGGTGAGCCTGAACAATGGACAGGTTAGGGGGAGGGGAGACAAGACTTCACATCAACCATCTACTGGTAGTAATAATAATAATAATAACTTTGTTAGTGGCGAGGGCCAATAATAATAAAAACTTATGGATTGTAGCTTTAAAGGACAATAATTAAACAACATTTTTCATCAAGTGGATTTGCAAAAGCATAGTATTGGTACACAATAATTAAACAGTAAAAATAATTTAATCTTAACTGTAATTATATATTAATTACAAAATTGTACTCCCAGACGTACAGTTTTAGACTATATACCCACACAATAATGAATTCATAATTAAATTATAAATACACTAAAATTAATGCTTAATTACACCACAATGCACACATAATTACACAATAATCAGACTGTAAGTGGGATACTTATACACACACACACACATATATATATATATATATATATATATATATATATATATTATATATATTATATATATATATATATATATATATATATATATATATATATATATATATAAATGTGTTTCTCACCTTCCATGGTGGTAGGTCTCACCCTCATTCAGCTCGGGTCCTCTACCAGAGGCCTGGGAGCTTGAGAGTTCTGCGCAGTATCTTTGCTGTTCCCAGTACTGCACTTTTCTGGACTGAGATGTCCATTGTTTTTCCCGGTATCTGTTGTAGCCACTCTTCCAGTTTGGGGGTTACAGCCCCGAGTGCTCCGATCACCACAGGCACCACTGATGCCTTTACTCTCCAGGCTCTCTCCAGCTCTTCCTTGAGCCCCTGGTATTTCTCTAGCTTCTCATGTTCCTTTTTCCTGATATTACCATCGCTTGGTATTGCGATGTCCACCACCACGGCTCTGCTCTGTTCTTATCCACCACCACTATGTCTGGTTGGTTCGCCATCACCATTCTGTCAGTCTGTATCTGGAAGTCCCACAGGATCTTGGCTCGGTCATTCTTCACAACCTTTGGAGGTGTTTCCCACCTTGATCCTGGGGTTTCCAGCCCGTACTCTGTACAGATGTTTCTGTACACTATGCCCGCCACTTGGTTATGTCGCTCCATGTATGCTTTCCCTGCCAGCATCTTACACCCTGCAGTTATGTGCTGGACTGTCTCAGGAGCCTCTTTGCACAGTCTACACCGTGGGTCTTGTCTGGTGTGGTAGATCTGGGCCTCTATTGCTCGAGTGCCCAGGGCCTGCTCCTGTGCTGTTCTTCAGACCAGCCCTCTCAAGCCATTGGTAGGATTTCTTGATATCAGCCACTTCAGTTATGCTCCGGTGGTACGCCCCATGTAGGGGTTTGTCCTGCCATGATGGTCCCTCCAGCACCTCTTCTTCTGGACCCCACTGTCTGAGACATTCTCTGAGCACCTCATCTGCCGGGGCCTTGTCCTTGATGTACTCAAGGAGCTTGGATGTTTCATCCTGGACAGTGGTTCCCACACTCACTAGTCCTCGGCCCCCTTCCTTCCGGCCTGCGTACAGTCTCAGGGTGCTGGATTTGGGATGGAACCCTCCATGCATGGTCAGGAGCTTTCGTGTCTTAACATCTGTGGTCTGTATCTCCTCCTTTGGCCAGCTTACAATCCCTGCAGGGTATCTGATCACTGGCAGGGCGTAGCTGTTGATTGCCTGCACCTTGTTCTTGCCATTGAGCTGGCTTCTAAGGACTTGCCTCACTCTTTTGCAGGTATTTGGCCGTAGCCGCTTTCCTTGTTGCCTCTTCGAGGTTGCCATTTGCTTGTGGGATACCAAGGTACTTGTAACTGTCCTCAACGTCTGCTATTGTTCCCTCTGGGAGTGACACCCCCTCTGTGTGGACTACCTTCCCTCTCTTTGTCACCATCCTGCTACATTTCTCAAGCCCGAATGACATCCCAATGTCTGTACTGTAGATCCTTGTGGTGTGGATCAGTGAGTCGATGTCTCGCTCACTCTTAGCGTACAGCTTGATGTCATCCATGTAGAGGAGGTGACTGATGGTGGCCCCGTTTCTGAGTCGGTATCCATAGCCAGTGCGGTCGATTATTTGGCTGAGGGGGTTCAGGCCTATGCAGAACAGTAGTGGGGACAGTGAGTCTCCTTGGTATATGCCACATTTGATGGACACATGTGCAAGTGGCTTCCCCTTGGCTTCAAGGGTGGTTTTCCACAACCGCATCGAGTTCGCAATGAACGCCCTTAGAGTCCTGTTGATATTGTACAGCTTCAAGCACTCAGTGATCCATGTGTGTGGCATTGAGTCATAGGCTTTCTTGTAATCAATCCAGGCAGTGCACAGGTTGGTCTTACGGGTTCTGCAGTCGCGGGCGACTGTTCGGTCAACCAGGAGTTGGTGTTTGGCTCCCCTGGTATTTTTGCCGATACCCTTCTGTGCTGCACTCATGTATTGATTCATGTGCCCACTTATCTTAGCCGCAATGATGCCTGACATGAGCTTCCATGTTGTGGAGAGACAGGTTATTGGCCGATAGTTGGATGGGACTGCACCCTTTGAGGGATCCTTTAGGATCAGGATCGTACGCCCTTGGGTTAACCATTCAGGGTGAGTCCCATCCCTTAGCAGCTGGTTCATTTGTGCTGCCAGGCGCTCGTGGAGGGCAGTGAGCTTCTTTAGCCAGTACGCATGGATCATGTCAGGGCCCGGTGCGGTCCAGTTTTTCATACCTGAGACTCTTCCCTGGATGTCTGCCACTGTGATGGTGACTGGATTCTGTTCAGGGAGGTTGCTGTGGTCTTCTCTCAGATCCACCAGCCACTGTGCATCGGTGTTATGTGATGCCTCCCTTTCCCATATGCCTTTCCAGTACCTCTCTCAGTCTCCAGCCTTGGTGGGTATGCTCTGGTGTTATTACCCTGCCACTGAGCGTACACTTTCGCCGGTTGTGTTGCGAACAGCCGGTTTATTCGTCTGGCCTCGTTATCTCGTGTGTACCTCTTTAGGCGGCTGGCCAAGGCTTGGAGCCTTTGTTTGGCAGTTTCGAGTGCTTCAGGTATGGGCAACTGGTTGTACCTCTTGGGCACTTGCTTTTTCATTGCACCTTTCTGGGCCTCTGACAGTTGGCTCACTTCTCTCCACACCTCCTTGATTTTAGCCTCTAACCATCTTTGCCATGGTGGGTATTGTATCGCATGGCTCCCATGGTTGCTCTTATAGCCCAACACATCTAGGATCACTGCTGCTGAAGTGTATATCAGCTCATTGGTTTCAGTGATTGTTGTGGTAGGGATCACTGTCAGTGCTGCATTCACATCGTCTAGGAGACTTTCAGATGGTACTTCACTTAGCCTCTGTAACTGGCATCGGGGTTGCCTTGTGTTCATTCGGGCCATGATCTTATCTTTCAGGTCAGTCGCTGCCTCGCTCAGCGTGATACTTATTGGGATTTCGTACCCAATCTCTGGTTGGGGAGTTGATGTCAACTCCCCTCTGACCTGGCACACTGGTTCCCCCTTGCCGTGGCATTTGTGTTGTACCTCATCAATCTCTAGTTGTGATAGCAGTTGCCGTTTTTTGGATGTTGGAACCACTGAGCTACTAGTTGTTTGGCCGTTAGCTTGGACTGTGGGTATCGTAATAACCATTTCTCCCACATCCTGTTCATGTAACCCCTCTGCCTAGGGTTACTGTAGTAGTAGCATTCCAACAGAGCCTTGTTCTCACATCTCGCCCATTTCCGCCGTGTTCCAGTAGCCCATTTTTCATCAAGGTGCCCTGGTTCCCCAGCACCTGATGCAGACCTTGTTTGGCCGGGCGACGTCTGAGCCGGCATGTCATACGTTTCTTTCTCTCTCATCATTGTATGAGGTGGGCAGTAGCACGAAGGGTCTTGCCCAAGGACCCACACTGGTTAGCTCATTGCCCCCCCTCTGACGGTGAAAGTCCAGTGACTTCCCAATTGAGCTAACCAGCTGCTATATATATATATATATATATATATATATATATATATATATATATATATATATATATATATATATATATATATATATATATATCGACTCACTGATCCACACCACAAGGATCTACAGTACAGACATTGGGATGTCATTCGGGCTTGAGAAATGTAGCAGGATGGTGACAAAGAGAGGGAAGGTAGTCCACACAGAGGGGGTGTCACTCCCAGAGGGAACAATAGCAGATGTTGAGGACAGTTACAAGTACCTTGGTATCCCACAAGCAAATGGCAACCTTGAAGAGGCAACAAGGAAAGCGGCTACAGCCAAATACCTGCAAAGAGTGAGGCAAGTCCTTAGAAGCCAGCTCAATGGCAAGAACAAGGTGCAGGCAATCAACAGCTACGCCCTGCCAGTGATCAGATACCCTGCAGGGATTGTGAAGCTGGCCAAAGGAGGAGATACAGACCACAGATGTTAAGATACGAAAGCTCCTGACCATGCATGGAGGGTTCCATCCCAAATCCAGCACCCTGAGACTGTACGCAGGCCGGAAGGAATGGGGGCCGAGGACTAGTGAGTGTGGGAACCACTGTCCAGGATGAAACATCCAAGCTCCTTGAGTACATCAAGGACAAGGCCCCGGCAGATGAGGTGCTCAGAGAATGTCTCAGACAGTGGGGTCCAGAGGAAGAGGTGCTGGAGGGACCATCATGGCAGGACAAACTCCTACATGGGGCGTACCACCGGAACATAACTGAAGTGGCTGATATCAAGAAATCCTACCAATGGGTTGAGAGGGCTGGTCTGAAGGACAGCACAGAGGCACTGATCCTGGCTGCTCAGGAGCAGGCCCTGGGCACTCGAGCAATAGAGGCCCAGATCTACCACACCAGACAAGACCCACGGTGTAGACTGTGCAAAGAGGCTCCTGAGACAGTCCAGCACATAACTGCAGGGTGTAAGATGCTGGCAGGGAAAGCATACATGGAGCGACATAACCAAGTGGCGGGCATAGTGTACAGAAACATCTGTGCAGAATACGGGCTGGAAACCCCAGGATCAAGGTGGGAAACACCTCCAAAGGTTGTGGAGAATGACCGAGCCAAGATCCTGTGGGACTTCCAGATACAGACTGACAGAATGGTGATGGCGAACCAACCAGACATAGTGGTGGGGGATAAGAAACACAGCAGAGCCGTGGTGGTGGACATCGCAATACCAAGCGATGGTAATATCAGGAAAAAGGAACACGAGAAGCTAGAGAAATACCAGGGGCTCAAGGAAGAGCTGGAGAGAGCCTGGAGAGTAAAGGCATCAGTGGTGCCTGTGGTGATCGGACACTCGGGGCTGTAACCCCCAAACTGGAAGAGTGGCTACAACAGATACCGGGAAAAACAATGGACATCTCAGTCCAGAAAAGTGCAGTACTGGGAACAGCAAAGATACTGCGCAGAACTCTCAAGCTCCCAGGCCTCTGGTAGAGGACCCGAGCTGAATGAGGGTGAGAGAGACCTACCACCGGTGGAAGGTGAGAAACACATCTATATATATATATATATATATATATATATATATATATATATATATATATATATATATATATATATATATATATATACAACAAAAAAAAGTACATTGATTTGATAATGAGTGAGTGACAAACTGTGAGATGCAGTCGGTCAGAGGGGTGTGTTTTCATATACCCTATATAAACACAGGTATTCCCATATGCAGCACATTCTGCCAATATGAGCCTCAGTGTTATTGTCCTGAGTCTGACTCTATTTCTTTTTGATGTGCCTTCACCTCTCTCTCTAAATGTTAACACCACAGATCAGGAAGCATCAGTCGTATGCCAGGCTAAGGGCTCAGCACGAGCCCCTGCATTTTCCATGGAGGGGGACTACATCATTGGAGGAGTTTTTTCTATTCACTACTACATGCAGACTTTCATTCACAACTACACAAGCAAGCCTGAGCCACTGCGGTGCACAGGAAGGTGACTTTACCCTCTGCTGCTTTTAACTGATTAGATTATGTGCAAGACAGATAGGGTGTATGATGTTTGTTGTTATCACAAAAGGATACCTCACAAAATATTCAATATTGATAATAATACAAATACATTAAAGTAGTAATTAGTAGTGGCCCACACAAGACATCAAATGAAATTAAAATATTAATGAAGAAATGTGAAAAATGTAATATAATTGCAATTTTACAAACTGTTAAAACTTGCATGTATGTTATTTATCTGACTAGACCATTCTGTGATTGTGTACAGTGTTGACTCCCGTGAGCTGCGTTTCGCCCGAGCCATGATCTTTGCCATCGAGGAAATCAACAACAGTTCTGTCCTGTTGCCTGGGGTTACTGTGGGTTACCAAATCCACGACTCCTGTGCATCTGTCCCTGTAGCTGTACAGGCGGCTTTTCAGCTTGTCAACGGACATGCCCCAGAATACCACCCAGACCAGCGATGCTCCCAGTCCGGGATGGTGATGGGCATTGTGGGGGAATCTGGCTCCACACCATCTATCAGCATGTCCCGAGTCGTAGGGCCATTCAACATACCCCAAGTATGTGTTTACAGTATCTCCCACACATAATAATATCTGAAATGTATAAGGTACTTGTAAATGTGCATAAGCAAGACTTGAGAATTTGCGCTAGCTGTATATGTGTCGCATCAACTGCATGCTGTTATGGGAATCTTCTCCCTGTGACTATGTATGACTGCATTATCCTTGTTAAATAAACACAGAAATAAAATAAATGCAGTTTTAACATCTCATGATCTATATTTCTCAGTAAAAGCATGCATGAATATTTTGATTTTCAAGAATTTCAAAGTTCTGCTTTCAATTCAAGAGGAGATATTCCTATATTTTTGCATTTTAATTGTATTTTTAGCATAAAATTGTCTATCTATATTCTATTTTTTATTTGACTGTCATGAGTGTATATCAGGATACTGAATATGTGCAGCGATGTATATAAATGCTATAAAAATAAACTTGAAGTTGACCAGTAGTCGTCATACCATAATCATGTATCAGTCACATTAGTGTGGCCTTTGTTAAATATTTACAATAGACATAAAACATAAATTAATGTAATTTCATCGTTCCATGAGTTGCTAAAACTAAAAATATGTTTTTGGCATTTTAATTATCATTTCTATTCACATTTCTATTCATGATATTTGATTTTGTGTAACAGTAAAATCCTTTAGTTCAACTCAAAGACATCAGATTTTATTAAACATGATTCTATTTTCCAGGTGAGTCACTTTGCTACATGTGCATGCCTGTCTGACAAAGAGCAGTATCCCAGCTTCTTCCGAACAATTCCCAGTGACAAGTTTCAGGCTGACGCTTTGGTGCGACTAGTCAAACAGTTTGGATGGACTTGGATTGGCACTGTCTACTCAGACTCGGACTATGGGAATAATGGCATGGCATCATTCCTGTCAGCAGCAAGCGGGGAGGGCATCTGTGTGGAATACTCTGAGGCATTCTATAGGACATACTCACTCAGCAGGATTCAGAGAGTGGCACAGGCCATACGCAGGTATCAGGCAATGACTAAAATAAATGAATTCATGAGCAATCCTATGTTAAATTTATTTTGACCTTTTAATAATCTGGGATATTTTGGAATTCAATCATAGTTTTAATCACAATTTAAATGGTGGTGGAAATGATCTTAAAAATGTAAATAAATAAAGTAACCACTGCCAAATTGACAAGTACTGCATATCATGTCAGGAAATCCCTGACATGATGAAACATTCTCTATAATGACATGTCATTTAACTCTATTCTACTCATATATTTCCTCTTTCTGTTATTTGCAACATTTTGAGGACTTTTTCTGATTCAAAAGATACAATATTTAGTTTTAAATTGGTATCCGCTGTATCAACGGCCCTAATTTCTCCACATTGTGAAACCCATGGATTACTTCTTTCAACATGTATTATTTTTACTGTTTAAAATGAAATAAGTCTACTGTTGTCCTAGGTCCACAGCGACAGTAATTGTAGCATTTGCGGCCTCTGGAGACATGCGTATTCTGTTGGAGGAGCTGTGCCAGGAGCCTGTTCCGTACCGACAGTGGGTGGGCAGTGAGGCCTGGGTAACAGACCCTGACCTGCTCCGCTTCAGCTCTTGTGTGAGGGCTCTGGGGCTGGGCATCCAACAGTCTGTGATCCCTGGGCTGAAGGAGTTCTTATCAGACCTGCCCTTCTCCACAGTGAGGGACTCTCCACTACTGAGCAAATTCTGGGAGGAGGCGTTCAAGTGCAGTATGCCCACAAGTGAGAACATTCAGCTTGTCCTTATGTAAAGAAGTTCAGAACATTTGTGTCAATGTTGATAGTGAGAAAATTACTACATTAGAACAATGGACTCATATAAAAGTATAACTCAATCTTTGTTATAAGCCATAACACAAATACTTTATATTTCATATTTTATGTTATCCCCAAAACATATTTATGTGTTTAGTCAATTAGAGGAAAAAAAAAAAAATCATTATTTATTTTAAAAAAGTTCTAGTGAAAAATATACACACTTGTACCAGTCAGTGCTTCAAGGATTTTTTTTGTTTTCAAGTTCAAGTATAAGTAATCAATCACCAACTAATCAACTAACCCTAACCCTAACTGAGTACTGGCTTGAAGTCATTTTTAAGGTGAAGGAATGGTTTGAGAGAGTTGTGAAGGACTATCTGAAATCCTAAATAGAATTTGTGGATTAAAGTACAGTGATGGGATTCAAATGCAAACTCAATACTAAACAGCATTGAGAATAAGGTCGACAGGGAACAATAAAGCAGCTAAAAAGTAGGGCTATTTAATCATCTCCTCAACTTAAAACAGTATAATTTTTTGTTCCTCATACACCAGTAGTTTAAGAATTCAGAAAAACACTGTCCAGATGACACATTTGATAGTGTAGTAAAATGTATTGTATTTTAGATGTTGGTCCAGATGATCCAGTGTGTGACGGGAGGGAAGACTTAGTGAATCTCCAGAGCCCATACTTGGACACTTCCCAGCTGCGCATCACTAACATGGTCTACAAGGCTGTGTATGCAATAGCACATGCCATTCACAACGCTCTTTGTCTAGGACAGAATACTACCAATCAGTGCAGCCACTTCATTCCACTGCAGTCTGCACAGGTCCGTCATGTACTAACTTCAATATGTATCTTAAGTTTAATTAATCTTTTTTGTTCTCATCAAGCACATTTTCTTGTCCTTTTCCAGGTACTTGCTCAGTTAAAGAAAGTAAATTTCACTCAGAATGGATACAGTGTGTCCTTTGATGCCAATGGAGACCCCGTGGCCACATATGAGCTGGTGAACTGGCAAACAACTGACCAGGGTACTTTTCAGCTCAAGACAGTGGGGCACTTTGATGCCTCTCAACCAAAGGGACAGGAGTTCAGGATACACACGGTTTTACAATGGATGCAAGGGAGCACAGAGGCAAGTAATGCAAACATCAAAGTAAAAGAGCTTGTTAGGTAGATAATTGAATACGTTTTAGGAAAGTGGAGGGAACATACTTATAAATATGGCTGAAAAGCAAAGATGAACAGCAAAATGTACTTTCAGTAACTGTGACTGAACAGGACCTGTGACACTGGGAAACTGGTGATAATGAATTTATATTGTACTCTGAATCAGTGTTTAATAAATATTTTTTCTGGGGACCCATATTTTAAAATCTTTGTGACCCAAGTCAATAGATAATATTTGTAAATCACAAAATAAAGGTTTGACCATTATTGGACATTAATGAGGATATTTTATTGTTGACTGACTGATCGTGTCTCTCTGAACAATTAGTATTACTCAAGTTTTAAACAATGAAAAACAGTCACTGAACCAGCAATAAAAGGGATCCATAAGTCGCCCATTTGGACATTAAATGTAGTCCATTTCTTTTTCTTTTCAACATTCAAATGAACCAGCAATATTGGAACAAAAATAGTCCATAAAATAATTACAAAAAGATTAGAAATTATACAAAACATGTCTTAACATTTCAACATTTCTAATGAGATAGGTGGGCCTGTCTGTTTTTTATAGCGCTTTCCAGTCCAGGGTGCAGGAGGAGAGTGCAACACGCAGATCAGGCGACCCCAAAAACACACAACCCAGTCTTTGGGAAACAATGCTCTAAATACTAAATTGTTCTTTTATAATTTTATATGTTTTCCTGCAGGTACCAATGTCAGTTTGCAGTCAGAGTTGTGTCCCAGGAACCCATAAAGTTCACCAAAAAGGCAAACCTATCTGTTGCTATGACTGCATTGCATGTCCTGAAGGTGAAATAAGCAACATTACAGGTAATAGCACTACTTTAATTCATTTGAAATAAATATTGTGGATATTATAAATCAATATTTCTGTTTTAGATTCACCTAATTGCTACAACTGTCCTGAGGAGTTCTGGCCAAATCCTAAAAGAGATTCCTGTTTACCTAAATCAGTGGAGTTTTTGTCATTTAATGAAAACCTAGGCATCATCCTGGTTGTGTTCTCAGTGGGCGGGGCTTGTTTGGCTATTCTCACAGCGGCAGTGTTCTTCAGACATAGAAACACCCCAATAGTCAAAGCCAACAACTCCGAATTAAGTTTCTGTCTGCTTCTCTCACTCACTCTATGCTTTCTATGTTCACTTACATTTATTGGGGCTCCTTCTGAGTGGTCCTGCATGCTGCGCCACACTGCATTCGGCATCACTTTCGTCCTCTGTATCTCTTGTGTTCTGGGGAAGACTATAGTGGTGCTCATGGCCTTCAGAGCCACACTTCCAGGCAGTAATGTCATGAAATGGTTTGGGCCTCTTCAGCAACGAATGACAGTTGTTTCATTCACACTGATACAAGTTTTGATTTGTATAATTTGGTTAGTTGTGAATCCGCCTTTTCCCATAAAGAATTTATCCACATTCAAAGACAGGATCATATTAGAATGTGCATTAGGTTCTCCAATTGGTTTCTGGGCAATTCTTGGATACATAGGTCTGTTAGCTTTATTGTGTTTTGTGTTGGCGTTCTTGGCTCGTAAACTTCCTGATAACTTTAATGAGGCCAAGTTCATCACCTTCAGCATGTTGATCTTCTGTGCAGTCTGGATCACTTTTATCCCAGCTTATGTCAGCTCTCCAGGAAAGTTTACTGTTGCTGTGGAAATATTTGCTATTCTCGCTTCAAGTTTTGGATTGTTTTTTTGTCTTTTTCTCCCTAGATGTTATATTATATTATTCAGGCCAGAGAAGAACACCAAGAAGCATTTAATGAGCAAATAGTTACCCATATGCACAAAATGTAAATAACTTGTCAGTAAATTCTACAATAAAGTTTTTAAGACAGAACTAATTTTGTGTAATGTGTAACAATGTGTAATATGACTGCATATTAAAACCAATAATACATTTTTAAAACTTTATTTATTTTCAGATTATTCCATTTACATCTCACAATCCGGTTAATTGTATTCAAATCTGACAAGTATTAAATACACTGAGAAATATTACGCTTATTAATAATAATTAAATCCTTGCATACTAAGAATGCACTTGATGTTGATTGGTTAATTTAGTCACGAGGAGTAATGATGAATGACATGAACATTACTAAAGCTACGCCTCAGACAGACCACATCCTCACATATAGTAGGTCTTATGGCGGCAGTAGTGTGCAGTAGGCTATTTCTGTCTTTTATTTTTTTAATGCAGTTTTCGTTGTTTTTGCAGATCCCATTGTCCGGTGATTATAAGTTTGAAGCTGTTAACAGATACTGTGAGGCAGTTTTTGACAGTGAGCTATTAGCGCTACAGTCAGAAGGACATGTCATAATCGGAGGACTGTTCCCTTTGCATTATTTGGCTCCGGAGCCAGAGGAGAGCTATAGCAGCAAACCACAACTCAGAGTATGCAGTGGGTGTGTGGACTTTAAATACTTGTATTAGTGTAGGTATAGGCTTGGTTGCTTATTAAATCTAAAATCATAATTTAAAAAGTGAAATTAGTTTATTGTATGTTTTTATATATTACTTTGTGAAACTTTAACATCATTTTAATCCGTTAATACTTTAATGTTTTACACTGTTCATTTTAGACGTTCCTCGTAGATAATTGTTTCACAGCCATCAACGTGGTAAACTTGAAATCCTTGTGTCACAACGTTAATGAACTGTCTCATAACTGAATAGCTTTGATAAATAATTACATTTGAGATATATAAATGTTTGACAAAATATTCTGTACACAGTGTTTTTTTTATTTTTTTTTATTACTTATTAACATTGTGCACTCTTGAGCATTTCTGTATGGAAGAAGTGTAGCCTATATATATTATTTTGCATCAGTTAAATCATATGCTATTTATAAACTTGCATTGTTGTCAAGTTTTGTTTTCCAACTTCTTTTTTAACAGATGATACGCATTATTCAGCTTTGATTTCAGGGCCTTCCGGTGGATGATGACCATGGTGTTTGCAGTGGAGGAAATCAACAGAGACTCTAGTTTGCTTCCTGGGGTTAAACTGGGTTATCGAGTTATGGACAGCTGTGACCAAGTCCACTCCAGCCTGCAGGCAGTTCTCTCCTTACTCTCACAAACAGATGAAAAAACTGCTGAAAATGAAAAAGTCAACCAATACGTTTCTGGTGTGGAGGAAAGGTCTCAGTCTAGCTGTTTGGCTGGTGCACCTGTCTCTGCAGTGATCGGATTGGCCTCCTCTTCTCCCACTAGAGCTGTGGCACACACTGTGGGACCCTTTAGCATCCCCCTGGTAAAAGCACAAAGACTCCACTGTGATTACATGTTTACCCTTAAGACTGGAGGCAAAAATGTAAAAGAAATTCACATCTTTTGGCTTTAACATCTCGACTGTCTTACACTGCAATCATGCTCTTGGTTTTTTGACAATAAATGCGATACGGTCACACAATATTTATCAAAAATACTGAAGTGGTCCCAAAACTTAAAGGGCCCATACTGCGCTATATTCTGACCTATGTTATGGTGTTGTTTCTTCTTCAGAAACCCAGAGTTGTGTTTTGTTTTATACACACTTTTAACACACAAATCCTGCATATTGAGTTCTTCTCTCAAATAGAAAACACAACAACATTCTAAAATGGCTCACAATGAGTTTTGCATAATAAAGGACCATTAAATATTATAACTGTTACCTTACTTTGTGTCTTAACATATTTTTATCACCTTTTGACTTTTACAGAATATGACTGATATCTCTCTGTTTTAAACATAGGTGAGTTACTTTGCCACATGCACATGTCTTACCAACAAAAAACTCTATCCATCATTTCTGCGCACAGTGCCCAGTGACCTCTTCCAAGTCAGAGGTCTGGTACAGCTTGTCACCTTCTTCGGCTGGAATTGGATCGGCACAATTGGAACCACTGTAAGGCGTTTCCTGTACCATTTTTGTATACTATGAACTAAATAATAATTTGTGTATTTCTGTAGGATGACTACAGTCATTATGGCATTCAGGCATTCTCACAGGAGTTTAGTAAGCGTGGGGGATGCATAGCTTTTCATGTCACCATCCCGAAATCTCCCTCCATAGAGGAGGTTTGGAGTATGGCAGACCAGCTACAAAGCTCCACAGCACGAGTCGTGGTGGTGTTTGCAACTGAAGGTCAGCTGGTGGCGCTATTCTCAGAGGTAAATCAAAGACTACTGCATTTATATTAGTTTATTTTTTATATTACACCAAGTTGACTCTTGTGAGCTTTAAGATATGTTATAATGTTGTTACTACCCCAAAAACATACCTGGAGATGTGTTTTGTTTCATTCATACATGTTCGAGTAATCCTTTATTATAGTCTGCATCTCTAAACCTTCCTAAACCTTGTAATGTCATGAAGTGGTAGTTTTCAAGCTAAGAGCTATCTTTTACCTTTTCTTCAGTGGAGTTTGGCAATTTTGAAATCATCCAAATGAGTGGAGTTGCATGTTGTAAGGTTAACACAACAGAGCACTTTCTGTACCACGTGACATTACAGTTGTTTCATTTGCGAAGAACTTGTGTGTTAAACATGTGTGAATGAAATAAAACACAACTCCAAGTATGTTTTTGATGAGAAAACAAATAAGATAGATTAAATGTTAAACTTTAATCGACTATTTGCAGTTGTCTCAGAGGAACGTGACAGGGATTCAGTGGGTGGCCAGTGAAGCGTGGGTAACAGCTAGTCTGCTCACATCACCAGAATTCCAGAGTCTACTGCAGGGAACTGTGGGCTTCTCTTTTCCTGGTGTGTACATCCCAAGATTAAAAGAGTTTCTACAAAGTGTGCGGCCCTCTTCACAACCTGGGATGGAGTTAGTTAATGTGTTCTGGGAAGAGCTATTTGATTGTAAGCTAAACTATGGCACTAATGATGAGAGTGTTGTTCCTGTAAAGAGGAAGTGCTCAGGTTTTGAGGATCTTAACAGCACTGTGGTTAGTGGTTACACAGATGTCTCTCAAGTCAGAATCTCTTATAACGTTTACAAAGCCACCTATGCCATCAGCCACGCGCTGCATCAGCTCTTCAAATGTGATCCACAAAAACAAACCTGTGAACTCAGAACATTTACTTCTACAGAGGTATGTCAAAGCTTGGATAAAATGAAGAATACAAAAGTCACAAGGGCAGTTAAATTTATTTATTTGTTTCATGAATAGTTACTACAACATCTTAAGGATGTGAACTTCACCGATCAGTTTGGGGAGAAAGTATATTTTGATTCCAATGGAGAGCCTGTTCCACTGTATGACATTATCAACTGGCAGAAGGGCAGAGAGGAGGAAATAAGGTAAACATGACAATGAAGTTAAACAACTGATAATTGATTAAATCATGAGTATCAAATGTATGTACTGCAAAGATTCATTAAAGTGGGAACTTATGACGGTTCCGCTCCTCTGGGACAACAGCTGCAGATGGAACAGAGGAATATAATGTGGACCACAGGACTGAGACAGGTAAGACCCTTTGATCATTTAAAATATGAAACTAAAGGTCAAAGGTACCACATAAAGCAAAGCTAAACATTTTGTTTGGTGTATTTGTACAGGTGCCCTTGTCCCAGTGCAGTGTGCCTTGCCCCCCTGGCACCAGGAAGGCAACTCGTATGGGACAACCGCCATGTTGCTTTGACTGTCTGCCCTGTGCTGATGGAGAGATCAGCAACCAGTCAGGTAAGATGTATCTGGATGTTATTTAAACATTTTGGGTTTTAAAGCACATATTTTTTAATGGGGTTTGTGTTTTTAGGATCAACTGAATGCACCAAATGTCCTCAGTACTACTGGTCTAATGAGGACAAAGTCAAATGCGTTGCTGGTGTGGAGGAGTTCCTGTCTTACACTGACACTATGGGCATCATCCTGGTCACTTTGACATTATTGGGCGTGTCCCTCACTGCTGTCATCACCACTGTCTTCCACTGTTTCCGCTCCACACCCATTGTCAAGGCCAACAACTCCGAGATCAGCTTCTTACTTCTTGCGTCACTCAAGCTGTGTTTCCTGTGTTCTCTGGTGTTCATTGGTCAGCCATCGGTGTGGACATGTCGTCTGAGACAAGCAGCATTTGGGGTCAGCTTTGTCCTCTGCCTCTCCTGCCTCCTGGTTAAGACCATTGTGGTCTTATTGGCCTTTAGAACAAGCAAACCCCACTCCAAAACTCTCAAACTGTTCGGGCCCATCCAGCAGAGGGTTCTCATTCTGTGTACCACTGTTCCACAGGTAAGAACCATCATTTGATTTTCTGCACTATTGATAAAACGCTGTCCCTCTTTCTTCTTCTTTAGGTTTGTCTGTGCACTGGGTGGCTTGTAGCAGCCCCTCCTTTTCCATTCAGAAATCCAGATTACCAAACTACAACGGGAAAGGTAAATATAGTCATTGACTACAACCCTTAGCCTGATACTTGGACTCAGAGTCAGGACCATACGTTTGACTAGCACTTGCACTACCAAAACTTGTTCAGCTAAACCATACTCCCATCCTATTACTACTATTACTTGTCATCACTACTACTGTCACACTGACTACTGGTACTTAATACTACCATCATTGTTACTACCAGTATTACCAGTACTAATAATAGACATCTGTCTCTAGTACAAGTGAGACTGACTTGGTATTTTGTTCAACTGAATGATGAGTATGTACTAAAATGTACACTGTAGGTGTGAACAGACTTTGAGTTTAGACACTTTATATGTAATTTGCTGGTTCAGTAGTATATGCTTGTCATGCTTTTTAAATCTGTTTTCCAGATTGTTTTAGAGTGCAAAGAACCCTGGCCACCTGGATTCTACTTAGTTTTGGGCTACATTGGACTTCTGGCTTTTCTATGTCTCCTGCTGGCATTCCTTGGAAGGAAATTGCCAGACACCTTTAATGAGGCTAAACTAATCTCCTTCAGTATGCTCATCTTCTGGGCTGTGTGGATCTGCTTTATCCCAGCTTACGTCAGTTCCCCAGGGAAATTTACAGTAGCAGTAGAGATTTTTGCCATTTTAGCTTCAAGTTTTGGGTTGCTGGTTTGCATATTTATGCCTAAATGTTATATAATTTTATTCCAGCCTGAAAGAAATGTCAAGAAAGCGATGACTGTAAAATATGTAAAATAAATTCTTATTTGTGTATTCAAACACTTAAGATGAGGACAGCAACAATGTAAATGATTATGGAATAAAAAGTGCCCTCTGTCTTTGGCGCATACCACCGCTATTTCTGTATTATTTCTATTTCTATTCGAATATTTCTTTATTCTAAGGAATGCTGTCACGAAGGTTTAAAACTAATGAATGGATTACTTGTAGAGGGATTGATTTAATGAATTAGATTAAGTAGGCATCTTAAACTAAGAATGCAGTTTTGGGGCATTATCCATTGAGTAACTAAGATGGTTATACCTACAATTGTAGCAATGAAAGTTAACCAACCAATGTCCAATTAATGTATTCATCTGAAGTGGTAAATTATGGAACCATGTCACTGACTTGTAGAAAATTTATTGATCAAGCAATAAAACAGACAACATTAAAACAACATGAAATATTGAAATGAGACCAAATGGAAGGATCTTTTGCTTTTTAATGTGGGTATGAGAAGGTCAGCTCTGGAGAAGTCAAGCTGAATGTGATGGTCTGCATAGTCTAGATGGTCCAGGTTCTGAGAGTTCTGAGAGTTTGGTAAATTTGAACAAAATGAAAACTAAAGCACAAACAAGAGAGAAAGTAGTCAAATGTGGGATTTGTCACTTCCTGTCTTTTCCAATCAGATGCTGTTTAGTATTCTTCTCTGGTTTCAGCAATATAATGTAACACTTTGGCACAAACAAACAGAACAATAGGCCTAAACTTGAAGCCAGGATTGCAAAAGATTCCACTGCATCAGCATAGTTCCCCGGAGAACTGATGTACGCTGGGATGAATGCTAGCCACACTGCACAGAAGATCAAGATGCTGAATGTGATGAACTTGGCTTCATTAAAATTCCCTGGTAATTTCCTAGCAAGGAAAGCCAACAGGAAGCAAAGACCGGCCTGCAGACCAATATATCCTAACACGCACCAAAAGGCCAGATTGGAACCATTGTTACATTCAAGTATTATCTTTGATTTTTCATATTCCATGTTTCTGAATGGATGAGGGGGTGCATCAATGAGCCAGGCTACACAAATCACCACCTGGACTAAAGTGGAGATAAATATAATGACTCTTTGCTGTTTGGGCCCTAACCATTTCATTAAATTATTGCCTGGTTTTGTAGCAGTAAAGGCAGCTAGCACCACCAGGGTTTTCCCAAGAATACACGAGATACATAAAGAAAATGTAATGCTAAAGGCTGTGTGGCGCAGCATGCAGGACCAGGCTGTGGGCTCACCAATGAAAATCAAGAACAGAGGAAACATAGAGTGAGGGAGAGGAGAATGAAGAAGCTCAGCTCAGAGTTGTTCATTCGGACAATTGGAGTGTTTCTGTGGTAGAAGAAGATGATGAGGACTGCGATTGTGAGACATGCGCCCACTACAGAGATGACTGTCAGCACTATGCCCACTGTGTCATAGGCCAAAAACTCCACCTCTTTAGGAATGCAGGCTGTTCTATCTGGGTTGGACCAGAAGTCATCAGGGCATTCTCTGCATTCTATTGAATCTAAAGAAAAATCATAGACAGTGATGAATAAACAAGCAGTCTGTGGATTGAAGATCTGAGTGGTAAAGAAAGTATCAGAGTTGTTCAACAGACTCTACACTTTCTCAAGTTATTTTTAATATTAGTGATATTCTATTCTATTCATTAATTTGGCTTTTGTTTTCATTTAGTTTCAATGACGATCTGAGGACTTGTAAAATGTTTTTCTCATTTCACTCCCCACCTGTCTCATTGCTAATTTTGCCGCTGTCACATGGTACACAGTCAAAGCAGCAAACAAGTTCCCCACGACGGACAGCTTTCCTGGATCCTGGAGAACAGCTGTCACTGCACACAGATACTGGCACCTACAGTGAACAACATTCACACTAGAAATGCTGCAATTATGAATTTGTTTGTCTGTCTATGGTTCAGTTTGTATGAGACAAGAGCTATTGGTAAATCAGTTTGTGCACTCAAAGCACATTAAAAATGCACAAATCATGCACACACAAACAAACACTGAATTAAATTGCACATGATCAAACCAATTTGAAGGAGCACAAATTGAACTCTTTACAAATTTCAGATACAAATTACACAAATTATGGATGACATTATGGATACTTTTTGCATCAGTATTTGGCCTATATCAGTGACTGTTTAATGCTGATATTCCTACATTTAGGCCAGCTGACCCATATCCGGATTTGACCTTTTTTTACTTGACTTACCTCCACCTGGACCTATAGAACTTCAACAGCTGACATCTGAAGAAGGTAAAAACACAGCTTGAGCTGCTGCTTGCCTTGCTCTGATGACCAGCCCACACAATCCTGTCCTCCTTGATGACCAGCTCCTGTCCTGCAGCTTTGGTCCCATCAAACAGGCCAACTTGGACAAACTCTATATTTCCACTGGTGCCTCTCTGCCAGTTGATGATGTCATAGTAGGGTACGGAGTCACCCTTTAGGTCAAAGTTCACCTTTTCTCCATTGATAGTAAATTCTACTTCCTGAAGATATTGCTGAAACTTACAGAGAAATATTAGCAACAATTTAAACTATTTTATTTTGTGACACAGTATTTATTTATTGTAGATTTGTTGTGTATTTATTTTGGGGAAGGCACACAGCAATGTATATGCACCATATGCTTACCCAATTGAGATCTAGCACTAGTAAGTGTCTTTATAAGGCAACACCTATCTTTAATCATAACATTTTTATCAAGATGATTTGTCTCAGATAAACATATGTACCTGCCAGGGATGAACATTGTTGTTCTGAACACAGGAGTTGTTTTCAAAAGGCCCTGCTCCGGGTTGACAGAGAAACAGGTTGTGTAGAGAATGGGCGACTGCATACACAGCCTTGTACACATTGTATGCCACTCGAGGACTTGATGTGTTCATGTACGCTGCATGCCTCTCCAGCAACACCTCATCTCCTGAGCAGGGAGGCAGGTTTGTGTCAGAGGAAAAGATAGGAGCACAGCTGTACAAAGCATCCCACAGCTCGTGCACCAGTGGATTACTGGGGTAAACATATGGGGTTACTTTTTGTAAAAAGTCACTGAGTCCTGGGATGTAGCCTGTTCTGATCCCAAAGCCAATGGTGCCTCCCAGGTAAGGATAGTAGATGCTCCCTGAGAAGACAGATGCTGTGACCCAGGCCTCGCTGGCCACCCACTGGATCCCAGTGATGTTCTGCTCCATGTAGTCCCTTAGGAAGGGTGTCATCTCCCCCTCTGCTGAAAATACTACCACAACTTTGGCCCGAGAAGTGCGCATCACCTTTTAACAGGAAAGATGTAAATACTGTTGCATCAATCCACTGAAAATAATACAATACACAAATATACACTGAACTATAAATACTATTTAAAAAAATAATTAAGTATTTATCATCATTTTTTCATATGAGTCAAAATTAATACACTTACATTAGGATCTTTAATTACCAACCTGCATGATTTCTAGAGCCCTTTGTTGGTTGTAGAGTAAAGGGATCATCTCTGTGTATGCCACACACACTTTAGTGCCCTGGAGCTCTCTCAATAAACCCTGAACTGCAAAGCGTCCATACTCATGATCCCCTCGGATCAGACCAATCCAAGTCCAGTTAAAACGTACAAGAAGCTGGGCTATGGCCTTCACCTAATCGTCAAATATAATTCAGTTGTGCAAATATTGTACCATTCATGTAACAGTGTCACTTCTGAATAACACAAACACAGATATAGTTTTTAGTAGAACCAAGAAAAGAAAATCAACATGCAGTCCTATTCTACATAAATGTGTATGGTTCTATTCTAAATCTATAATTTTGGTTCTAATTTAAAGGGTTTCATTATATCTGTGGAGTATAACAATTACCTGATAGTCATCATTTGGAATCACTCTGAAAAAAGTGGGGTATTTTCGTCTGTCAGTAAAACATGCACATGATGAGAAATAACTGATCTGGTAAAAACAGGAAATACATCAGCTGAACACTGTAGCTCACTGTGTGAGTTTCTGAAACATGTTTACCATTGGAATCCTAAAGGGTCTAAGTATTCTGGATACAACTATGGACTGAGCAGATCCAGACTCCCCAATGACAGCCAAGAGTGGGGAAGCACCACTGCACAAGCCATAGCCCTCCTCTGTGACCCCGTTAAGGACTGCGAGAGCTGCTCTTTGCCCTGTCAGAGGATAGGCACATGAGTCAAAGATTTTGTACCCCAGAGTGTGATTGGGCAACAGCTCTTTGTTTTGGTTGATCTCATCCACAGTCAGTATCATAGTCAGTGCCCACCGGAATGCCCTGGGATCAAAGCTGAACGAGACAAATTTATAGTAAAAGAACAAGACAATCAACAATTGTATATATAAAAACAATTCTAAGACAGAAATCTAAGATTACCCATTGCACTTGACTGGTGGTGGTCGGTATGTAACATTCATGTCTGGCATCTCTTGGTTATAATGAAGAGGAAAAATGCCTCCAAGTAAAAAGTCACCTTCAGCCATAAAAGCAGGTTCAAAATGGTTTTGAAGTCTACAAAATAATTCAGAACTGTTGACAGGAAATACGACACTGCGAACACATGTTACTGCTAACATAGTATAAAGAGAACACAGCAATATGAGAGGAGGAGTCATCCTGAACTTTGAGTGGTAGCCTACTTAGTGATGAGAGAGCAACTTGTGCTGAATTAATATACTCTCTGACATCATGCTTTTTTTTTTTTTTTTTTTTTTTTTTTAGTAATGTTGGAGTACTGCACATTTCTAAAAAAAAATCAATCAATACAAAATCAAACAAAATTATTTATTGTTGCTTAATAGGACATTACTGACAGACTAACATTCAAATATAATCAGTCAACAAATTATTAAAACACAAGTCAGAAAACATCCACTTGATAAATGACCATCAAAGTACGATGTAAACCAAATCAAACAGGCCTCTATCCAGTACCAGTTATGGGCTGGAGAAAGATCTTTTTGTCAGATTTTCTCATTATGTGTTTCTTTGTATTTTTCTCTGGTTTGATCAGTATTATATAACATTTTGGGGCAAAAATACTTATTAATAAACCAAATGCTGATGCCAAAATTGCAAAAATCTCCACAGCAACAGTGAATTTTCCTGGAGAGCTGACATAAGCTGGAATAAAAGTAATCCAAACTGCACAGAAAATCAACATGCTGAAGGTGATGAACTTGGCTTCATTGAAATTATCAGGCAGCTTTCGGGCTAAAAAGGCTAACACTAAACATGTTATTGCCAACAGCCCAATATACCCCAGAACCGCGTAGAAGGCAGCCTGGGAGCCTGTATTACATTCTAAAACTATCTTTGTATTGCTATATTTGAACACTTTATCCGGAAATGGTGGGCTTATCGTAAGCCAGGCAGCACATATTAGAATTTGAACTAAGGTACAAGAACAAACTATAATTCTTTGTTGTGCGTAACCAAATTTCACTGCTGCAGAGTTTCTAGGATAAGTTGCTTTAAATGCTGCAACTACTACAATAGTTCTGCCTAAAATACAAGACATGCAAAAGGCAAAAGTGACTCCAAATGCAGTATGGCGCAGCATACACATCCAGATAGTAGGCTTCCCAATGAATGTGAGTGGACACAGGAAACACAAGAACAGGGAGAAGAGCAAGAAACAGCTGAGCTCAGAGTTGCTGGCCTTGATGACTGGGGTGTCTCTGTAGACAATGAAGATCACCATAGTGGCCATTGACAGAACAGTCCCCATCACAGAGACAGCTGTGAGGGCTATTCCCATTGGTTCCTGGTAGGACAAATACTCCACAGTTTTAGGAATACATGCATTTTTGAGCTCGTTGGACCAATATTCTTCAGGACATGGAGTGCATTCAGCCTCCCCTGTTGAAAATAAACATGCCTTCACTTTCACACCACTCAGTAGTTACAACATGCACTCATATTGCAGTTCCATGATGCTATATATCATTTTGGATGACTTATAGTACTTGCTAATATGGTAGACAACTCATATCACAGTGGGTATTATCTCACATTTATCCAAGAATGATTTCAAAGGTATAGTAATCTAAACATTGTAGAAATCCATCCAGAAGTCATTTTCAATCTGAAGGTACTGGTCTGAGGAGCTAGAACTTATACTACCCTAAGAGTAAGAGAGAGAGGTTATACTCTGAAACTTGCACTGGAATTTGTTTACTAGATTTGAGTTGTTTGATCCTATAGTTCTCTGCCAGCCACTTCCTCACAAACTCCCGGTCAAGTCCTGAGTTGAGACTGTGTTCTGTGGACCTAACATTACCTGTTTTATTGGCTATAGTTCCTTCAGCACAAGGGATGCAGTCAAAGCAGCACACAGGTTTTCCTTTAATTTGAGCCTTCCTTGTTCCCACTGGACACACACTCGAACATACAGATTTGGGGACCTGTTTGATTAAGATTTTGATATTAATTATTTTCTAATTTACACTACAGTAAATATAATTTTCTTCCACCATTTGTCCTGTTCTCCAGATAATGTCTTCTTCATTAATTCTGAGCTTGTAGTCTCCCATTGAAGAGATGAAGTGACCCACAGTTACATGTTGAACTTTGCCCTCTGACATCTGCCAGTTTATGAGGTCATAAGATGGAGGTGGGTTTCCATTTGCATCAAAAAATATGTCATCTCCAAACATGTTCTGAAAATTCACCTTTTTCAAATTTGCTGTCACCTTATCATTGTAATAATAATTAGTACTATTTAACTAAAAATTATCTGGCAAGTGAGTGATACCTACATACCTGTTTGGGGCTGATTTCTGACACCTTCTTGCACATCTTATTTGTTTCATTGGGTGCAGCCTGACAAAAAATAATCTGATGCAGAGCATGGGCTACTGCATATACAGCATTATACACATTATAGGACACTCTCAATTGTGTGACATCAAAAAACACAGTATCCAAATCTTTTAGTGTCTCATTTCCTGTACAGTGTTTCTTTGTTGGTTCATATCCATCACCTGCTCCACTTATCTTTGGACTGCATCCCATCACATCTTCCCAGAATTCCTTCACAAATGCTGCTTTGGGATTGGCATAGGGACTGATATCTGTCAGGAATGACTTTAGTTTTGGTATTGTTCTTTTGTGCACAACAAACCCCAATGCTCCTCCAAATGACTGGTGCATTTCTGGTGTTGAGGGCCGAGCTGCTGTGATCCAAGCCTCACTAGCAATCCACTGAATACCTGTTATGTTTTGTTTTACTATTTCAAGCATCAAGGGGTAGAAATCCCCCTCTGGAACAAAACTGAGTATAACTTTAACGCTTGACATTTTGATCATGTCTACAACTCTGAGGATTCTGTCCATGGAGTATGTCCTAAGAACAGTGCCTACAAAGGCCACACAGATGCTAAGTTTTTTTACCTCTTGGATGAAAGCTGACACACCGTTTCTCCCGTAGTCATTGTCTGACTGTATAGCTCCAATCCAGTGCCATTTAAAATGTTTTACCAGAGCAGCCAAAGCTTTGGCTTGAAAATAATCACTGGGAATTGTACGAAAAAATGTTGGGAATTTGCCTCTGTCGCTGAGGCAGGCACAGGTAGAGAAATAACTCACCTACAGGAGATGAGAACAGAAGTCATTTCAATGTAATTTGTGCTGATAGAGAAGACATTAAAAACATTACACCAGTTTTTGTTTCAGTGGATAGTAAGTGATAACAGAGATTTTATGAACCAAATGAAAATATCTGCATTTTAAATTTAAAAGTAAAATTCTTCCATAGAATTGTATCATGCCAACAACTCAACAACAGCAACAACAACAACAAGTGTTGACAATTAGGAGGGACACAGACCCTCAAAATAAATTCTTTTCTAATGACTTTTTAAATGAAGATAGCATTGTCAAGCATGTACAACTTTCTCTGATACCACATATATTAGAATATGGCTTTATGTAATAATAATATTTCTGTAATTATTAATTATTATTAACTATTATATAATTTATGTGACCCTCTGCCACTCAAGCGGTCAGGTCAGAATAATTACAGAAATGTAATTTCATACATACATCATATAGAATTTATTATAACCATTTGTACTTTTGCTCTTTGTTATTATGTTTCTTGTGATGTGTGAGCTACTGTGTCCAAATAATTTCCCTTGTGGATCTAAGTCTAAGTCTATTTTACACTTTTTGATATGACATTCCTTGTATTATGTACTATACTTACAACAGGAACTTGAAATGGCCCCAGAGTCTCAGCCACGGCCAGAGACTGAGATGAACCGGATTCTGCAATGAGAGCAGATACACTTGGAGCACAGGCAGGAGACTGAGACCCCCCTACACCACCAGCCAGAGCCAGAGCCGCTCGCAATGTGGTGCTGGGAGATGCACAAGAGTTTAAAATCCTGTAACCCATCGTCACATTTGGCAAAAGAAACAAACTCCTGTTCACTTCCTCAATGGCAAATATCATCACTTGTGTCCACCGGAAAGCTCGCAGGTCAAATCTGAAAGTGTATCTAATATGAAAAAAACACACACAACATTGAAAGAATAAGATGGTAGAATACAGTATTCTTACCCAGCACACTTGGCTTCAACAGGCTGGCTAAGAAAAGCTGATGTATTGACAATCTCTTTGTTGTAAACAGGAAAAATACCTCCAATCATTATTTCTCCCTCTTGAAAAAGATTTGGCAAACTGCCCGGCCCCAGTAACTTACAACTTGACAATGCATTAACATAGTGGAGCAGAGAGAATAATATGGATTTCTGTAGCATTTTCGTGTTCCTTCTGTCCAAATACAGTCTGAGTAACAAATGCAGAAGGATCTGAGCTGCTTTATTAAAGGCTGATTGAAACCCTCAGGGGAGTTGCTTTTTTCATCTTCCTGCCCTTCCAATTGCAACATGTGAGATAATGTAAATGCATTTGTTACAGTATGTATTTTCTTAACTTGTAGCAAATATTGCTCAAACCATATAATAGCAAAGCATAACTCTTATCACAAGCCACAAAATATAGATTCAATGGCCTGTAATTACATTCAGGACAAAAGCCTGTTGTGCTTGTTTTATGTTTAAAGGTGGGTTGTAGATGAGGTTGTAATCTACTCAGTCATGTAGACAGCATGAAACTCCACACTGAAAGTCCAGACACCATTGTTCTTCTGCAATAACCACTATGCCACCCATTTAAAAAATTGTTGTTGAAAAATAGTGACAAAGTGGAAAGTGGACATCAGTGATCTTGTATTAGGTATGACTGGAGAAACTTTTATTAAACATTTCAGTTAGATTCAGATTAGGGATGGGACAATATGAAATTTCCACAGTATGATAATCATGACAAAAAAATGTGTGAGCCCACCTACTTCGCTATTAGTTACCTCTCTCTGGCACCAAGCCAGCCTCTGAGAAAGATCAAAGCAGTCACTGTGCCAATCGTGCCTACAGCCTGGCACATGCCCATGAACCCTGTGCCATATAAATACTGGGCTACTAGCCACATAATTCCCTTCTTCGAATCAGCTCATGGAGGGAGACGATCCAGCTGGGCCTGAAGGTACATTGGCTCGTACACACTCGTAGAACTATAGTTATGTTAAGTAACTGTAATTTCTATTTCATATGTGCTCTGTCCACCTATAGGCTTCGCTACTGGTTACCAACCGAGGCAAAGGCTATAGGGGTAAATGTACCTCCAGCTGGGTAGACTCGAGATTGCGGTTACACAAGTCCTGTGGACCTGATACTCCAATTACAGCCCACTTGCTCCGACTCAAGGCGCCAAGACCGACAGACCAAGGTCAAGATGAAACGTGGGGAAGCCTCACCAAGAGGGTGCACACAAATAGGATCACTTAAAGGTAGACACAGAGGACCAGGAGGAGGCCATGCAAATCTCTATCAACTATAAAGACCCTGCAGAGGGCCACAGAAGTAGAGAGACCGTATGTGGAGCATGCCCTTATGACCGCAGGAGGAGTGCAACCTCATACGCTGCCGTAATGCCTCCACGAATCCAGTGAGCAAGATGTTGGGACGACAGTGGGGCCCCATGGCCTCTTGTCCCAAAACCTACAAACAGCTGGTCCAAAGTGCTAATGGCTACTGTCCGCTCAAAGAAACAGCGAAGGGCTTTGATGGGACACAACAACCTCTGCTGTGAATCCCTCTCAAATGTATTGGCGAGGGGAATGAGTGCTCTAAGGCTGATCACCCTGGACCAAAAGCAGAGGTGATAGCTTTAGGTTAAAAGGATGGGTTGGGCCAGAGGTGACCATCCATCCTCACTGAATGACATGCAGGTGAATTGAAAGCGCACACAGATCCCCCACTCTCTTGGCAGAGGACAAGGTCAAAAGAAGTGTAGTCTTGAAGGTAAGAAACCGCATTTCAGCCTGTTCCAAGAGCTCAAAGGGGTTACCTGACAGGCCGTCCAAAACCACCTGGAGGTCCCAGGGTGGAACAACCTGTCTGGAGTGTGGCCTCACTCTGGAGGCACCTCGAAGAAATTATTTAACCAATGGATGACTGCACGCTGAGTAGCATCCAAAACCCTGATGACCTGCTTGATGACTGCCCCAATTATTGCCAGTGTTGCTGCAGCCCAACTCAGCAGAAACTCCGATATTCTGCTAACTGAACAGGTGCTGAGGTACAGCTCCCTGCTGTTGCACCAGGTAGAGAAGAGCTGCCAATGGCTGTTATATGCTCTGACGGTGGAGCCAGCCCTAGTACTCTGAATGGTGGACACCACCTCCAGAGAAAGACCAAGACCAACTAGTTTTCCCCTTTCATCTTCCATAGCAGGAGCCTCCTCACCCGCCTGTACTAGTGCATCTGGTTTGTCGGGGAGAGGTCAAGGGTCCACAGTGGTGGAAAGGCATACAATTGGCTCATGGGCCACAGCCGGCAAGTTGGCATATCTACCCCGAGTGGTGGCACATCTGATGACCTCAGTGAGAACCAGATGACCAAAACCTGTCCCGGACCTGAAGCGTTTCACCTGGGGAAAGGCCCCATTTGTCTTGCAGAGGGCCCCCTCAGGATATCCTGTCTGCCCTGACATTGAGTACTCCTGAGAACCTGAAGTCCTCCAGCACTGCTGAGGACAGAGTCACTGCTCTCTGCCTGTCCCTCATAGGGTGCAGATGGAGCCGAGTGAACCAACACTGGACTCTGCACATGTGCAGTAGATGCAGGCATACCACTGGATGGGCTGAGGCCATCATCCCCAAGACAGACTGCACTTAATGGGATGGGGCTGATGGAGTGGCCAAGGTCAGTAGTGCTCCGCGCCTCTCCCTGATGAGCCATGCATGCATTATGCGTGAATCCAGCTACAGGCCCAGGTAAGTGGCCTGCTGTGCTAGACTGAGCGTGCTGTTTTCTCAGTTCACCACAAAACCCAACCTGGAGATAATAATAATAATGCTTTGTCCTGATAAGGGGAGTGAGGAGATTGGTGTCAGCTGATCGGAAGTGGCGGGTGGGACAGTGCTGACAGAGGAGGTCAATGAGATGGGGGGGCCAGGTTATGGAGGGAGATGTGGTGCAGTATCAGGGCTGTGTTCCTCCGCCTCATGACGAGAGGACACCTGTCATGGATGTAAGTCAAGATATGCATGACCTGTCGATGTAGGGGCTCCAATGCCACATGTTTGGAGAAAGTGCGTGGGGTGAGAGAGTAGCCGAATGGGAGAGGATTGCACTGGAAGCAGAGGTCTCCGATAGCATATCTGTATATCTCTAGGATTGGGACACTGTGAGCTTTATGGACATCATCCAATCTCCTGAGAGAACGCTCCCCAGGAGTTGCTTGACTGTCTGCATGCGGAATTTCCTGGTGGCCACATAATTGTTCAGGACCCACAGGTCCACTATGGGCCTCACTCCTACACTCTTCTTTGAAACCAGGAAGTAGGGAGAGAAAAACCCTGCAGCCGTCTCCATATTGTTTGCTGGTTGGGTGAGGAGAATACCACTGAAGGGAGGAGGGTGATGGGCAAATTGGAAATAGAAGATTGCTAGAGGTTGCCACAACTGAGGGTATTCCCCTCTTGCTGAATGTCACTTCTCCTCACTGGTCTAGCACTCCTGGATGTGGGCGTGGAGTCAGAGGATCGGCACTCCCCAAGTACCGATCCTGCTTTTGTCTGGTTCACGGTGGTGAAAGCCATGCTGTTCATGCCAGGGCTGGAGAATGGGAGCTAGTTGCCGGGATCCTCTAGCAGTGGTTTCAAAATGATTGGTGATACCCTGGATATCTGGGCCAAACAGGGCAGCTGTGGAGAGGAACTGTCTGAGAATGCCTCTCTGATCCTATTCCACTACGGAGGCCGAACCACAGGTGTCTCATTCCGAGCTGTGCGGCACACATAGAACAGCTGCAGGAACATGGCTTCTGCCATGTTCTGGATCTCCCCAATGTCCCCTGGTGTGAGTTCCAAACATTCATGACAAATGCGGCCAATGGAACCAAGCAGAAAAGCCATGTTGTTAGCTAACGCAAGCACCTAGTTAACGTTAACATAACAGCAATCCAAGAGTCCTGCCACACGCCACCCTGTCTGAGCGGAGGGTGGGTCTCCCACTGAGTCAGATGAACAGATGGACGTAATGCCATTCATGTGTGCGTTACGCAGCTGTGCACATCTGAGAGGCCAAACAAAGTGGATATAGGAGCAACATCTCATCCTCTAAGTCATTTGGACAAAGCTTAAGGAAGGAAAACCTGCAGAAGAAAATAAAGGATGCTGAAGTGATGTGCCCATCTCAAACACATCTTATAACAAGACCATGTGTTTTTTATTTTCTCTTTTGCTATGTACCCATTCAGATTATCTGTAGCCCCAAAAAGCATGAAAGACATGACATGTTTCAGAGACCCTTGGTTGTTGTTATTATATGTTTAGGACCCACATGAAATTAGCCCAATTTGTCAAGCGTCTGTGTACACACCAATGAGTGAACGAGTATAGAGCAAGTCCTGGGGTCTAAACATGGCTGCCGATTCAAGTCAATGGACTGAGCTCAATGGGACATGTCTCCAGATTAGCCTAGTCAAGTTAGGTACTACTGGTGGATCTCTGCCCACTGAACAAGGAGCGTGGAGCGTGGTCCTGTGTATCACATGGTTCTTTGACCAATCAGAGCAAGAGGAGCTAGAGCAGAACAGAGCGGAGATGGAGCTAATGATTATAAAGCTGTTTATAAGCCAACTGAAGGAGCTGAGAAAAAGTTGATGAGCTAAAACTAGGTAAAAATTGCCACAGAATCTGACCTTTTAGAAAACTGTAGGTGCCCTGTCAGTCAAACACGAGCAGTTTGTGATTACATTATGCTCTATGGGAAAAATCCTTTCTGGGCAGGAGAGATTTTTTCGCTGAAGGACCAGTGAGTTAGCCAGGCTGGCACCACCTAGTGCCTCCGCTCAATTTCATTTCTCTTCAGCGACAAGGTCAGGAATTGGAGAGATGGTTCACAAAAGCCCTGGGCGAGTTCGGGCATCAGCCAATCAGCGAAAAGCATACATTCTGTATTGGCAAAGAGGGTCAAAGAGAATGTCTGGTGAATTTTATCAAGGGGAAAGACATTATTGCCCTTCTTCTTACAGGATTTGGGAAAAGTTTAATACACCAGTTAGCCCCATTAGCGGTGCATTACATACATCACGACCAAATAGCAGCGACTGGTTAAATGAAAAAAAGTACCCACCTACCTTCGAGCCAGTGAATTCTGATGCTGCGAGGTCAGACCGTTTCCACAAAGTGAAACCAGCTGATGAATCAGGCTACAAGTGAGTGGCCACTACACCAACTCAAGACAGCTATAAGCAGGCTATTCCCTATCCAGTTATTTTAATAGATCTTGTTGATGCAGTGGAAAACCGTTTGGCAGAGACAGAGCATGTGCCTCCTCTCTTTATAGATCTCTCATACCTGGACACTATAGCGACTCTGAACGTTTAGGTTATTATACTTTTAGCATGAAGGCTTGCAGGTCAGCTCTTAACTCGTGTTTACAGGGGCGTATAGGTGCTCCGTGGCGTGGTGCAAGTGAGAGACAAGTGGGGAGCGGAGGATACAGTGCAGATATAAGGACTACATAAGAGCGCGTAACAGGTCAAACTGCATTACTGTAAGGAGCGCTGCTTCTTCCACAGACCGTGTCAAATAAATGAGGTGTCAATATCATCAGAAGCCAACCCTCCCCGTATTGATACTGTGGCATTTCAATACTGTGGTATATTTTAATACAGGTTATCTTCCCATCCCTAATTCAGATAAAATAAACATTGAACTAAACAAAATTTTAATAATGTCTAAGTATTAAAAGGGTTGGACATTGCTTGTGGTGTATCCAAGAATATTGTATCTCAAATGATCTAACTTTCATATTAACAATATCACTATCAGTATCAGTATCGGTATCAGTATTAACAGTATTATCCAGAGAGGGCATAGGGTTTGCAAGTATTAAAAAAAAACACTGTTCCAATGGTGAAACGTTTCTTTTACTGTATGTGTGAAAAGTAAGTACAGACCATTTAAAATCTTTTTATTTATGGTTTTTAGCTTTCTGTTTATTGTTATGGTTAAATTTGAAGACCTTTGAAAAGATGTGATAATTTGCTTTAAATTGTTAATTTCCATGGTAATGATGCTAGATTTCTCTAACTCTTTACTTAGAACTTCAAATGAACTGTTAGAAGATTTGTGAATTCAGCTCCATATTCTATTGGTCTATTTCATGCTCTATTCAGTGTTTTTTCGATGACTGTTGTGGTGAAGCTAAAGTCGGGTTCGCAGGGCAGTGCAAGGTTAGGCCTTGGGGTTAGTACAAGTCAAGTCAGCCCAGACAGCCCCCCTTAGCAAGACCAACTTTAACCATCTAGAACTCTATGCACCTAAAAGTAACCAGTACTTTAACACTTTAAATGTGAACTATCCCATCATTCTTGTTTTGCACAGCACTAGCACTATAACTTATTCTGAATGTGGTGTTTAGCTACTATTACCAAGTTTAATTTGTTGTGTTTAATTAGTTGTGGGTTGAATGGTGTATTTATGAGGGTTAATTTGTTAGTTGTTTTGTATTGATGTACCTATAAAAATGAAATAACTTTTAACTGTCTAGAATATTAACCACCTTGGCCTTGTCCTTGTTTATGCCAGAACAAATTGTGGGAGTTAATAAAAAGAGGGACTCTATCCTTCCACTTGGTTACATAAGGATAAACAGAATGTGTAGCAACAAACAGAAAGAATGGGTTTTAAGTGTATTTATATTATATGATTATGTACACACATTGTAATCAAGTAGGCTTATCTGTAAAACTTAGTTCAGAGTTTTTAAGCAACTATACTCAAATGATTACAAAGCCCTTGCTTTTACCGTCATATGTTTTTTGGTGTTTTGCTTTGGTCTGAATATTATAATATAGCATTTAGGGATAAAAAAACATATTAATAATCCAAAACTCGAGGCCAGTATTGCAAATATCTCCACAGCAACAGTGAACTTTCCTGGAGAACTGACATAAGCTGGAATAAAAGCGATCCAGACTGCACAGAAGATCAACATGCTGAAGGTGATGAGTTTTGCTTCATTAAAACTATCAGGCAATTTTCTGGCAAGAAATGCTAGTATGAAACACAGTAGTGCAAGACATCCAATGTATCCTAGCACGGCCCAGAAGCCCACAGCTGATCCAAGCGCACACTCCAATATGATCTTCTCTTTGTAGTACTTCATATTCTTCTTTAGACTTGGCGGGTTTGTACTTAACCACAGTGTGCAAATGACCACCTGTACTGAAGTTATGATAACCACATTAAGTCTCTGTTGACAAGGACCATACTTCTTCATCATATTATTGCCTGGAAGTGTGGCTCTGAATGCAAGCAGAACTAGCATAGTCTTCCCTAGAACACAAGAGATACAGAGGACAAAAGTGATGCCGAACGCAATGTGGCGCAGCATGCAGGACCACTCAGAGGGACGACCGATGAAGGTGAGAGAGCACAGGAAACACAGGCTCAGGGAGAAGAGCAGCAGGAAGCTAAGCTCAGAGTTATTGGCTCTCACTATTGGTGTTTCCTTATGTGTGAAAAAAATGATGAAGACCAGAAAAGATAGAAATATACCAATGCAACTGAATGTGGTTAACAGAGTGCCCATGACCTCTTTGTAGGAGAGGTATTCAGTGGGTTTGGATGTACACTTGTCCTTGTTTTCATTTGGCCAGAACTCAGGTGGGCATGCAACACAGTCCACAGAATCTAAAAAACAGATTAGAATGAAATGCACCAATTAGCTCTGAAATTATGGTAAATCTAACAAATAACTAAATCAATTAATTTAAATGTTATGAATGAGTGTCGGGAGGGGGCATTATTGAGTGTCTAAAACATTGTGATAGTGATTATTTGTGCAATTAACTAATAGATGGCTGCAGGGAAATTATTCTGTCAATCAGCCTTGTATTTTATTTGTGATACGTCCTCTTTCTTCTTACCTGTTTGGTTGCTTATTGTCCCTTCAGGGCATTCCAAACAATCAAAACAGCACACAGGCCTGTTTTTGTTTATGGCTTTGCGAGTCCCAGGTGGACACGGTTCCCTGCAAACAGACCTTACAATCTAATACATAACATACTATATATTAATGAACTGATCAAAAATATCACAGCTGTCATTATTTTCATGTCAAACTGATACCTTGTTTTTTCCTCCACCCCATATTATCTTGGAATCTAACACTTGAAGACTGGCGCCCTCTGGTAAAGATCTGTCATAAACTCCAATGTTCACAACCTCAGCAGAGCCATTTTCGCTCATCTGCCAGTTCACCAAGTCATAGCGAGAAGCAGGGTCTCCATTTTGATCAAAAAACACCCTGTCACCAGTATTTGTGGTGAAGTTCACATGTTGTAGATGTTCTAGCAGCTACACAAGTAAGGATAAGCATCATTAATGAGGAATAATAACTGTTGTATCAGGATCTGTGAATGTTTATTGGTTCATCAATTAATACTGTGTTAAATAAGACCATCTGCTATACTACTACTACTACTACTACTACTACTACTACTACTACTACTACTACTACTAATAATAATAATAATAATAATAATAATAATAATAAGAAGAAGAAGAAGAAGAAGAAGAAGAAGAATTTGTTAATCTTTAAATGTTGTTTGTTTTTGTAGATCATTGAGATTTTACCACTCACATCTTTAGGCTGGACCTGGTCCTTGCTGAGACAGGCCTTCCCAGTGGTGGGGTTGAGTCCGTTGTTGCACTGGAGCAGGGAGTGGAGGGCATGGGCAAATGAGTAGACTGCATTGTATACATTACTCTCAGTCCTCAGCTCTGTGAAGGCGGCGTACTCATTTGGAATACTCAGCAGGTCCTCAGAGCCTGTGCACATCTTTGAGGTGTTGGACGGAGTAAAGGTACAGCCAAAGATATTTCCCCACACTTCTCTGACTATTTCACTCTGTGGTTCCTCTAGTGGATTTAATCTGAGCAGATAGTCTGCCAAACCGGGCACTGTAGCTTCAGGAATGGCAAAGCCCATTGCACCCTGTAAAATGCTGACTCTCTCCCTAGAACCTAGTTTTGTTTGAGTGATCCACGACTCACTGCCAATAAATTGCTTTCCAGTGATGTTATACTCATCAAAATGTGAAAGAAAGGATGTGGTATATGACAAGCCCATGAACAACAGTACCACATTGGAAGTGGATGTTCTCAGTTTTTCCACAACATAATCCATGCCTTTTTTTTTGTAGTAGATTTGGTAGTATTCAACACATATACTGTATTGTTTGGACAACTTTATAAAGTTTTCTGTGCCTTCTATAGCGTACAATTCTGAGGAATAAATAATTCCCACCCAACGCCAGTCAAAGTATTTCATGAGCTCCAGCAGACCAGCCACTTGGAAGAAGTCACTTGGCACAGTTCGGAAGAAAGTTGGGTATATCTTCTTGTTGCTTAGACAGGCACATGTCGAAAGATGGCTTACCTGAAAGAAAATAAAACTAAAAACATTACATACAGTGTGATATATTTGCAGTAAAACAGCTGTGTATTACATGGTGTAACAAAAATATTAACTGCTGTGTTATTGTCATTTCTACAAATAATTACAGAGAAAAAAAAATTATATGTATGTATTAAACTGTACACTTCATCAGATATTCAAACTAGTCACATATTCCTTCTATGTGTGGCTATAGATACATATTAATATAATATAATAATATAATAATATATAATATAATAATAATATAATTACCTATAACTACTTATTACAACTGGCCATAAAAAAACATATATATTTTTTTTATGACTCTCTTGTTACAGTATGTGGCAAAACTGAAATTATAGTATGCTGTATAAATATTCTGACAACATCTTTAAAAATCACATTCAATGATTCTATATTTGTGTACCTGTGGCACAGACAGGGAGCTAAAGATGTAATTGATGAATTGGGATACCCCCGAAGATGAATGACCAAGCAGGCCGATCATCTGACCACTGCAGCTCAATCTCTCCCCATCCAAAGACTCTATTGCTGCTCTGATCAGGTTTTGACCTCCACAGCCATTGTACAAGCGATAACCCAGTGTAAGTCCTGGAAGTAACTTTTGGTTCCTGTTAATCTCCTCAATAGTGAAGATGACAGTACGGGCAAATCGTAACTCTCTGTAATTCCACCTGCAAATACACACACATTGACAACAGATCTAGCTATTGTTTAAGACACTGACACAAATAGCATATAGAACATTACATTGAACATAAGTAAATTGGTATGGCCGTATAATCCATATTTAAGACTGTCATTGTGCTGGTGATGCTGAATACACCTGCAAGTATAAAATCACCTTCTTGTGAGAATTCTAAGAACCCACTCTTGCCTATAAATGTACATGTTTGGTTATTGCAGTTACTCCCAACAAGTACAGACAAAAAACAGATTATAGCCTGCCTCATCTCTGTGCCCTGCCTACTCTGAGCTCTCGAGGTCAACCTGTCTTATTTTTTATAGCATTTTCTTCTTTAAGAGCAGCCAATCAACAAGCTCTGACAATTCTCCATAGATTGTGCTGTTTTGAATTGTACCTGTGTCATGGGTTGTCCAGGAAGTGGAAGTATTATTTTAAGGAACCACATGGAAAAATATGAATTATTAAGCGATTGCAAATGATAAATAATAATGAGACAGCAATTATGATGCCTTTTCAGTAAATTCTATATTTTTTGTAAAAGCAATATTTAAGTCAACCTGAAATCAAACAAATTGATGCATATATCTTTTCTAAAAACCCATAATTCCTTTTCTAGGAAATTGAAGTACCATTTTTAGTAAATCCTTTAGTAAATGCATTTCAGTGAAATCAATCTATTGCATACTGTCTGCACAAAAACTGTATACCACAAAACTGTATACCACAAAACCTGGTGTCTGCTGTTTTGATAGGATAGGGGGTATGGAAAAAATCTGGAAAGTCATTTGCTGTATTCTTGTGAATTTTAGATGTCTTATTTTAGCAGGTCATTGTCCATTTCATTATAGTTTTCAAGAACACTTTTCATTTAGTGGCACACGCTTCAGTGTCTCATTGGCTTGTCTAGTTTAATTAATTAAGTCTTTTGTACTGTGAGGCCAATTGTTATTGAATGAGACATGGCCTAGAGCATGGGCAGAATAGACTTGCTAAGGGCGCTTGCTGATGAAGTGGGTGCCATCCACTGCCCTGTGTGCCGTGCACAGTGACACATTACGTACATTTGTCTTTATTTTTGGTCAATCTGTCTGTTATTCATAAATATGTCTCCAGATTTTACAGTGCAAATGACCAGAGGCAGTGCAACACATTTCAAGTTGCAGTGTATTGTGCACTCTGCTGAGATCGGCAGCAGCCTTCCATCCCTCCAGGACTCGGGGCACTTCATCTTACTCCACTAGGACTCAGTTCAACAATAATGTATTTGTTTATACTTTGATTTTTCTGTCCATATGGTATATTTTGTATTTATGTTCAAAGCCTATTTTCATTTAACATATTTTATGTCTTTAAGTCTCTATATCACTTTATGTTTCACTATTATTTGTAGTTTATGAATTTTGTTTACTGTCAATGGCAATAAAATATTTTCTTATTGTCGTCTGCATAGTTGTGTTAGGACACATTATTGCTGTGTATTAACTGGCCTTATGGCAGCATATAAAGGTTGTACAGTTAGGGTCCAAATTGACCCCTGAGGCACAACATGGCCAGTTTCAACAAAGTACTTCATCCTGTGTTCTAGACAGGACATAACCAGATGAGGACAATACCAATAAGGCCCACCCAGTCTCTGTAACAAGATACAATTATCACCAGTGTCAAAAGCAGCACTGAGATCTATCAGGATTGTGTTAGTGTTCAGCAGATGACATTATAAGGGATGTTCATTGGGAAAAGGTTAGCAAGCTGATTGTATTTAAGACAATCAAAAGAAAAGGCACATTTGAGATGGATAGATAATTTTTTAGTACTGTGTCATCAAGAGGGTTAATTATTACATTTTCCATCTAGGAATGATCCTGATAACAACTTTTCACATGAAATATGACATAAATACTGTATTTAATAATAGTACATAACATGCTACACTGTTACCTTTGTTCGTGTTATATGTACATTCTAGTAAGCTACTTTTTTCATTGCACTTTTAGTTAGATGCCTCACAGATTTCGTTGCATTGTACTTGCGAATGCAATGGCCACAAAGTGAATCTAGTACCTCACTTGGTGTCCAGTGATTTTTAAAGGTCTTTTTTTATTTATTTATTTATTTTATAGCCACTTGCCACTGAAATAAACACTTTGGTGTGGAAAAATGCATTTATTTACGCAGAAAATGATGGAAACACAATTAAATGCAATTTATTCAACTTAATAACTCAACTCAATAACAAATCAATTCTTTATCATTGCACAAATCTAGGGTATTCTTACAATCACTACACATTTTGCACAACATCTGACATTGTTTGCATACACAATCATGTGAAGCCACATTGACTTATGTGATATTTTTCTTTTTGAAAATTCCATTTGAATGAACAAGACAATGAACCCATATAAAGTAGTTTCAAAGTCCACCAGGTATTGTCTTACATAGATAGAGAGTACATAATTCAACACTGACCAACTGAAACTCACTAGTATTATCAAAAACAATGGAGAACAAGTTAATCTAGTGAGAATGTGTACATATTTTGGTACCAAGGGTACAGGGTAACTTGCACTAAAAACATAAATCCAGACTGCAACATGGATCCTTATAAGAAAGTTTATTACAGACAAAGAATAACACAAAAGTATTGTTAAAAACAGTCCTTTTGATAAAAATCCACCATAAATAATTGTGTTTGGAGGAGCTTTGAGATGTTGCATGTAGATTTCAAGCAGAACTACTGTTACTGCTGTATTCCATTTACAATAGAAGCCTATATGAAATAAAATATATATATATTATTTATGCTCTAGCAATTTCATAACAATCAAATCCTCCTTTAAACTTACCTCGCTGTATTCTACAGAAGATAGGTGAGATCTGTAGTATGACATATATACAACAATGTAAGATGGCAAACTCTAGTATTAACTAATGAGTCATAATTGTACAAGCACTTGCATATTGTGAAAAAGAAGACAATGATGGACAAACCTGGACAGTGCAGATGCACTGAAGATTTTGTGCATGAATGAGGTCCTTATAGCAGCCAGAGACTATAGAGAAGGGAACTGAACAGTTTACAATACTTGGTTGAATTTTGACCATATTGCTGCTTGATATTGATAAACTGTATAGTGAATGTTTGCCTTCAAGATCAAGAAAAATGGCACAAACACATTTGAAAATCTGTCAAAAACACACACAGTGTTAGGATCTTTAAGGCAGATCAAAAAAATAAAATTAAAAAGCATTAACTTACGTCTACTTTATCATTAGTCCAACACACAAAATACGTGATGTATATTTGTGTATTGTTACAATCACACAGGCAGATATTTGATTGTCTTTTGTGATGACTATGTGGCTTGTATCTTCCAGATGAACTGTGCTTCCAATATAACATGTATGTATCCTCAAAGACAGTCACAAAGGGAGATCTGAATGACAAAAATGTGCAAATTGCGGGGATATTTTGAATACAGTGCACAATCACATCTCATCTGATATTCACAATATCACACTTGGTAGAATGGCACAATTTAGAACAGACTCAGTTTTCTAGTCTCTATGGGGATAAGCTAATTGCTAGCTAAATCATTATGAATTGCTGTCTGAAATTAGCAGTTCCCCACAGACTAAATCATTCATTATAGGCCAATTTAACCAGATCTGCAAGGAGTCAAATTTAACTTAATAAACATAATTATAAGGAAACAACATAAGCAGATGGGAAAATCAGACAGCCATTGACAGAATACTCACATTGCTGGTGTAACATATTTGCAGTCATAAGCATTAGTGAATGTGCCAGGACTCTCGTCAGTGTGTGAGTGCTCGGATAATTTGCACCACAGACCACATGGCAGTGTCCACAGAAACAATGGAAAGGCTAAAATCAGTGCTGTCATCTCAGAGACTTGCCTTTGGCACAATCTCTGTCACAGCAAACACTGGGTTTTATAGTTTCCAGTGAGTAACGCAGGTGTGAAAGACAATGCAGTTGGCCATTGTTCCACGCATGTGCAAAAAACCATTAGCAACTTAAGGTAAATACACCTGAGACACTTTTTCCCAAAGAATGACTGACCATCCACCTTTGTTGTGATGAGCTTGGTCTATGTTCAGCCATAAGGAGACAGACATAAGTGTCAATGTTTCACATCAAAGTTGTCAAATTAAAATCAATCCAAAGTTGCAATTTGGTTATGCATTACTAAACACATTATTGAGTCATAATTAACTTAAATGGATTTGACATATTTTACACACACACACCCACATACACGCGCACACGCACACACACACACACAAACCATTGACCCCAACTAGGTATAGCCTGTTGCAGGCTAAAGAATACACATGCACAAAGAGGCAGATGACCTTTTTTTTTATCCAGTGTACATATTGTTAATATTGAATGTCCTTTTGAGTCTTTCCCATGATGTGCCTTTTAGTGTTTTTCTCAGAATCAAATAAAATAACAAAAACCTTTGGTATGAATATACATAACAGCAGACCATAACTAGAGGCCAGAATAGCAAATATCTCCACAGCAACAGTGAACTTTCCTGGGGAGCTGACATAAGCTGGGATAAAAGTGATCCAGACTGCACAGAAGATCAACATGCTGAAGGTGATGAACTTGGCCTCATTAAAGTTATCAGGAAGTTTACGAGCCAAGAACGCCAACACAAAACACAACAAAGCTAACAGACCTAATGTATCCAAGAACTGCCCAGAAACCAATGGGTGACCCAAGGTTGCACTCTAAAATAATTTTATCTTTATAATATGACATATTCCTATTTGGAAAAGGAGGGTTAATTGTTAACCACAGAACACAGATAAGGACTTGGATAAGAGTAGCTCCAAAAACACTAAGTCTTTGTTGAAGAGGCCCAAACCATTTCATGACATTACTGCCTGGAAGTGTGGCTCTGAAGGCCATGAGCACCACTATAGTCTTCCCCAGAACACAAGAGATACAGAGGACAAAGGTGATGCCAAATGCAGTGTGGCGCAGCATGCAGGACCACTCAGAGGGACGACCGATGAAGGTGAGAGAGCACAGGAAACACAGACTGAGGGAGAAGAGCAGCAGGAAGCTCAGCTCAGAGTTATTGGCTCTCACAATTGGAGTATGTCTGTGCTGAAGGAACACTGCAAAAACCAAAAGAGTCAAAAAATTCCAATAAAACAGAAACACGTCAGTACTATTCCCATGATTTCAGAAAATGACAAGAATTCAGTGTCTTTCAATGCACATTTGTCCTGATTTGCATTAGGCCAGTGTTCATTGGGGCATGTAAAGCAATCCAGAGAGTCTGTAAATAAAAATCAAAAAGCAAGATTTACATTCTCATATTGTCACTTAATCGTTCAATAATTTTCATAAATTATAATTGCTGTTATTACTATTTGTTTATTTGGAAAGGGCAGCTATGTTCTATTATCAAACCATCTGTGCTCACAAACATGCTGACATTCATTCACCAGTGCACTTAAACACTGGAGGCAAGGTCCACAACCGCATTTTATTAGAATTTTTTAAAAGTAACAACAACTTGTTTTGTTTTTGAACAGACCTGTGGCATTACTGATTTGTGCTTCTCCACAAGGGATGCAGTCAAAGCAGCATACCGGCTTGTTTTTGTAAATAACTTTTCTTTGTCCTGGGGGACAGCTCTCACTGCATACAGACACTGGCACCTGGTTCACAAAATTTAGCAATTTAATTTCTAAAAGATATTTCTAAGAATGACATGGTGACCACTAATCCACAAATATCCAAACAGGCCGATGTAAATGTGTACCGTGTATCTGCCTCCTTCCCAAACCAAGTGAGTGCTGGTCATTTGGACTTGCTGGTCATGGGGCAGGGTGGGATCGTAGAAGCCCACTGTGGTGGTGTGCATTGTGTTTGAAGTCATACTTTGGATATTAATAAGTTCGTACTGTGCAAATATATCACCATTCCCATCAAAGGTCACCCTCTCCCCTTGACTTGTCATGAAATCCACTTTTTGTAAATACTGGAGGACCTGCACAGCATGAATATAAATGCATATTAGTGTTCGAACATTTTACTCTGTTTATATCACAGAAGATGCTTAGGACAGTTTAACACCATCCTCTCACCTGCCATAGTTCAATGGGCTCATTGCTGTTGGAACTTAAGTTCGTCTTTTCACTAATTAAGGCATGGAGTGCATGTGCCACTGCATACACAGACTTGTACACATTATTTACAAATCGTAGATTGGACACATCAGTGAAATACAGGTCCACATTTTGCAGGCTCTCTCTCCCAGTACATGCTTTTCTTTCTGTATTTGTTGAATTAGCCAGAGAGCAATCAAATATGTATTCCCAGAATTCTTCCATAAATTGACTCTTAGGAAATTGTGAGGGGTGGAGTTGTCTGAGGTGATCCTCCAAACCAGGGATATTTGCTTTTCCCACAACAAATCCTAGAGAACCAATCAGAATGCTGCTGCCTTCACTGTCACTCAGAGAGGAATCTGTGATCCAAGCATCACTTCCAATCCACTGTAGTCCTGTAATATTATTCTTATACAACTCTGCAGCCAGGACCCTGACCTCCCTGTGAGACATGAAAGCCACAATAACTTTTGAGGTGGAGCGCTTAACAGTTTCCACCACGTTGACCAGTGCACTAGCTGGCCCAGTCTGCTCAAATGCTTCATAGTACTCAATGCATACTCCCTCTTCCACTGCTGCCTGTATAAAAGCATTAATGCCATTGACACCATAAGCACTGAGGTTGCTTATGGCTCCAACCCATGTCCAGCCAAAGTGCTTGACCAATTTGGCCAATGCCCGACTCTGATGTTGGTCACTGGGAATTGTCCTGAAGAAAGATGGAAACTCCTCTCTGTCACTCAGACAAGCACAGGTAGCAAAGTGGCTGATCTGTGTGAAGAAAACACAATGTGAAATCAAAGACGTTTGACACATGCTATAATACAGAAGATACGATACGATGGAGAAACGCTGTTAGAAAATGTATTTAAATAATAACGTGGTGGTAGGTCTAGAAGGCAGGGACACACTGTCAAATAGAATACACAATTGCCTACAGCTTGTATAGTTGTAATTTACATAATATAGTAATTCTAGCAGACAATAATTCATTCAAGTATCCAAGTACTTATTTATGTTTTGATTTGTTTGTATAGTGATTTTATCTTTCTTACTCTGTAAAGCATTTTGAATTACTTTGTGCACAAATTGTGCTATAGAAATAAACATGCCTTGCCCTGCCTAATAATTGATGAGTTAAAAGACTTGTGCAATAATTTAAGAGATATTTAAACATAACTATTCGTTATTTAACATATTTATTACATATTTTGATATTCTGGAAATAGGTAAGTAGTGGATTTACCACTGGGACTTGAAACCTCCCTATGACACGTGCAAACGCCATGGTGGGTGCAGAGCCAGAGTGGCCAAGAACAGCCACTGCAGAGTCAGACCCTGAGCAGGTCTCATCCAGCAGCTCCTCCTGACCATTGGCCAGAACTATAGCTGACAAAACAATATTGGAAATGCCACAGGAATTATAGATCTTGTAGCCTATGCTGTGATTTGGGAGAAGATCAGGATTCTTGTTAATTTCATCAATAGCAAAAATCATTGTCTGAGCAAATTTGAATTCTCGCTCATTGAGGCTAGAAACAGAAAGATACAGAATTAGAATATAAGATCACATCAGAAACCATAGCACACAAGCATACATACTTCATGCACGTAGGAGCAGTGGGTCTGGTGGTGAACGTAGGAACACTGCCCGTATACTCTGTCCGAAAGGTGAAGATGCCCCCCAGTATAATGTCCCCACTCTGAGACAGTTCAGGAGGCTGGATCTGACCCAATGGCTTACAGAGACTTGAGCACCTATGGACCAGCCAAAGGGAGAAGAGCACCCAGCGCCCCATCATCCCACCCACATACAATACATGCAACCCACCTGTCATTATTTGCTCTTTATATCTGATCAAGTCAACTAAGCACTTCCATTTGAATGCCCACAGGGAAAACTAATTCACTATTGAGCAAGTGTGTGTATGTTTTGTTAAGAAATGTTTAGAAATGCAGGCTGTTTACATTTTGTAATGCATAATTAAGATCTAGATAAAATGGTCAAATTAGTGTCCTAAAACAGGATTTGTTGTTTTGATAAATTAAGGCTTTGTCAAAGTGTTGATGTTTGCAACATTTCTGTACAAATCGTGTTACTGATATTTACATGATTTTATCCCATTTATTTTAATTAGGCAGCAATATAAAAAGTGTCACTTTGATGTGGCCATTAGCATTTATGCAAATTTTATCAGGTCTCACATGATTTTCTCTCATGTTTTTTAACTGGACTCTAAAGTTACTCATAAGTGGTCAAGTTGTTGTGAGTCGCTGAAATATCCCAGTTTTTTTTTGTTAGAAGCTAATACTGTCTCCTCTGCTGAAAATGCTTTTGAGCCAGTGTATTGAAAGGTGCCAGCATAACCACAATGTTCGTGTTCTATTAAAAAACACTGGAAGGGTCTACATGATAAAAGATATGTCTCATTCTAAACAGGTTTTTACCATTATTTGTGCTGGAATAGCTACAAGTTGCCAAAGCATTTTGATGAGCCTAACCGCCTTTTGTAATGTGGGAAAGAAGTAAGATCTGAGGCATACTGAGACATGATATTTTAAAATCCTTTATTTCAAGAGGGATGTCAACATGTTTCGACTACTAAGTGGATCTTCTCCAGGACATTCAAGGTTAGAGCAGTGTAACGCGTGTCACTAAACACAAGTACATTTAAATAACCCTGTTTTTTAATTTATTTATTACTTTTTCAATGACCAAAGTAATTGGACAAATGTACACAATGCTTACACTGACAAGTACAAGTGGAATAAAACTTTAAAAACAAAGTAATCAACAATTGTACTAACATCTTTGGTCCATAACTCCAGAGACTGGCCAAAACAGGGTGTTAATAGACTTGACACACAACAAGTTTGTGTTGTGTCATAGTTTGCTCTAAATGCAGTCTCTTCTTCTGCTCCAGGCCACTGCTGTTGGTGTTGTTGTGTTGAAGATGAAGTAACTGTTGCAATATTGAGTCCCAAAGCAGCCTCCCTCAGGACCAAGGACAGCTCCCACTAAACATGTTACAACTCATAGCACCTGTTTTCCTCAAACATTGTTTTGATGGGATCATGCGACCATGACCTCAACTGATTCAGTGAATGTGAAGTTGAGAATAACAATGAGTGTATGAGTTTTACTATATTATTATTATTATTATTATTATTATTATTATTATTATTATTATAGTGCTAAAGCTATCTGTAACTATTTCATAACATATTATTTTCGATAATAAGATGCATTGCAATACAAATACTATCGACATGACATTAATTTCCTATTATTGTCAAAATACAGGTCATGTACATACACACATACATGTCATTTTTATGTACATGATTATTTTACTAATTTCTAACAAACAAACAAAAAAACATTTAAATAAAAATATTTTTATTTAACAATTGTATAATATTAGTAAAATTTATTTCTATTAATTTACACATTATTTGATTTTCTTTCATTTAACAAGCAAAGAAATCATTTGATGATTATATTATTTTTATTTATTAAAACAACATTTTGTTACAAAACACTTTCTTTAAATATATAGTATTTACATGACCTTTTTTAAAATCACATTTTATTAAATGAAACAAATAGTCAATATCTAATAGAATTCTGAGTCTTTCCCATTATGTGCTTCTTTGTGTTTTTGTCTGGTTGAAACAAAATTATAAAAACTTTTGGCATGAAAATACAAAACAACATACCATAACTAGAGGCCAAAATTGCAAAAATTTCCACAGCAACAGTGAACTTTCCTGGAGAGCTGACATAAGCTGGGATAAAAGTGATCCAGACTGCACAGAAGATCAACATGCTGAAGGTGATGAACTTGGCCTCATTAAAGTTATCAGGAAGTTTACGAGCCAAAAACGCCAACACAAAACACAACAAAGCTAACAGACCTATGTATCCAAGAACTGCCCAGAAACCAATGGGTGACCCAAGGTTGCACTCTAAAATAATTTTATCTTTATAGTACAACATGTTCCTATTTGGAAAAGGAGGGTTAATTGTTAACCACAGAACACAGATAAGGACTTGGATAAGAGTAGCTCCAAAAACACTAAGTCTCTGCTGAAGAGGCCCAAACCATTTCATGACATTACTGCCTGGAAGTGTGGCTCTGAAGGCCATGAGCACCACTATAGTCTTCCCCAGAACACAAGAGATACAGAGGACAAAGGTGATGCCAAACGCAGTGTGGCGCAGCATGCAGGACCACTCAGAGGGACGACCGATGAAGGTGAGAGAGCACAGGAAACACAGACTGAGGGAGAAGAGCAGCAGGAAGCTCAGCTCAGAGTTATTGGCTCTGACCAGTGGTGTCTCTTTGTGGCAGTAGAAGACAAGTGTAACGATCATACTCAGAAACCAGCCCATTAATGCAAATAGGACCAACAGGTGACCCAGGAGCTCAGTGTAGGCTAAGAACTCCACCACTTTAGGTACGCATGTGTCTCGCTGTTTGTTGGACCAGAATTCTGAGGAACATTTTAGGCACTGTAATGCATCTGTAAATAAAAATGAATATACATAAAATACAGTGGAATTAGACATTTATCTCTGTAGTCTCATAACACAAAATTCACTTGAGGTAATGACAGAGGTTTAAAATAAAAGGTACCTGTTGTGTTTGTAATTTCTCCTGCTGAACAGCGAATACAGTCATAACAGCAGACTGGCCTCCCTTTGGTCAAAACCTTATGAGTCCCTGGGTGACAGCTTGAACTGCACACTGACACAGGTGTCAACTACAAACCAAACAAACAAAAAATACAGTTACTCTTATTTTTAACATATGCATTTTATTGTTACTACATACCATTGAATTATTGCCCCATATTAGTGATTTGTTATTCATGATAAACTGTTGGCTTTCTGGAAATGAGGCATCAAATAAACCAACTGTCACAGCCTCCAAAGCACCCTTATCTGTCGTTTGCAAATTCACCAGTTCATATCTTGCAGGTGAGTCTCCATTACTGTCAAAATATACTCTTTGTCCTTCTCTGGTGGTAAAATCGACATTATCAAGGTAGTGTAGCACCTATATTGACACAGGTACTGAGTTACAGGACTGGTAAATATCTTCTATATTTTGTGTGCCATCAGTGTCGTCCAGGTAGGATCCATAGCAAAAGAAAAAATAATTTCTGTCAACTGGACAAAAGTGTTTTAAGTGAAGATCAGCTCATCCAAACCAAACCTTTGTTCAGTTGACTTTGACTCTTTTAGTTCAGTTATTTATTTATTTTTTTGGTAAGATCTGATACTTAAGAAGATTCAGTATAATCTTATGTGTTTAAAGCTGTAAGAAAAAATTAGTTTGGTATCAACCAGTATTAAAAACAGTGCTGACCACTTTCCTCACCTGTGATGGCTCTATGTTTTTCTTATCAGCACAGCTCCCATTGGCAAACGGTCCTTTACCCTCTTCACATTTGAACAGGTCATCGAGCGCATGTGCCACTGCGTACAGAGACTTGTACACATTATTCTCAAATCTTAACTCGGATACATCAGTGAAATCTATATCCACATTTTGCAAACTTTCTGTGCCAGTGCATGGTTTCCTGCTTGCATTTGAAGAATTTGTCAGTGAACAGTCAAACACACTCTCCCAGAAGTCCTTGGCAAACTGGCTGTTGGGGAACTGTGATGGGTGGAGTCTTCTCAGATGATCCTCTAATCCAGGAATATGTGTTTTGCTTACAACAAATCCAAGAGAACCAGTGAGGAGGCTATGTCCTTTGCTGTCAGTCAGAGAGTAGTCTGTGATCCATGCCTCACTGCCAACCCACTGCAACCCTGTAATATTTTGCTTATACAATTCTTCAGCCAGCATCTTAATTTCTCGATGAGACGTGAAAGCCAAAATCACTCTAGAAGTTGCATGTTTTATCACCTGAACAATTTTTTGTAAAAGTTCAGGTGGATCTGAGGATGAAAATGCTTCTGAGTACTCAATGCATATTTCATATTCTTGTGCGGACTGAACAAAAGATGCAACACCATTAAGTCCATAGTAGTTGTTCACAGCTACCACACCTATCCAGGTCCAACCAAAGTGCTTGATGAGCTTGGCCATAGCAGTGCTTTGGTAATAGTCACTGGGAATGGTTCTGTAAAAAGTTGGGTAATTTTTGCGATTGGTGAGGCAGGCACATGTGGCAAAGTGGCTGATCTAAAAGAGAGACAAGAAAGAAATCAACTTTACAAGCAAAATAATAATAATATGCATTTACTTACCACAAAAATATGCATTTACTTACCACAGGTATACTGAACCTTCCAACAACCTCGGCAAATCCAATAGTTGGAGTAGATCCAGAATGGCCCAAAATTGCTTGCACAGTCTCGCTTTTGTTACAGTTACCAACCTGAATTTCTTGCCTTACTCCACTCACCAATGCCATTCCAGCCCCGAGTATATCCATAGTACCACAGTTGTCATATATCTTCCAACCCAGAGTAACATTGGGGAGAATATTAGGATCTTGATTGATCTCGTTAATAGCAAAAATCATTGTTTGAGCAAATTTAAATTCTCGAAAATTGAAGCTGAAATGAACACACACAAAAAATTAATGCCATAAACAATTGACAAAACCTTGTATTAAAAAAAAATAATAATAATAATAAAAGCAAGGTGCAAAACATGGCAAATTGTAACAGTAGGACTAAATCATAAAGAGGTATCAGGTATAAACATGGACTAAAAAATGATCTAAATATTTCTTTTAAACATGAACCAGACTATAGACAAATGAATGGAACCTCTACCATCTGAACTGCTGAGCTTCTGAGTACATAAAACGCTATTATACCTGTATCACAATTTAATCCAGCCTGTGAAACAATAACAATAATTTGAACATACTTGTTGCATTTTCGAAAATCTGGCACACTCTGAAATGTATTCACAACATAATCTTGCCCTGTTCTGAATGAAAAAATGCCCCCAATGTTCAAGTCCCCATCCTGAGCCAGCTCTGGCAGCTGCAGAGCGCTATGCAGCCGGCACACTGAACCTCCCCCATGTATCCACACAGCTAATAGGAAGAGTACTGACGCGTGCATAGCTTTAGCTGCACACTACAGCTGCACCCTCCAATAACTACACTTACTTACATTTATATAGGTGCAGCAGGATGTAGAGACTGTTGTCAGTTGAGGGGTCATCCCAGGAAGTCAAGAGGAGTAAACAACTCATTTGTTTTTACCTTTACCTTGTTTTATAATTAATTAAATCACAACAGACTCAGAAAGTTTATTTATTTATTTCCAGATTTGCAGCTTTTAAAAATGTTTGACCAAAGAGTTAACATTAGTTAATCTTTTCTGTTTATTACATACAAGATGTGTGTGATTAAAAGTCAAGGGTTTGTTGCCCTGGACCAGGACAAACACTGAGATAAAATAACAAAATGAATTTAAGACAGAAAGTAACAAGTGACTGCGGAATGGTAAAGGTTACAACTGCACCTTGCTGAGACTGTTTTAATTGTTTGTCCTACAGTTTGTTTTACCTTTACCCATTACATTCTTTTTGTTGTTCCTCTCAGGTTTTAATAAAACTATGTAACACTTGGGAAGAAAAATACAAAACAGTAGACCAAAACTAGAGGCCAGGATTGCAAAGATCTCCACTGCCACACTAAACTTTCCTGGAGAGCTGACATAAGCTGGGATAAAAGTGATCCAGACTGCACAGAAGATCAACATGCTGAAGGTGATGAACTTGGCCTCATTAAAATTATCAGGAAGTTTACGAGCCAAAAACGCCAACACAAAACACAACAAAGCTAACAGACCTATATATCCAAGAACTGCCCAGAAACCAATATCTGAACCCATGGCACACTCCAAAATAATTTTGTGAGTAAATTGTTTCACATTTCTGAATGGAAATGGAGGTGATATTGTTAACCAGAGGACACAGATCAACACCTGGATCAGAGTAAAACCTACAACACTGAGCCTCTGCTGAAGAGGCCCAAACCATTTCATGACATTACTGCCTGGAAGTGTGGCTCTGAAGGCCATGAGCACCACTATAGTCTTCCCCAGAACACAAGAGATAGAGAGGACAAAAGTGATGCCGAATGCAGTGTGGCGCAGCATGCAGGACCACTCAGAGGGACGACCGATGAAGGTGAGAGAGCACAGGAAACACAGACTCAGGGAGAAGAGCAGCAGGAAGCTCAGATCAGAGTTATTGGCTCTCACTATTGGAGTTTTCCTGTATTTGTAGAAAACCCAGGCCACAGCACAAGTCATGCACGTCCCAAATAAAGAGGCTGCCGTGAGCAGGGCTCCCATGATTTCTTCATAAGATAAAAACTCGGTTTCCTTCTTCACACACGTGTCTCTTTGGGCATTGGACCAAAAATCTGAAGGACATTGGACACAAGTGATGGACTCTGAAAATGGACAAATGAATGTGTTTAAATCAGTGCTATCAGACACAGTGCAGGAGTTATTGAAGTGGTGGTAAATGTGGCGAGTGCAACTTGTTTGCAAAAGCAAAACCTGCACAACCTGTGCTGTTGCTTATTTCTCCTTCTGCACAAGGCACACAGTCGTAACAGCACACTGGCTTTCCTTTCTGGAGCACCTTACGTGTTCCAGGAGAACACGCTTTGCTGCAAACTGATACTGGCACCTGGATCACACAAAGAAAGAACAGTTATTTGAACAACTTTAGTCTACTTAATACTGTGACCACTTTAAATTACTCACCTGCTTAGAATTCTGGGCCCAATTTAAAGACACATTTTGTAGCTTCAGTTGTCTGTGAGTAGGAAGAGAAGCATCATAAAGGCCCACTGTGACAAAGTCCACTGTGCCCTGTGCAGTGGGTTGCCAGTTTATGATTTCATATTTGGCAACAGGATCACCTTTCTCATTGAAATACACCTCTTCTCCTTCTTTTGTTTGGAAATGAATGTTTTTCAAATGTTGCAAAGTCTAATAATGAAAGGCACAGTTACTGAAGTACTTTCAGTGTATAATATTCATCACATGTCCTTACTCACCATGTGAGGATCCAAGGTCACATCTGTTTGACAAGTTTTGTTACATTTGAGGATTTTATGCAGTGCATGGGCCACTGCATACACTCCCTTATAAACATTGTTAAAGATTGGCATCAGAGACATGTCAGTGAAGCTGTTGTCCACTTGACTCAGGTCTTCAGTTCCTGTACATCTTTTGTGATAGCTCTCTGCATGAAATTTACAGTTGAACAGTTCTTCCCAGAACTCAGTAAATAACTGATTACCAGACATGTTGAGTGGTCTCACATCCATCATGAACTCCTTCATGCCACTGACATGCATTTTTGGGATGGACAACCCTATGGCCCCATCTAGAATGTGGTGCTTGTCTATAGTCATAGTTTTAAAATCAGTGATCCAGGCCTCTGTGCCCACCCACTGATAACCAGTCACATTTTGTTCAGTTAAGGTATTTATGAGCAACCTAATCTCAGTAGGAGCAAGAAACGTAACTATTACTTTAGAAGTAGACTGTTTAATTGTGTTAACAATATATTGTATTTTCTCCCATGGGTCAGTTCTGAAGAAGGACACAGAGTATTCCAGACAAATGCCCAGCTGTTGGGCAGTTTCAGTAAAAGTGACCATGCCATTATTGCCATAATCATCATTTGTTCTGATGGCTCCCACCCATGTCCAACCAAAGTGCCTGACTAGCTGGGCCAGCGCTCTGCTCTGATACAGGTCACTGGGTACAGTCCTGAAGAAGGAGGGATATTTTACTTTGTCACTCAGACACGCACAAGTGGCAAAATGGCTGATCTAGAAATAAAAAAGCATTTTAAAAGTAAGTATAAACTAGCATTATTTGGTTGATAAAACAGACATTGATATGTATACAAATATACATACCAGTGGCAAATGAAAGGGTCCGAGGACAGTAGCTATTCCCATGCACAGTGAGGAGGAAGTCTCTCCTAAAATGGCCTGGACTTTGGCTGATCTGGTGCATGGTGTTTCAGAAGACATAATTAATTCCTCATCATCATTTGCCAGAGCAAAAGCCCCTTTCACTGCTCTAATAATAGACCCACAAGCATCATACATCTTGTAGCCCAGGGACACGCCTGGCAGAATGACTGAACTGTTATTCATTTCTGCTATTGCAAACCGCATTGCCTGGGCATATTGGAATCCTCTTAGGTTCAGCCTATATTTCACAGAAATACATAATAAAATAGCATATCACACATTCATTTCTTTAGGACGCCTACAGTGGAAATCTAAATTTTACATAATCCTTTGAAAACAGTCTCACATCTTACCGTGTGCACCGTAGAGTCAGAGGTCTTTGAGAGTAATTTGCTTGTGTGTTTTCCCAGCTGCTATGAAAAGAGAAAATTGCTCCTAATATGACATGGCCATCCATGGACATGTGAAATGTTTCAACATCTCCTAAATGTCTACAGAAAAGCTCATCGCCCCGAGAGAAAGAGGCTACTAGCAGCAGCTGCAGAAGAGCCCAGCCTTGTTCCTGCCACCTCTGTGAGGTCGTCATACTGTCTGAGAGCTCTGACCCACAGGACACCAGTCTCATCCTGTGCACCTGTAATACACCTGCACTTATATTTATACTCTTGGAAACAGCTGAAATCTTATTGAAGGACTGGCAGGTTAAATCAATCAACTCACAAGCAAGGCAAGGACATGGCGTTTTAAATGAAACACAAATGTCTCCCTAAAAGTCTAAATTAATAAAATATCATTAAGATATTATTGTTACCGTGGACCTGTGATGCATTACTGTGGTATTTAAATAAGCTTATAAAATAGTCAAATTTTTGTATAGCGCTTTTCCACCTTCAAGGAACCACTCACCCATTCACACACCAGTATATGCAGACACTAGGGGCAAGGTGGGGTTAAGTGTCTTGCCAAAGGACACAACAACAGCATTCATGGTGGATCTGACCACTCAACCAATGATGTTTTATGTCAAGAGCAGGACATGAACTGCCAACCTTTGGAACAGTAGAAAAATGCTCCTACCAACTGAGCTACTGCCACCTACCTTTGGGCACTTTGCAATGGCAAGTCACCTTTCATAAATCACAGCTAGCACTCATGCTTTACAAGAAGGTGAGTGTGATGCCTGTGCCAGTTGAGGCCTTTCTTTGTGGAGTTTGTGTTGCTCCCACTGTCTGGGTGATTGTTGGTTTCCCCCATCAACCCAAAACATGCACAACAGGTCAAATCTTGGTGATTGTGACCAAGTCGAGCCCAAGATCTGGAGATGGATCCCCAAGCACTTTACGGCTCACTGCTCCTGATGGTTCAAATACGGTGAAAGAACTTCCTTCACAACAGTTTAATAAAGTATACTTTAACCTTCACTTTATGAGCCATGCACAACTTCATCTACATTCCATGTTCTTTTTCTGTTGTAACCGAGTGGGTAGGTTAGGGTCATCCTTTTTCTTAACTCCCACACAATTCGTTCTGGCATTTAAAAAAAGGACAAGGGCAATGTGGTATTAGAAATTACTCACAGCTTTATTTAATATTGTAGACATTTAAAAGTAATTTCATTTTTCCAAGTACACCAATAAATAACAAAGATTAACAAATTAACCTTCATAAATGTAGAATTCAACCCACAACTAACTAAACAAAACAAAAAAAAGTTAATAATGTCAAATGAAACCAAACTAGCTAAATGCTACATTCGCAATAAGTTAAAGTGCTAGTGCTGTGCAAAACATGGATCATGGGCTAGTTAACATTTAAAGTGCTAAACTGGTTACCTTTTGGTGCATAGTGTTCTAGACGGTTAAAGTGCCTCTTGCTATGGAGGCTTCTCCGGGCTAAAGTGACTTTTGCTAACCCTGAGGCCTAACCTGGCATTGCTCTGTGAACCCAACTGTATATTGTACTTAACCCCTCAGATAACGGTACGACTTTAGCTTCACCACAACAATTCATCCACAAATCACTAACACTGAATAGAGCATGAAATAGAATGATAGAATAAAGTAGAATAGAGAAACAGAATTACTAACAGCAGCGGCAATCTAGCATTCTGCAGTTTACGCCCTACATGGGGCTTGGAGCATGATTGGAGCGGCCACTGTCATCCCCGCCAACTCCATACAACACACACGCCTCATACAGATACCTGCAGAAATCCCTGAAAGCAACACTGAGGCATGCACACTTTTTTCTAAATTCCAATCAGTAACGCTGGGTTCTCCACTCACTGCGCTGCATTCAGGAATGCAACGTGGTGGGAAATTAGATTACCCATGACCACCTTGTTACACTATGTACTTCATTTAGTTGTTGTGTCCTCTGTAAGCAGAAGTGCCAGTGAGCTATTTTAGTAAAGAAAAAAGTAGTTTTTTGTCCACAACCATGAATCTAACAAAACAGCGTTGCTGATATGAACACAATGTGTGTTCAGGACCCACACTGAGAATTAACTTTGCATATTGTCTCTTTAACCTCAAGAAGTTAAAGAATTCAATGTGATTTAAGTTTTTTAATAATTAACAATGTCATTTATAAACCTTGATTTAACATTGTATTTATTATAAACCACAAACCTGATACAGACTGACTTTATGTTGGGTCAAAAGTGCAGATTCTCTTTTTTCTGGTCCTGCCCCTTAGTGGATACGTGCTTAACAGCCTCAGTTTGGATCACAGTGGTGCCATACACAGTTGTAATAGCTCAGGACTAACCCTGCATCTGATCTCCATAGTTTGACTGAACAACTTATATGTATAAAGACAAATAAAGAACTTCACTCAACTTGACTTGGCATTTGACACTAGGAATATAATTTGTTTTTACTCTGTAATATGGCTACACAACATTAGTGAAATATACCACCAACACTTTTCAAAGAATGAGATGTAAATATCTAGAGTGCTGGGTGAACTGAAATTTGCTAAGCACATACACCTCATATACATAAGAATAACGGATTGCTCAAAATGCACAAACACCTTAAAATACACCTCAGTTTAAGATGATCTACCTATCTATTAAAGCTGCCATCCAAGTGAAAAATGCATGATACAAACCTGCATTTTTGATTGAAGAATCTAAATATATACAACCAAATCTAAAATCTGTGGAGTTGCCTTTTCCCAATAATATTCACTTTTGTATTGGTTTCAGGTTTCATTAAAATCACATAGCATTTTGGGATAAAAATACAAAACAGTAGACCAAAACTAGAGGCCAGGATTGCAAAGATCTCCACTGCCACACTAAACTTCCCTGGAGAGCTGACATAAGCTGGGATAAAAGTGATCCAGACTGCACAGAAGATCAACATGCTGAAGGTGATGAACTTGGCCTCATTAAAATTATCAGGAAGTTTACGAGCCAAAAATGCCAACACAAAACACAACAAAGCTAACAGACCTATGTATCCAAGAACTGCCCAGAAACCAAATGATGACCCCAGAGAACACTCAACAATAATTTTAGCTTTGAATTCTTTAAAATTTTTGAATGGAAATGGAGGCGATATTGTTAACCAGAGGACACAGATCAACACCTGGATCAGAGTAAAACCTACAACACTGAGTCTCTGCTGAAGAGGCCCAAACCATTTCATGACATTACTGCCTGGAAGTGTGGCTCTGAAGGCCATGAGCACCACTATAGTCTTCCCCAGAACACAAGAGATACAGAGGACAAAGGTGATGCCAAATGCAGTGTGGCGCAGCATGCAGGACCACTCAGAGGGACGACCGATGAAGGTGAGAGAGCACAGGAAACACAGACTCAGGAAGAAGAGCAGCAGGAAGCTCAGCTCAGAGTTATTGGCTCTCACTATTGGAGTTTTCCTGTATTTGTAGAAAACCCAGGCCACAGCACAAGTCATGCACGTCCCAAATAAAGAGGCTGCCGTGAGCAGGGCTCCCATGATTTCTTCATAAGATAAAAACTCGGTTTCCTTCTTCACACACACGTGTCTCTTTGGGCATTGGACCAAAAATCTGAAGGACATTGGACACAAGTGATGGAATCTGAAAATGGACAAATGAATGTGTTTAAATCAGTGCTATCAGACACAGTGCAGGAGTTATTGAACTGGTGGTAAATGTGGCGAGTGCAACTTGTTTGTAAAAAGCAAAACCTGCACAACCTGTGCTGTTGCTTATTTCTCCTTCTGCACAAGGCACACAGTCGTAACAGCACACTGGCTTTCCTTTCTGGAGCACCTTACGTGTTCCAGGAGAACACGCTTTGCTGCAAACTGATACTGGCACCTGGATCACACAAAGAAAGAACAGTTATTTGAACAACTTTAGTCTACTTAATACTGTGACCACTTTAAATTACTCACCTGCTTAGAATTCTGGGCCCAATTTAAAGACACATTTTGTAGCTTCAGTTGTCTGTGAGTAGGAAGAGAAGCATCATAAAGGCCCACTGTGACAAAGTCCACTGTGCCCTGTGCAGTGGGTTGCCAGTTTATGATTTCATATTTAGCAGCAGGATCACCGTTCTCATTGAAATACACCTCTTCTCCTTCTTTTGTTTGGAAATGAATGTTTTTTCAAATGTTGCAAAGTCTAATAATGAAAGGCACAGTTACTGAAGTACTTTCAGTGTATAATATTCATCACATGTCCTTACTCACCATGTGAGGATCCAAGGTCACATCTGTTTGACAGGTTTTGTTACATTTGAGGATTTTTATGCAGTGCATGGGCCACTGCATACACTCCCTTATAGAACATTGTTAAAGATTGGCATCAGAGACATGTCAGTGAAGCTGTTGTCCACTTGACTCAGGTCTTCAGTTCCTGTACATCTTTTGTGATAGCTCTCTGCATGAAATTTACAGTTGAACAGTTCTTCCCAGAACTCAGTAAATAACTGATTACCAGACATGTTGAGTGGTCTCACATCCATCATGAACTCCTTCATGCCACTGACATGAGCCTTTGGGATGGACAACCCTATGGCCCCATCTAGAATGTGCTGCTTGTCTGCTGCAGCAGTTTGAGCATCTAAAATCCAACTCTCACTGCCACACCACTGATAACCACTCACATTGTGACCTGACAACTTGTATATAATTACATCCATATCCATGTGTGACATAAAAGCTACAATAACTTTGGAAGTTGAGTGTTTAATTATGTTGACTACATTCAATATTTTTTCTGGTGGGTCAGTTCTGAAGAAGGACACAGAGTATTCCAGACAAATGCCCAGCTGTTGAGCAGTTTCAGTAAAAGTGGCCATGCCATTATTGCCATAATCATCATCTGTTCTGATGGCTCCCACCCATGTCCAACCAAAGTGCCTGACTAGCTGGGCCAGCGCTCTGCTCTGATACAAATCACTGGGTATAGTCCTAAAGAAGGAGGGATATTTCACTTTGTCACTCAGACATGCACAAGTGGCAA